CTTGCCATGTATGGTCTGGTCCGACGCGTTTAACGTCACACCCGCTGATGGGTTACTATGGATCGTAATGAACTATCCACCGCGCTGAGGCATATATGACGATGATTTCCTAACGGTCATAGCGAACAGCGCTTAGGAGAACAGTGACTAGAAATGAGAAGACTTTACTTTTGATCACTCATTGATTCCGGATCCGAGGGCTTCCCGTAGCGTTCAAAATGCATATGGCCCATCAAGGATCACTGGCACTGATATTCGTTATAGCTGATCGTACCAGATCTTACTCGAGCCAGCTGATGGCGGTTTCCGCTTGGCCCCAGTGGCCTTAACTGGGGAGACAGCGGGATCTGTGGGGCCAGTCCCGTCCGCCAGGTTTCATATCATGGTGCAATGAAACATCGATGTGGTGTGGTTAAGCGTATTGGTCTCGCTTGCCATGCAATGGTAAATTATTGCATGCAATGGTAAATTTGCGGCGGTTGTGGCCAATGTGGTACTGTTTCGAATCAGCCTTTGTGACATTTGCGCTAAGAATCTTTTTGGATTTAAGGTTTTCAACAGCTATGAATCAACTTGATTCATCACGACGCTCCATGGTCATCCTCGTTCCCGGCTGTCGCGCGCTACAGCCACGCCGCTGACGGATCTGACCTCGTCGTCCGCAGTCTGAGGCCGGCGGCTGGGCGCGTCGGGAAGGGCGCTCCGCGTCGGGACCGGCTCCGACGGCAGCGCCGTGGCCAGCGGAAGCGGACCGGCCCACTCTACTACGTCTACGGGGGTCTGCAAAACGGCGCCGGTCAGAGACCGGACGGAGCATGCGCCGGGCCGCGGGACGCTGCGGGCGCCACGTGCAGCCGGCCGGGGCGCCCGTCCGGCGTCACGTGCAGCTCCGGCCGGGCCTTGGAGCAGTTGGCACCGGCCGCCAAGCTCCGGCCGGCCGGCGTGCGACGGCCGGCGGACGGGCGCCCCGTCGTTTTGCTAATGCATGCGGTGTTGTCGGATGGCAGGCCAACGCTCACGTCGGGCGTACGACACACACGTCATGTAGGCCACAGTAAAAACTGGTCTACAATGGTAAAATGGAAGATGACACAGCGGTCTTGCTTGTAATGTCGGCTGCGATAAAACAGTTTGTTTTCTATGGCACGACCAACTTCCTGCGTCTTTATTTGCCACAAACATCTCCACTGAAGTTATACCATGGTTCCCCGACATTTCCGCAACTGAGGCCCTAATTACAAAACTCTGTCACAACGGAACACGTCATACTTGTTCATTTAGCCTGCGTATTTGTCAAAAGCAGCATGCAAAAAGGAAACCCTTCTGGTAAAAAGACTTACCGTTCAAAACTCACCATTAGATCACGAAACACTCGTGTTATTGCGGCTTCCAAAGCGAAAACACCCAGAGGAGCGAAAGGAACAGAAAGCGGTCTGTCCCTCAAGCAAAACATTGCCGGTAAATCCGACCGAGGAAACTGAATTGGTAGACGGCGTTTTAAGTCGGTCGTCGCAGCCAGCTTGCGATATTGTGACCGACGGCAGTTCTGCGCTGAGCAGAAATAAAGGCGGCAAGACCGACGGGCCCGGACAAAATGGCAGTCCCGCCCACCGGCCGGTGTAAGCTCCGGTCTCGCACGCTAGCGATAGCAGGTTAGCAAAGAGGAAAACTCACTGATTCCGCGGCCATTTATTTCACAGTTTAGCGTGACACGCTGACCGCGTCATCCAACAGCGCACTCGTCGATGTTTATCGCCCGCTTATGTGTTATTCCGACGACACGCGACCACCTCTGAAAACTGGTCAGCGGAGGAGAGCGGCCGCAGGCGCGCGGCGCACTCACCTCTTTGCTGGGACGCTCCTGCAGGGTCTCAGGCTGGGTCTCGGAGACGGTCTCCTCGGTCTCGAGCGCCGCCTGCTCCTCGATGGTCGGCTGCACCTTCTGCGGAGACGGGTGACAGGTGAGCAGTGGCTGCCAGCCAGACTGAAGGCGCGGCCCAAACGGCAGCGGTCTCATACATGTATTGGACCCGGTAGTCAAATAAAAGGCTACCGTAGAGGTATTACCTGGGTTTCTTTAACAGCAAAACGGCGCCGTTTCCAGCCGATATCCTCATACGCTGGGTTTCAAGCGCCATGTTGCATATCGCTTTAAAACTGTCTACGAGTGGTAAACGAATTAGATGCCGAGAAACCGACGAGGGGACCATTGCAGCCCATATTATTCCAAATATAGGATACCAAATGCTGCAGTTGTTTTGACGACGCATCTTGTGGTTGTGCAACACTACAAGTTCTGAGTGTCCAATAATATCGATGTTTCCATCAGGCTTCAGTAAAACTAACCCTTTAAACTAAATTTGACTCCACGTGGACAACGTATCGCTACACAACATTGGGCGTGTCTTGCGAATGCTATTACTAAAATACTTAGTGGGTATCCAGACTTAATTTTGGGAGCTGAACTGAAACACGTGTTATTTCAAACGCAACATGATCACGGCCTGGTTTGACACAGCTATAAAAACAGAACAAAAATAGAAGACATGATTGTGGACACTTAGCCTACAAAGTATCCAGCAATTTACTACGCAATACACATCCGTATAGACAGGGACACGGTAACAATCGTTCACACGTGCGTGAACGCGGAAGCTGCACAATAGGCTACAGTTTTGGCTAGGAAGTAAAAGATAAAGGCATATATCTCACTGCCAAGGTGATGATGTTATGTATAGATGCCACCCACTACACGTGGTATGCATGCTGTAGCATTCGTCAACAAGATCATGCAATACTCGGCATGCGTGTTTACATTACCAGAGATCCATTTAGACATGTACCTCCTTAGGAACTTTACGTTTCTTTAGTTTCTGAACATTTTCTTCAGGTACCATCTCCTGCTTTTCCTTGGCCTTCTTCTCTTTAGGTATCGATTCGCCATCTTCCTTATTCTCTGCCGCGCTCTTCGACACTTCGACTGTTTTCAAACAAATGTCCTCTTTGGCCTCAGCGTCCTTCGGCGGTGGCGGTGGCACAGGCTTTAGCCTAATACGCTCCTCATTTTCAACTTTTTCCTGGTTCTCAGGAATTGGCTTCGTGATTACCCGCTCCAAACTGTCATCGACAGGAGTAAGCTGCTTTGGTGGGACAGGTTTTAATTTTATGCTTTCTTTCTCTTCTACCTGCTTTGGATCCTTCGGGGGAACCGGCTTTAGCTTGATCGAGTCTTTCTCGTCCACCGGCCTCGGATCCTTCGGGGGAATCGGCCTCAACTTGATCGGTTCTTTCTGCTCCACCGGTAAAAGTTCCTTTGGAGGCACCGGCTTCAACTTGGTCGGGTCTTTATCCTCTATGGGGATGGGCTCATTCGGAGGAATGGGCTTCAGCTTTGTTGGCTCTTTCTTCCCCACTGGAATTGGTTCCTTCGGAGGAATGGGCTTCAGCTTTGTTGGCTCTTTCTTCCCCACTGGAATTGGTTCCTTCGGAGGGATTGGCTTCAGCTTGACAGGCTCCTTATCGTCTGATTTCATTGTGTCCTTTGGAGGGATTGATCTCAGCTTGACAGGCTCCTTGTCGTCTGATTTCGTTGGGTCCTTTGGAGGGATTGGCTTCAGCTTGACAGGCTCCTTATCGTCTGATTTCATTGGGTCCTTTGGAGGGATTGGCTTCAACTTGACAGGCTCCTTATCATCTGATTTCATTGGGTCCTTTGGAGGGATCGGCTTCAGCTTGACAGGCTCCTTATCGTCTGATTTCATTGGGTCCTTTGGAGGGATTGTCTTCAGCTTGACAGGCTCCTTATCCTCCAATGGCTTAGGTTCTTTGGGAGAAACAGGCTTCAGTTGTATGCCCACTTTTTCATCCGCCGGCTTAGGATCGTTGGGTTGAATCGGCTTCAGATTAATGGGTTCTTTCTCCTGTATTTGAATTGAGTCCTTTGGAGGGACTGCCTTTAGCCTGGTGACCTCTTTTTCCTCAACCTGCGCTGGTTCCTTGGGGGGAATCGGCTTCAGCTTAATGTTTTCTTTTTCCTCAATCGGCTTCGGGACCTTCGGGGGAATTGGCTTTAGTGTTGTCTGTTCCTTGTGGGAAACTCGTAATATTTTGGCAGGCACTGGTTTAAGTTGCACATCATCCCTTTCATCCGTTTGCTTCGGCTCCCTCGAAGGAACTGGTTTTAACGATATTTGCTCTTTGTGAGGAATTGGCATCTCATTAAACTGCACTGATTTCATCATGGCGTCTCTTTGCTTATCCGCTTGATTGGGATGTTTTGAAGGTATGGGCTTTAACTGGACGCTTTCCTTCTCTTCCATCGGCTTTGGTTGCTTTGGTGGAGCTGGTTTTAGTGAAATCTGGTCTTTATGCGGCACCACCATCTCCTTTGGCGGAATCGGCTTCAAGACCACACCTTTATTCTCTTCGTCAGGCCTAACCGTTCTTGGAACAATCGGCTGCAACCGGATGTTCTCTTTCTCCGCTCCCGACTTCGGCTCCTTCATAGGCACGGGCTTCAGTGCCACCTTCTCCTTGTGGGGCGTCATCGTCTCTTTTGGTGGCAGTGGCTTCAGCTGGACGTCCTCCCGACCCTTCTCCTGCGGCAGCTGCTGCGCCGGCACTGGCTTCAACGTCCGTCGCTCCGCCTCTTCGGTCTCTTGTCGCTGCTGGCCCTGCGGGCGAGCGGCCTGCTGTGCGGGTCGCTGTGCGAGCTGCTGTGCGAGCTGCTGGGCGGGCTGCTGGGTGGGCTGTGTGGGCTTGAGTCGCACACTAGTCCAGCTGGGCGCGTCGGAGGGCTGTTCGTGGCGCCCGGTCGAGTCCGAATGGTCGCCACCGTTCTCCAGCGCCGACCCCCGCTGGTCGGGAGCGGTCTGCGAGCGTGACGCACTCCGGTCACGGCCGGTCACGTGGACAGCGGCTCGGGCCAGAGGCGCATGCATTAGAGCTCAACTGCAGTATCCGAAGCCGAGAAAAGGCGCAAAGCGATCCAGTGGCGAGCGGTACAAGCGGCAGCGCGGAAGCGGTCTATGACCCGAGAGGTACGTCACGGTTATTAGCGGCCGGCAGGCTGTTGCGCAAGCGTTGTTCCCAAAAAGCCAAGCTCAGCGATCCACCACACAAAGATGAAAGGCCTCTGCCATGAAGACAAGTTTATCCCCACGCATGTTACCCGTTATAAAGCTTTTGAAAACGGCCAGGAAACTCCGATAACTATTTTACCTTTATTTTGATGGGCTTCAGGAATTCCCTGGAAAACGAAAAAAGGGAATTACAACATAGTCGGCGATGACCAACGCACCGATGACCAACTATGAACACATACACACGCGCGTACGAACGTATGAAAGTACCACAGTGACGGGTGTGGTCTTTGTATGCGGGATGCGCGTCGTGCATCGTCGCACACCCCTCTGCCGAGCGCTGGAGACTAGAATGATCGTAGAATTACCCAGGAGTCACGGCCGCAGCCATTCAATGCCGGCCTTTCTTCACGGGAATAACACTCAGATCATGACACATCACCGCGCGCGCTATCATTCTGCGCAGCCCTTGTGTGTCGTCCAGCAGTCATGGGACATACGGTCGTTCAACAGGCGAAGTCGCAGCTGGCCGCCAACAACGTTTGCTGAGCTAGCAGTGAAACCCTTGATGAGGTAAGGACCCAGAAATATAAAAACTCCGTGTGAATTCGTTGTCGTGGACTCTCACCAACGTGACACTACGTTACTTTTGAATACTATCCAACACTCCCCTCATAAGGTTGCATGCTCAACTCGTGCATAATCGTACCGGAAAGTGTACATTTATGTTTCGAGCAAGCCTCTTAGGCATTCAAGTGCCACTCACTTCTTCTCCCTGATCTTTCTGGCCGTCTCCTCCTGGACGCGTTTCTTCTCCTCCATGCGGCGGATGCGCTCCTGCTCGCGCTTCTTCCTCTTCTCGACGGCCTCCTCACGCTCCCGCCTCAGCTCGTCACGCTCCGCATCCGATAGCTCTGCCAGAGTGCACGCATCCGGGTCAGGACAACACACTTTGCGGCCGGCCATTCAGGCATCGCAATGTCGTCTGCCATCAAACATCCTGCTGGGTAGCCTGGAGCGCCTTTGAACTAACGTGTACAGGACTTTCTCAGGTACACAAGATCTAAAACTACCGACGCGTTTGACACTTCGGTGCATACCCTGCTCAGACATATCGTGTTCGGCGCAGCACGTGCGTGCGCGCGTTCCGTGACCCGTGGCGTCAAGGTAGCCGCCGTGCGGCCCGTGACCCCGCCTCGGGCGGCGGGGTACGCTCGCCGTCCCTCGTAGTGATCCCGCCCCGTTCTCGCCCTGGCGGCGGCAGGCGACACTTACCCTGTATCTCTAACGTGGCGGTGGTGGTCGCCTCGCCGGCCGGGTTGACGGCGCGCACGCTGTACTCGCCCGCCATGTCGGGTGTGAGGTCGCAGAGCACCAGGCTCACGCGATCGTCGACGTACAGGATGCGCACGAACCTCGAGAGCGACAGCCGCTGGTCGTTGTGGAAGAGGTTCACCTCTGTGGACGGCGAGCGTTGACGGGACGGTTCGGGTGAGGTACGCAGGCGTCAGCGCACGGTACACGTGTCAGAGACGGCGGGCGTTGACGGGACGGTTCGGGTGAGGTACGCAGGCGTCAGCGCACGGCACACGTGTCCGAGACGGCGGGCGTTGACGGGACAGTTCGGGTGAGGTACGCAGGCGTCAACGCACGGTACACGTGTCCGAGACGGCGGGCGTTGACGGGACAGTTCGGGTGAGGTACGCAGGCGTCAACGCACGGTACACGTGTCCGAGACGGCGGGCGTTGACGGGACAGTTCGGGTGAGGTACGCAGGCGTCAACGCACGGTACACGTGTCCGAGACGGCGGGCGTTGACGGGACAGTTCGGGTGAGGTACGCAGGCGTCAACGCACGGTACACGTGTCCGAGACGGCGGGCGTTGACGGGACAGTTCGGGTGAGGTACGCAGGCGTCAGCACACGGTACACGTGTCCGAGACGGCGGGCGTTGACGGGACAGTTCGGGTGAGGTACGCAGGCGTCAGCACACGGTACACGTGTCCGAGACGGCGGGCGTTGACGGGACAGTTTGGGTGAGGTACGCAGGCGTCAGCGCACGGTACACGTGTCCGAGACGGCGGGCGTTGACGGGACAGTTCGGGTGAGGTACGCAGGCGTCAACGCACGGTACATGTGTCCGAGACGGCGGGCGTTGACGGGACAGTTCGGGTGAGGTACGCAGGCGTCAGCGCACAGTACACATGTCCGATAAAGTGATTGTTGAACATGCCTGGAACGTCAGTGGTAGCCCCACAGGCGTTAGAGCCGGCCGACTCTGCAGAGATGTCAGTTCGTGACGACCTTTGCACAAGATGTTCCAAACGCGTCAAACGTTGTCCCTAGTCTTGCGGTAGGTGTTGGTGTCACCTGAGTCTGCAGAGATGCATTTTTTAGAACGATCTTCGTGTTGATAAGATAGAATGGCATGTGGTAAATCGCAGGTCACTGACCTGGTCTAGGATATCCCGTCACGGTGCACTTGAACTCCACCTCGCTGGCGTTCTCCTTCGCTCGCTGATTGGTTAGTTCTGTGGTAAACTTGGGCGGCTGCTGACGAGCTGGAAAGCATATTGACTCGTCAGAGATCTGGAAATTGACAGGATAAGAGACGTCGATGGGTTGTCGCTCAGGTCATAATAATATTAATTGGTACTCAAATCACGATAACTCGCGCCGGTTTACCCAGACCGGAAATAAAACAGCCCGGAAATGAATCAGACCGGAAATGAAGGCCAGTCACGTCTAATTCCTCGGACCACACACCTTGGTGTCGGGCGTGCATTGACGTGACGTAGGACGAAGGTGATTGCTCTGAATAAGGATGCCAGACCTTCAAGCTAATTAAATTCGAAACATGGCATCCCAACGCAAACGCGCTTGGTAACAGCATATTAATCCATGCTCATGTCGAACGAATATATGCAATCATGGGAGCGAACACAACATAGGGAACGAAGTTCCGCGGTGGTTGCTACAGGTTCTGGATCCATGTCCGAAGACTGCTAACTTACCATTGCCACCTATACTACGCCGATGCATACTGTTGTGTCCCCTTGATGAGTATCGGCTAACTGCAATCTATGAATAGTCAAAAGTAGTTAAACACTGCACACCGCACACTAAGAGGCCGTTAACGAAACTAAAAAACGGGCGCAAACCAGCAGTGCAAACTGAAAACGTCATACTGCAGGCCAGCAGGCCAATGAAGCCATGATGGTGGCTTCACGGAGCAGACGAATACCGAGACCGGCGCCCACTTGTCACGCTCGCATCCTTGCAGCAACACCCCAAGGCTCTTCCTCCAAATAGGCTGCAGCCGAGCCGCGGCCAGGTTAAGCCTCTGCCTCTGTTCCTCTCGCCACCCCAGCGCTCCTGCTTGCTCCACGCCGCTCACCTTGACGCTCCGTCTCCGACATGACCTGCTGCTCGAGCTCCAGGAACTCGTTCAGCTCGTCAAGCTCCTCGACACTGCAGCTGCGGCGCAGCGGTAGCGCGGCGCGCTCACCAGCCGCGCGACGCGCCCCCTCCAGCTCGTGCGTCTCGAGGTCGGTGGAGCGGAGGCGCGCCCGCTCGGCCGGCGCCGCCAGCTTCTCCTGCGCGCTGCGCGACGCGCACACCGCCTCACCACCCTCCGAACCCTCGACCACGCGCTCGCCTAGCGTCTCGTCGCTCTCGTCGCTGGAGCTGCCGATCGACGGCCGCGGGCTGTACTCGGACACGGCGAGCGTGGCGGCCAGTGCGCGCTGGTGCGCGGCCGGCGGTGGCAGCGCCGCCAGCCGCTCGACGGCCGACCAGCGAGGCATTTTCAGCTTGTCCAGCAGAGAACGCATGGCGCCATGAAGCGCTTGCGAGGCGTTGTAGCCGCGGCGAGGCTTGCCCGCTGGCGCGGCCTGGCGCAGCTCCTCCGGACTGGGCGTGCGCGACTCGGAGCTGCCCGGTTCGCTGCGTTCACTGATGGGCGAGAGGATGGACGGGAAGGCGTCCTCGTCCTCGGCTGGCGGATCGCATTCGTCCTCGTCGTCGTCGGCCGCCGGCGTCAGCTCGCCCGAGTCGTCTGAGTCGTCAGCGTCGGTCGTCTCGGGCTCCTCGACGTGGTACGGTCCGGCGTGCTCAGCGAGTGGCGACATCGGAGACGTCACCTCCAGCACACGCACGCCCGAGGCGTCGGACGACACTGACGCCAGGCTGTCCTGCCGGCCCTTGGTCAGCATCTGGCGCAGGAACAGGGCGGGGTCGTCCTCAGAAAGCACGGAGCAAACGCTGACGTTCCGCTCGCGTGCGGCCGCCTCCCCCTCCAGGACGGCCACCTCTTCCATCGGCTGTCCTTCCTCCGCTTCAGTAGGGTCCCCAACGCGGGCCGTCAGCTGACCCGCGGCGGGGTCTTCCAGCTCATCCTGCGCTACCTGCGTCTCGAGCAGCAGGAACTCGTCGATGCTGCTGCCGGAGTCAGGACGCTCCACGGCCACAGGCGGCTCCAGCCATCCCGTCTGCCCGGCCGGCCACTCGCTGCCTTTCGCTGACGCCACCGAGCCGTGTGGTGTCGGTGACGTCACCACAGCGTCTGCGGCGGCGGCGTCGTCGTCCGCCGTCAGCGATCCGCGCGAGGACCGTCGCATGGGCACGCACGGGTCGCTGAGGCTCTTGGCCACGACGGTAGCGCCGAGGGGTGACAGGCTCGTCTCAACCCGGTCCGGGTCCTCGGCACCATCGCCGGCGTCCCGCTGGCCGCGCCGCCCCGCCGCGCTGCCGTCGGGACAGGCGTCCTCCAGATCCTTCAGCATGGCCGGGATGATGTCGGTGTAGTCAGCCCCGTGCAGCGAAATGCGGTCCTCCGCCAGGCCGGTGTCGTCGCGTCGCCGGCGCTCGCGCTCCTCCTTGTCCCCGCCGCCCTCGGCAGCCATGGCAGTAGCGGCGACCGTTGCGGCGGCGGCGGTGGCGGCGGCGGCGCGGGGCGGCAGCAGCGCCGGGCTGTCGTCCGTGAAGAGGCTGAGCATCTCGATAGCGGCAGAGATGGAGCCGCGGTGCATGCTGAGGTAGTCGTGGACGGCGCTCTCGTCGTCGGTCGGCTCGCTGCTGGCGGCGCGCAGCTCCAGCAGCAGATTCCGCTTGTGCTGCACGTCACTCGGCGGCTCGATGTCGGAGGCGAACACGCTGTCGTCACCCATCGACATGTCGGCGATGCTGACGGTGGAGGCGCCAAGCGGCACGCCATGCGGGGTTAGTACACACGGGCCCGACTGCGGCCGCGCGGCGGCATTACCTCGGATCGCCGCCTTCGTCTCCTCCATCTTGACCACCCAGTCGGGTTTGCGGTAGCTGGGCGAGTCCTCGTCGTGACCTGGGATCGGGACCAGGGTCAGAGGAGATGAAGTTTAGTGGAGGTTTATAGCGCGCTCAAGCGAAACGTCCATGAAGTGGTACTTTAGTCTAACCTTAAATTATTGCGAAGATTTTATATGAAATGGTTGGAGTAGAACAGAACAAAATTCCAGAAAGCTACAGCAAAATTTTGGTCACTAATGCACAGAGACGAATCTACAAAATAAAGTTAGCTGAAAGATGATACAACTTTGAAGCAGAGACCAGCGCATGGAGTGAGTAAGGTAGTCAGTGTCCACCAACGAATGATAGCCGTGCTTTTATCACATCTCGAGATAATTTGTTGTTACTTGGGAGCGAGTCTTTAGTTCTTGAATAGTGTCGAATACGTTCGCTGCCACGAACTTTTTTGTTTCATCGCAATTTCTGACGTCCAACGTTTCTTCTTGCGTCGTGATGAAGGATTCACCATCCAAAAGGACGCGATCCGCGAATAACCCCGTGACAAATAAGCGTCAACTGGCATCGGCTTTGGAGCAAATCATTCGTGGGTGTACACCACCCGTGGTGTTATTCTGAGATATGACCAGTGTTTCAGTGTGAAGTGAAAACCTGAAAAGAGGAGTCACCAAGACGTTAGGCGGTCCATCGCGCCCCAGCCCCCGCAAAGGGAAAGCGCAGAAGATTACCGAAACATCTGAAACAGAGTTAGTGGTTAACAGTAGCAGAGAATAACACTTCCCACTTCGCTCAAGGTGAGCTGTCATGTTATAGCGATAGAAGCGAGCATTGTAGTTCATGCAACGTGTTGCGAACCGTCATCATGTTTCATCGCAGGCGCATGCACAATTCATACAGTGGTGAGTGAACATACCAAAGCGCGTTGACAATCCACAGCAGATTGGATTCTTGAGTTGACAGCAATCGCAAGCCGAACGCCGATTTTCCCTGCGTTATATCATCTCGACACCGACTGTGCTATGCCTCCAGCTGTTCATCTCAAGCCCCATCCGACATATCCGTCGCCGTCCCTGCCTCCCAGTAGCTAATCAGCGTTTAGCCCCGCCCCTAGCTCCATCAGCCATTCACCGGGCGCCGTCCTCCCCTCGCCCCGCCTCGCCGTAGCATTGGCCACTCACCAGGCGCCGTCTCCACCACCAACTGAGTGCTGGTGGTAGCCACGCCCCGCTCGCTCTCGGCCTCGCAGGTGACCACGCCCACGTCGTCGGGGAACGTCTGGCGCACGGTCAGGCGCTGCGTGCCGTCCTCGGCCGACTCGATCACGAAGTCCTTGTTGGTCTGCAGGGGTCGGTCGTTCATATACCACGTGACCTCGCACGGTGCCTCCGGGCTCAGCCGACACTCGAACCTGTGCAGGTGGGGGGAGGACACGGCCACTGTCAACGATCTGCGGATTTTGTGGCCATGAACTGCGATGTCGCGGGAGGGCACACCGCCATAAGTGCATTTATTTATAAAAATTATCCGAGACAATGCGCGGAGAAGTCCGCGACTTATGCTAAACACGTAACGACTTAATATCTACCTGGTCTACTTGCTCCTCGCACTTCATCCATTTTTGCGCCAGCCTGCCCCAAGCCACCTATTAACCCACACGTCTGCTGCACTCACGTGATTTCCTGACCCTCGTTCACGCTCGTGGTGCGCGCCAGCTTGCGCACGAAGCGGGGCCCCAGCTCATCGGCCGTGTCGAGCAGGTCCTCCTCGCTGTGCTCGTCCACGCTGAGCAGCGTGCCGACCGTCATCGAGGCAATCTCCGAGTCCTGCACGTACTCATACGGCTCGACGCTGACCAGAGCGTGCGCCTCGCCGGCGCCGGCCTCGTTGGCCACCTGCAGCGTGTAGGTGCCGGCGTCCTCCGGGTACACCTCGCTGATGTACAGCGAGCACACGCCCTCGGGCGACATGGTGACCTCGACGTCGCGGTGCTCGTCGAGCGGCTGGCCCTCGTGCAGCCAGGTGATGCGCGTTGGCGTCGGCGAGGTGACCTGGCACGATAGCTTCACTTCTTCGCCGTCCATCACCTTCAGCCCCGGTGTGAGCGTCTTCACACGCGGCAGGTCGGTGGGCTCTTCCGCCTCCTCCGGCTGCGCCGCCTCCTCCGGCTGCGCTGCCTCCTCCGGTAGCACGGCCTCCCGCGGCTGTTCCACCTCCGGCTGCTCCGCCTCCTGCGGCTGTTCCGGCTGCCGTTTCGGTCGCTTCGGCGCCCGCCTCTTGACCGGTGCATCCTCCTCCGGCCGCTGCTCTGGCGCTGGCTCTGCGGGCGCCGTCTGCTCCGGCCGCTCCAGCTCGGGCTCTGCGGGCACCAAGGGGCTGGAGTGCTCGGTGACCGGGCTCTCTGGGCTCGCCAGCTCGGGCGTGGGTTGCACGGGTGCCGGCTCGCGCGGTGCCTCGCGCCCGGAACCGGGCCGCAGCTGCACCGACGCCGTCGACGAGGTCATGCCCGCCTCGTTTTCGGCCACGCACGTATACTCGCCGACGTCCTTGAGCCGCATCTCGGAGATCATGAGGATGGTCTTGTTGTCGCCGCTGCTGATCTGCGTGCTCTTGGCGTTCTTGACGCGCTTGTTGTTGCGTAGCCAGACGAAGGAGACGGCCGGGCGGCCGCTTACCTCCGCCTCGATCAGCACCGGCTCGCCGAGCGGCACGTGCTGCGGCCGCACCGGCTGCACGAAGCTCGGTGCCAGCAGATCCGCCTCGTCTGGCAGCTCTGGCGAGACAACCAGCGTGGCGCGCGAGCGTGCCTCGCCGGCAGCGTTCGTCACCACTACTTCGACGACACCCTCGTCGGGCGTGGAGGCGCGCGAGAGCACGAGCGTCGACTGGTGCTCGTCCGTCAACACGGCGTAGCCCTCTGTCTCGTCCACGGGCTTGCCGTTATGGAACCAGGTGATGACGGGCGGCGGAAGGCCCTCGAACACGGCATGGTAGGTGACATCCGAGCCCGGCCGCACGACCACCGCCTGCAGCGGCTTCACCAACGCCGGCGGCTGGCTACCCTCCGGCAGCTCCTCCAGCTCGTCGCCTGTCGGCAGCACCGCCGCGCAGTCTGACGATGAACTATGGAGCGGCTAGCAGTGGTCATGCGGCGCTTTAAACGACTGTAATGGTGGAATATGCCGAAAGGTTTGCATGGAAAAGGGTGGCAATACACACGAGACCTTTTTCGACACGAGTTTTACCTCAAGTCCAAAAGGATCGAGAAGTAATGTCTTCGCGGCAACGGTCGTTAACCGAACGCAAATTAAGGCCTTGCGTAAACAAAAGCAATGTGTAATGCCCGGCCGGAAAGCACACTGACATATGTCTTGAAAACATTGCACCGTCAAACGCCCAGAACCCGAAAATGCACCCGGCCTCCCTCTTAAACATAAACCTCAACCTCAAACGGCTGGCTCATCCACTCCTCCCTGACGCCGCTGTCCGTCACTCACCGACGATGAGGTTAGCCGTATTCTGGTCGCGCCCGAATGGGTTCTCAGCCAGCACCGAGTACGTGCCGACATCCTCCGGCACCACCACCGGCACCGTCAGCCGGGCCACGCCCGTCTCCGGGTTGAACGACGGCACGAAATCCTCCGACGGGATGATCTGTCGAGACGTGCGACAGGCCAATCAACAGTGGCTGATTTTTCTTGGGGTCTCCGTTTGTCCGATGTGCATTGTTGAGACAAAGAACGACATGCCATTCCAACGTCTTCATAATTGTGTTGGTCTTGTACACCAGTTGCGTAGCGTAACATACGGCAAGCAGAAACAGTGTTCGAGACTTATGACATGCTTGCCACATGTCTGTGGAGCTGATGCGATGCGGTGGAAACGCTGGAAGTCCGCTACGATATACACGGGGCTAACCACGGATCACTCACCGGCTGGTCGTCGTGGAACCACGTGATCTGCGGCGACGGAGATCCAGTGACCTTGACCTCCCACGCCAGAGTCTGACCTGGCCGAACTTGGCGAGGTTTAAGAGGCTCCACGATGTGTGGAGGAGCGCCTTCCACTGGTTGCTCTGTTGGCAGGGGCAGCGCGGTGACACAACATCCAGATGGGTACGGGAGATTGCACGTGCAAAGAAACGGTATCGCATGTAATAGTGGAGCGGAAATGGAACCTCAGGCTGGCAGCACATTGCCTTTATGGGTATCAAACGCGGCACGGAATATCGAGTCACGCGTGAGGCATGCTACTTACCACACATTATTCCCGTCCACAGTATAAATCAACTGGTGTAAGCAATGACATGATAATTGATAACACCGTCATGACTCGGTCTTCGTCCATTTAATAGTAACGCAGAGCAAAATTTTGTGATGTTTGTCGACTTCCAACCATCTCATAGGGGCACACTTAGAGGGGGAAGATCATGAGGTAGGCAAACAAAAAGAAGTGCAAAAAATAAAGCGTAGCGTAAAAAGTCATCATGTTATTAAGATGTCTGGCACAACAAGCCGTAGTCACACTTAAGACAAGCGTGCGTCATCGCACCATGACGTTTTGGGGGGGACCTCATGATGTGAGGCAGTTTGTAATAAAAAGTCCATAGGGTTCCGAGGTCATTCAATCAAGGGGTAATTAAACACAACATCAAAAATGTGTTACAATGGCAGCAATGTTCCAAACAGGCGGATTCACTGCAAAAGTTACCAATAGCCGTGCACACAAGCCGTAAGGTACCTTGCACCACCAGATTTGCTGTTGACGTTGCCGAGCCCCCTGAATTGGTCACCTTGCAAGTGTAGTGTCCAACGTGTTTGCGAGTTACTTTCGTGATTTCCAGAACGGCAGTGGACTCTGTGCTCCAAGTGGTCGTGTGTTTGGTAGTCTTGAGATCCACGTTGTTAAAGAACCAAGAGACCGTGGGCGCTGGGAAGCCCTCAAACTCGACCTCAAAGGCTGTAGTGTCGCCTTTGTTCGCCAAGATGGGCTGCATCTTTTTTGTGAAGCGAGGAGGCACAATCTTCTGTGCCCCTGGGGCTGGGAAGAACACAAGACGACTCTTTTTCGTCTTTGGTTTTGAAGTCTGCACGTCTCCAGCGGGAACCTCTTCGATAAGTACATCGTCTTGATCTGGTACATCCTCGTCATCTGGGAATTCAACAATCTCCTTTACATCTTTCACTTCGGTGTCCTGGGTGATAATTTCCTCAGTCTCCAGCTGCTCAAAAGCTTCTACAGTTTCCGTATGTTCAGTTGGTCGACCTTTGAGTTTTCTCGGCTTCTTCATCTTTCTTCTGATTAATCCTTCCCTGTCCTCACCCTCTACTCGGTCCTCAGCCCGACCAACCTCGTCGGGAGCAGTTTCGAACTCTTCTGGACCCCACATCTCAAGCTCCTCCTCCTCATCCTCCACGGCTTCTTCAGCCGCCAGCTGGGCCAACCGTTGCTCAGGCGATACTTTGGGTATTGCCCCAGTTTCTTTGTCCTTCCTAGGCTTTCGCTTCTTCTGTTTAACCACGTCGGGAGATGGAGATCGGGGTACAGTGACGTCTTGCGGAAGATCGTCTGGGCCCTCAGGCGCCTGCTCTTTAGGTTCTGAGACTTCTTCAGGTCGCAGGTCCTTAGGTGATGTGACGACATCTACGTCAACTGGTGCGGCCTCGTCAAGCTTCTTTGGTCTTTCTGACGGGGCTTTCTTCTTCTTTCGTGTCTTTTCTAACAGTGCCTTGTCACTTGGAACATCCAAATCTTTTGGAGCCTCCTCATATGGTTGAAGCTCCACTGGTTCTGTTTCTGGAAGGCTTGGAGCGTATCTGGTTCCTTCGATATCCTCTTGTGGCTTGGGTTCTTTCGCCTTTGGTTCCCTCGGAATTGGCTTCAGTGTGATTTCGTCTGTAGCGTCGTCATCTGGAGGCCCAGGTTTACCCGGCTTGAGTCGATATTGATCCAGAATATTATCCTCTGGAAGTTTTCCTTTCCCGACTTTGAAATCTTCTGCGTCTTCCGTTGAGTCCTTTCTAAGCTTTCCATCCCTTGGCCAATGTCCCTTTTCGATAGGCTCCGGCTGCTCTTCTTCAGGAAGATCTGCTTTCGGAATTGCCTTCACTTCTTTTTGTTTCTTGGCTCTCTTTGGTTTCTCTGGAGCTACTTGTTTTATTTCAGCAAGCTCGACATCTTCATGTGTGGGAATAGGTGTGGGCACAAATGGCTCAACTTCAATCACCGGCTCCTCTTTTTCGTCAATGGTTATCTCAATCTCTTCCTTTTCAGGCACCTTCCTTAGGCTGACATCCTCCACAGCGACATGCTCTGGCTCGTATGCTTTGCGGGCCGACGGCTTCAGCTTCGGATGCGCCCACGGAACATCCTCGGGCTCCTCCTTCTTGACTGGCGGTAGGTGCTTTTTGGGCTTTGGCTCTTTTTTCTTTTGCTCAGTATCGTCTGAAATTTCGGGCGAGGTTGGTTGTCTGTCAAGGTAATCCAGGTTCTCCTCGGGAAGTGTTTCCTCCGGAGGCTGGTCTTGAACGGGCGTCTCTGGCTGCAAATAATCCTCTGGTCTTTGCTTTGGTCTTTTAGGTTTTCTTTTCTTCACAGGCTCCTCTGGAGATTCTGGCGTGGGCACACCAACCTGATTGTCAGTTAAGGGAGCTGTTTCGTCACGCTCCGGCTCAAGTGGAATACTTTGGATTGGTGTGCGAACGTCTTCTTTCTCCTCAACAGGAGCATTTGTACTTGGCTGTTTGTCTTGTTCAGGTTTCTCGGTGGGCTTAATGGACACTTTTTGGATTTCATAAGTCTCTGCATCTCCTGGATGTTCTGCGTCCTTTGGTGACTTGTCGTGGTGCTCGAGCTCAACTGGTTCCTTGTCTGAAGAAGCTGGAGCATCTTTGCGACTTTCCATATCCTTTGGTGGCTTGTGCTGTGTTGTTTCCGGCTTCTTCGGAATTGGCTTGAGCGTAATTTCTTCTGGAGCCTCTTCTTCTGGCGGACCTGGTTTTCCTGGTTTGAGTCTATAAACCTCCGGTGTATCATCCTCTGGAAGTTTTCCTTTGCCAACTTTGAAACCCTCCGCGTCTTCCGGAGTCTTCTCTTCAGGTTTCCGACCCCTGGGCCACTTAGCTTTTTCGGAAGGTGCTTGCTCTTCCTCCTCAGGGACGTCTGGTTTGTGCAATCCCTTTGGCTCTTTGGGTTTCTTTGTTTTCCTGGGTGTCTCTGGAGCCATTAGGTCTAACTCGTCTAAGGCGACATCTTCATGCGTGGGAATTTCTGTTGGCACGAACGGTTCCACTTGAATCACGGTTTCTTTCTTCTCTTCAACGGGAATCTCAATCTCCTCCTTGTCTGACAGCTTCTTCAAGCTGACGTCCTCCACTGTAACATGCTCTGGCTCGTACTCCTTGCGTGTGGACGGTTTGAGCTTCGCGTGCGCCCACGGGACTTCTTCATGCTTCTCCTTCTTCACTGCCGGGGGATGCTTTTTGGGCTTACGTTCCTCTTTCGGTGATTCAGTTTCCTCTGAACCCTCAGGCAAACTTGTCTTTCTGTCAGGGTAATCCAGCTGCTCGTCGGGTGATACCTCATCAACAAGCTGTTCTTTAGCAGGTGCCTCTGACTGCAAGGAATCCAACGGTCTGCGCTGTGGTCTTTTTTGCTTAGTTTTCTTAACCGGCTTTCCTGGAGATACTGACGTTGGTGAGATATCTTCCACTTCATCTCTTTCTGGAATTTCTTCCCCGGGTGAAGTAGCCGTTTCTTCAGACGCTGACTCATCTACATCTATTTGCACAGCCGCACGAGGACTACCTTCCTCCTGAACTAGGGCAGGCATACCTGGCTCTGCCTTTGTCTTTGGCTTGGCAGCAGGTTTCTCCGTCGTATCCCCGATTTCACCAAGTTCTTCATCACCCGGAGTTTTCAGAGGCTTTGACACCTTCTCGTACGGCTGAACATCAACTGGTTCCCTTCCGGGAAGAGATGGAGCATATTCGGGAACTTCCGCGGGTTCTGATGGCTTCGGCCCCTTTGTTTTTGCCATCCTCGGAATTGGCCTGAGGGAAATTTCTTCCCGAGCCTCTTCTTCTGGCGGCCCTGGTTTGCCTGGCTTGAGTCGGTATTCCTCTGAAATATCCTCCTCTGGAAGTTTGCCTTTGCCAACTTCGAATCCATCCTTATCTTCTGGAACCTCCTTTTCTGGTTTCTGACCTCTCGGCCACTTGCCTTGTTTCAAAGGTTCCTCTTTGCCCTGTTCCCGGACACCCGTTTTGGGCACTTCTTCAGGCTCTTTTGGCCTCTTGGTCCTCTTTGGTTTCTCTGGAACTGTAAATTCAACCTCATCCAGCTCAACATCGTCATGTGTGGGAATGTCTGTTGCTACGAATGGCTCAACCACAATCGCAGGCTCCTCCTTGTCTTCAATGGGCACCTCAGCCTCTTCCGTTTCCGGGAGCTTCTTTAGGCTGACATCCTCCACTGACACGTGGTCTGGCTTGTACTCCTTACGCGCTGCAGGCTTGAGCTTCGGGTGCGCCCATGGGACTTCTTCGGGCTCTTCTTTTCTGACCGGTCTCTTCTTATCTCGCCTTTTGCTGTCACGCAGAGAGGGCTCGTCTGTTGCAAGCTCTGGCGAAGAAGCCATTGGCGAGACGGCGGCATCCTCTGAGCTTGTTCGCTCGCCTTGTACCGGCTTAACAGCTAGCGCGTCTGTTGGCTGGTCTGAAACTGGCCGCCGTTTTGGACGTTTACGACCCTTTTCCTTCCTAACGGCCTCTGGAGAAGTGGGCTGTGGTCGTACGCCTTCCGGTATTTGAGCCTCGGGCTGCAGCTTTCGATCACCTAGGATGGTGTCCTCCTCGGGGCTGGCCTCCACGGCGACCCAGTCCTCTAGTGGAGACTCCGATTCGCTTTCAGGCTGGACCTCGGATGGCCCGACGGCACTGAGCGTGGCATCGGGCGTCTCTTCTTCCCCTGGCGCGATTGGACCACGGTGCTTCTTGACATGAGGCTTGGTTTTTCCTGGAACCTGTTCCTGCGTCCCGGGTTTTTCAAACGTTGCTTCGGGAGATTCCTTGTGATCTTCACCTTCCTTGGTGGGCTTCCTTGGCACCGGTTTCACAACCTTTGCTGTGAGAGACTCCTCTTCTTTAGGTCCCCGTTTATCTGGTTCCATTTCGTCTGCCACAGGTGACTCCCTTGGCTTTTCCCTTCTCGGTTTCCTTCCCCGTGGCCAAGGCTGTTTCTCTGCGGTTTCCTGTGTCTCCTGTTCAGGTGCAACATGTTCAGGAACCATATCACCTTCCCTAGGCTTCTTTTCAAACGTGGCTGGTTTCATATCAGCAGCAGATTTCAAGGGCGCTTCATCACCTTTGGGCGCTTCGGGAACCTTCCCAGGCATGTCCTTGTCTAATCGCACCCTTTGATCCTCAGTAACCTCTGTGACCTGCTCAGCGGGCACCTGTCGCAGTGCAACGTCTTCCACTGTCAGCTGTTCCGGTTTATGTTCAGCGAGCTTGGAGGGCTTGAGCTTTGGATGCGCCCACGGGACCTCCTCAGGCTCCTGCCTTTTGGGAGGAATTTTCTTTCCAGGAACTTTGTCATCAGGCCCTGGCTCTTCGAGTGATGACGGTTGTTCCACGACACCTTCAACCTTTGGCTTAGCGGCTTTCTTCTTCCTCCCTCGGGACCAAGGCTGCTCGTCCTTTGCTTTTTCCGGCAGGTGTTCCTGAGTTTCACTTTCTGTTGTAGTAGGGGGCTTGACTTTTTCTTTTGGCTTTTTTGGAGCTCGCCAACTGGGTCGAACCTCTTCAGCCGGCGCTCCTTCTGATGCGGACTTATCTTTGTGAACAGCTAAGCTCTTGTCAACAATTTCAAAGGATTCTGCGCTAGAGCTTTTGACCAAGTCGATTTTCTCAAAAGAGGACTCACTGCTGCTTTTGAGGAGCGGCTCACGTGCGTCAATCTTAGTGAGAGGGCGCGCCGCCTCAGTACCCGGAGGCACTTCACGCTGGTCTACGATCTCGAAGCCCTCCTCATCTTTGATGACAAATGGCTCTTCGGGACGCTGTCTCGTCTGCAAAGAAAGCTGCTGTTCTTTTCCGGGTTCTTGTGTGGGCTTTACTGGCTTCAGTGTCACGGCATCCAGCTTTGGCTTCTCATATTTCTTTTCCTCGGTTTTTGATGGTCTAAGCTGTGCTTTCCCAGCAGCCCATGGTACTTCGCGCGCTTTGGGTTCTTGGGGAACCGGTCGTGCATATTCTGTTTCTTCCAATGCATGACGTTCGTCCTGCTCCTCTGGTGCGTAGGGCTTCTTCACTGGCTTCAAATCCACCTTGCCCAGCTTTGGCTTTTCCACCGGCTTGCTTTCTGTCGTTGCGGGCTTCAGCTGGGCCTTCTGCCTGGCCCACGGCACCTGTGGCCTCCTGGAGTCCACGTCCGGTGTCCCGTCCTGCAGATGGGCAGCATCGACAGACCGATCCAGGTCAGGCAACTCGTCTGTCTTCGGCACCGGCTTCAGACCAACATGCTCCAGCTTGGGCTTCTCGAGCCGCCTCTTGTCGGGCTTCTCCGACGGCCGTAGCTGGGATTTGCCTCGGGCCCAGGGCACCTTCGCCTCCACCGATTCCCTGGATCCAACCGGTGCGACTCCCGGCGCGTCTTCTCCCGTCGGGCGGCCCTCGACACCCTCATGCGTGCCGTCTCCGAGCACATCCATCGAGCGGCGTCGCAGCACGTCGTCCGGGTAGCCCTGCTCTGGTAACGGTCGCAGCTCCACCTGCGCCAACTGAGGCTTGTCATACACCTTCTTCTCCGTCACTACCGCCCGCAGTTGCACGTGGCCGGTGGCCCAGGGTGCCGTGTCCTTGGTGTACTCGACACGGTCGCCGGGCCGGCCGACGAGGCCGCGCGCCCACGGCGACGCCTCCATCATCTCCTCAGCGGTGGGCGAGGTGCGGCCGCGCGGCGAGCCCTCGCGGTCGTCGAACTGCCGCTCGGCCGCCGGCCTCAGCGGCACCGGCTCGATTCTCGGTCGCTCCACGGGCCGCTGCACCTGCGCCGTCGGCCGCAGCCGAACCACCTCCAGACTGGTGGCGCGCCCGCGGCCGCGCGGCGAGCTAGACCGGCCACGCGGCGACATGGAGCCGCTGCGTGAGGAACGCCGGCTACCCGGCTGACTGGTGTAGCCGGGCAGGCCGTCCGCGTCCGGCGCCAGAAAGGCGTACCGCCGACCGCGCTCGTCGTCGCTGACGCGGATGTGCGACGCGCGCAGCTCGAAGTCGTCGCTCATCGTTTCGTCCCAGTCGGGCTCCTCCACGTGATGGAGATCGACGCGGTCCAGCTGGAACTTGCGCCGCTTGTGCACGATCCGCTCCGCCGGCTTCAGCGTCGCCTTGGCGCGCGCCCATGGCACTTCCTCGGGCTCTCGACGCGACGGCGGCGGCTTCCGGGCCGGAGGCGGCTTGCGCAGCGGCGCCGCGCCCCACCAACGCTTGGCCATGTTAACCTTCTTTGTGCGCGCCGACTCCTCGTCGAGCTGGTCGGCCGGCTCGGCGGTGGGTTGCAGGGGTTGGACCAATTCAGGGGGCTGACTGGGCTGCATCGGGGTGACCGGGGCTGCCGCTAGTGGCGGAAGAATGGGCTTTCGTCCTGGAAACAGCAGTCGCGTTGCGGGAAACTGCTTCATGCAGCGATATTTCGCATACATAAAACAATAATAGTCTTATTCCTCGGAGAAAAGGCAGGGAAACGGAATATAGATCCGTTCAGATTTTGGAAGCAGACCTTATCGAAATACAAACTAACCTATATCTCCACTCTCCTGCTTTTTCTCCGAGTAATGAAGTATTACTACTGTCTCACCTATGCGCATAATGTTCCCCGCAAATGCTTTTGACAACTGACATGCCACATACACTGACATATGCACCGATTTCACCGAGCTGTGTGCTAGAGTATCCTACGACTGAGCAAATATGGCGAAAAATTATGTTCCTGGAACGGAAAAAATTACGTCCCTGAAACTCACGATCACATTTATCAAAACGCATTTAGCCAACACTGATATGGACGCCAAGATCATCAAGAACACTGTACTAGTTACATAGATTTTTAGCTATCTGTAAGGTTATACCAATATCCAAAAGCCAAACACAGATGCCAATCCCTCCACCCCACCAATTACACTTGCTTTAAACCGCGTCAAGCTATCGACGTTACAGCTTCCGTGCACTCGTGCGGCCGGGCAGGCGAGCGCTGCGCGCGCACCGGCCGCCGACCATACCCGCCCTCTAATTATATACCCGGGGTGGGTGCGCTGAGGCGCCGGTTGTCCTGCGCCGTCCAGTCGGCCCGTCGCGCCCGTCGGGGTTAGTCTCGCGGTGACATGGGTGCGCGCGGGGTCGCTCTCCGTGACCTGGACCCGCTAGAGGTTGCTCTCGGTGACGGACCCGCGGGGGTCGCTAGCGGTGACACGGGCTCGCTAAGCGCCGCTCGCCCGCCCGCGCCCTCGCCGTTTCCGCGGTGCGATGCGGGTGACGTCAGGATAGTGGAGGTGCCGCGGGGATTGTGGTGTGCGCGGGAGGTGGAGCGGCCGCGCGGTGGTCACAACTGTGGCGTCGCCCGCCGCGGAGGACCGGCCGGGGAGCGTTCGCCGGGACAGGCGGCCGGAAGCGTGCCGCGTGACGGGCGGTGAAGTCCGGGCGGTGTATGGATGCGCGGTTGGGTCGGAGGGGAACGCAGGGCTGCAGAGTAACGGGCAACGTCGGGAGAGGCGTCTGGTGAGGGCTGGTGAGATGTGGTGAGTGACGGTGGCGGCACGACGGGCGTGATCACGAGGAGGCGTCGCTGCGGTGGCGTGGCGCCACACGCAGCGAGAGGCGAGACGGACTGAGAAGGGCGGAAGAGGAGCGCAGTGAGTGGAGGACTGGGACCAGGCTCGGCGATGTCAAGACAGGCATCAAGACAGGCGACATGTGGCGTCAATGCAGACATCAAGACAGACAACATGTGGTATCAAGACAAGTATCATGCACATTCAGCACGAGGTTCAAGCCCGAGGGGTGACGAGGATCGCTGTGGTCTGTGCTGAAAGACGATTTTGATTACTCGCGGTTAGTCTAATCAGCAGTTTGCGTGCGAATATTGATGTTAAGTTTCTAACTCAAGGAATGCTGACTCTTGCTATTATCTACGAGGAATAAGCTTTTTAGTAGGCTTTTATTCCTTGCTCTCTTGTAAGTCTCAGCGAGGCTTATGGCGATTTAAACCATGCTCTGCTGTCTGACATGTCCAAGGGGACTTATGCGTACCATTAGTCATACCAAAGATAAAGTCTGTGTAGCCGGCATCTGACGTACTGTTTTTTCTTCAAATATTTTCTCCCGTTACCGGCAAACGTCAAAGTATTTATGGTACCTTTGCCCCTGATGTGTACGAGCGAGCAGGGCTTGGCTTCCATGGCGCTAGAAAATCTGGATTGCATTTTCAACCTTGATTTATGAGGACACGGAAAGACCTTTCATGCACTGGGATCGGCTGAACAATTCGATCACTCATCTCTGATCCGTAAGCACAAGTCCGACTCCGGTGCCTGGAACCGTGCCTACGAAACGTCCGAAAACAAGGTCCGTAAGATAATAAAATGCCCGGATTTCATTGATGCGATGCTCATGTTATCTGCCTTCTGGCCAGTTATCCCTTTCATGCAGTATGCCGTGTGCTACTCTGTCAGCGTCCAGCACGCATTGCGAGCGGTCACCGCCAGCCATTGTCTGAGGCCCACCGGACCAATGTAGCCAGTCGTGTGCGCCCTCCTCTGGCAGTGACCCGCGGGTATTTCCGTCGTCGCTGTCCCGCCGGGCCCACTGACCGCTGCCAGCCTGCCCGGCGCGCATGCAACGCGTCGCCAACCACTCGGTTTTTGTCCGCGTTCGTTCGCCCGCCGTGCGTGTCGCCTGCACTCTGCGCCAGCGTCTGTCATGTCGACGCTTAGCGCGTGACAGACGGCGCGCGTCGCGGTCCGCATCTCACGGCCCGCGCCGCGTGGCGGTCCGAATCTCACAACCCGCGCTGCGTCATCTCACGGCTCGTGCTGCGTCGCGGTCCGCATCTCACGGCCCACGCTGCGTCGCGGTCCGAATCTCACAACCCGCGCTGCGTCATCTCACGGCTCGTGCTGTGTCGCGGTCCATATTTCACGGCGCGTGCTGCGTCGCGGTCCATATTTCACGGCCCGTGCTGCGTCGCGGTCCATATCTCACGGTCCGCGCTGCGTGGCGGTCCGCATCTCACGGCTCGCGCTGGGTCGCAGACGCACGGCGCTCCACGTGCATTATGTCGCCCTGGCCGGGTTAATCTGGCTGGACCAGGGCGCGTACCCGGTCCAGGGTGCGTACTGACAGCTCGCGCCGTATGCGTCGTTAGCGGCGGTGCGAGGCAGCCCGCTCGGCCGCAGAGCCCCCGGCGGGGGGGGGGGGGGGCGGTGTCTATTTTCGCTGCGTGTGTTTATGGTGTGTGCACACGGGCCCTCCTGCTGTGGCACCAGACGGGTGCTGGTGGGACAGGGCAACGCTCTTCGCGGCCTGGTTACGTCCGTGTCACTTCCCTAAATCAGTTGCGATCGACCACGCAATGAAAGTGTAAACTCTCTAGATTTCTCCGCACCAAGTCAGCCACGAACAAGCGAAAAAGCCGTCGCCATTCGTTTGCACTGTGGGTGTAGCCACCTTCCGCCCCCGCCGTTCTTGTGGTTTGCGCTGCCGCGGGCCTCCCGCCGAGGCGCGCGCACCTGCCGCCACCGGCGCGCCGGCCGTTTATTTACTTTCCCGCGGGCCGGGGGTCCGTTTGGACGGGCTCCCGCGGCGGCGAGCACTGACGCCGTCTCTGGCGCGTCTCACGTCGTCGCGCTGGCCCGCTGCCGGTGTTAAAACGGTGGGCCGTGCGGTTGCCGTCGCTCGTCGCCGCCCTCTGCCGAAAAGCCCGCTCAGCGGGGTGAGTAGGCTCGCTCGCTGGATGCGCTTGGTTGTATGCTTAAAATATTGCGGTACTTAGTTGAAATGTGTTTTGTATTATGATCGCTAGCCGTTGTCGTTGAGCAATTGGCGTCCTAAGATATGCTCGTGTATGATCTGTTGAGTGCTTGGAAAATGCAAATAAATGTGTATTATCAGGATCGGGCTCATTTGTTCATCGCAGACCATGATGGAGATAAAGAGGGGAAGAGCGACAACGCTTTTAAACGTTTTATCGATGAACCGATTTCCAGCCAATTCCACCAGTGAGCCTAACTCATATGTGTTTGTGCCTCTCCAAACACCGTACGCCTTCAGACACGCGGCAAATACCGAATGCTCCCAATACACCTGAAGAGGAACCCGGGAATAATTTATGATGCATAATGCATCTTTCTGTGAACATTTCGCGAAGAAATCGCACAAACGTATTGAGCTTTTCAACAGCTAGCTTTAGATCGAACATTCATCACCCCACTTACCATTAGTTCAAAAGCAATTGCAAATCAGTGCCGTTGTTTTGGATTTAGAATGGCGTTTGCTTCGTCGACGATGTAATACGTTACGTTTCACCTATTCAGGGATTTCCAGGTCACTGTGTACGGCTTTTTCTTGTAAAAGGTCAAGGCTTTGCTCACCGCCCATGCAAACATGTTAACGCTAAACTGTGTATGCACGACCATGCCGAATATCAATCCTAACTAGTGAACGGTGGGTTAAACTGTGATAAACCCAATTCTCAATTATCCTCAAAGGTCAGTTAATTGCTACAAACATCATCAGCGTAAACCCAACAGAAGTATTAAACGAGGCTTGACGCTGTTGTGAGGAAGTCAGTAATATCCCTCTATTGCATTATTTGCAAGCCTTATAAGTTTCCTAGCTGAAGGTTATCACGTCTGCTGAATGGGAGCGAATTTGTGGAGGCCGGTTAGATTATGCTGGCTGGAATACCAGTAATGTGTTATAAGAGCGTGGTTTAGTAATATCCCGAAAATATTGCGTGAAAAACACCAGAGCCAGATGTCAAAATGCTCTAAGCTCCATAGATTCACAACACACGCTGGCACTAACATTTTGCGATTCCAACGGACTTCACGAACTGCATGGGGCACACAATATCTTTATTGGCATCATGGCAGGCTTCGTACAAAAAGCACCTTAGAGTGGTAGTAGTCGCAAGCAGCTCTCCTGTGTTAGAAAAAGACAAGCGGCAAAAACGACAGAAAATACGAAAACATTCCAAAAATGGATTTCAGCAGTTGCTGACGACGATGAACATGACACACAACGTCGCAGGAATGGGATGTGGATACTTGTGACACCAGCTAAACCTGACTCCGTATCCGGCTTCAAGGCAGGAGTATGAGGACACCACCGTAGCAGGAAGACGGACCGGACCTCCGACCGAGGACCTCACTGTGCATGGAAGGTAGGTAACTCTGACATCGCCGCCAGAGGGGGCAGGAAAGAACGGGACTCCGCCGCGGCTGGCCTGCAACCGGGGTCGTTCGACTAACTACGCGACACGGCTGATCCGGGGCGCCACCTCAGCCCCCCCACCAACGCCCTGGGACGCCTGCTCCGCGGGCTGGCCCGCCCGGCCGACGGGGGCGTCCGCCTCGCGCGGGACGCCCCTCACTCGGACTCGTCCTCGTCCTCGTCCGACTCGTCCTTACTTTGAACCGTGAGTCGGGCCGAGGCCTCGCTGGTGCCGGCGCTGCTGGTGGCGCGGCAGGTGATCGTGCCCGTGTCGTCGTCATACGTCTCGGCGATCTCCAGCACGGCCGTGTCGCCTGCCACCGTCATCTGCCGGTCACAGCAGCGGTCAGGGCAGGCGGCGGCGGCAGCAGACATCACATCAAGTGGCGGCAAGAGCGCAGGCCATGGCATGTAACGACCGCAGCGGAGGTCAAGTCAGGTCATGTCCACAGCGGAGGTTAGGGGGGACCCGCTCAGTCCACGGCAACGATGAAAATCAGGCCATTTGGCCACGCAGTAAGAGATAAGACGAATTTACGGCGAACGCGGAGGTCAGTATACAGGATGGCGGAGGAGAACGTGGCCAGCTCGTCTGGTAAGGACGAGAGTACCGGCCGTTTGGCGGCGACAGGGGTCAGGCGGTTATTTAGCGCTGAGATGGTCCGATTCATATTGACCGGAAAGCCGTGACGCCAGGCATTATGGTCAGCGTAATATCAAGTACTTTAATCACGCAGTGATTCGATTACGAAATTAAACGGCCGTGGCTGCTGCGAAAGCAAACACGCTACTGCTTCGAGCTGAGTGGTAAGTAGCAGGCCTGTCCTGTACAGATGTGTGCCAACTGTACATGCACCTGCACCATGTTGCATGTGTGGGATGTCTTCAGGCAATTGATGGCAATTACAGTATGTTCCTGACAGATAGTCCGCAGGAATACTTCCATTTACAATATTTGAGAAAAAAAATTGGCTCACCATATATCCAGGCTCTAGCTGGCACTGCAAATGGGCACACATTGCAGAGGAATGCTTTCGCCGTGGAGCGCCCCAAACTAAGGCGCCATGACCCTTGAGCGCACGGCCCGACCGACTCTGATATCTCTCAGTAATGCAGACTCTCAGCAAAGCTTTCTCATAAAGACCAGTCAGCGTGCAAACGCCGCCAGCCGTGGTCCTCATTTCTCGTGGCGGAGCGTTGGCATGCCACACTGCTCCTAGCCCGGTGTCAGCCCGGTGTCAGGTGGCGTCTGGGGACTGGGGCACGGCGCTTTGTCGGCGCTGGCCGGGGAGTTACGGCGCTGGACTGTATGCCGCACCAGCGAGTAACATCTGGCAGCGAGCGGCAGCGTCGCTCGTGACCGAGTCTGCGACGAATGCACCGCGCCTCAGCACGGAAGCCAAGCGTCAGAGCCTGCTGTGTCGAGCTGCGTTGCCAACGAAAAGAAACAACAGGCAAGTCCTACTTCTACGATATATGTGCAGTAAAAAGGCTGATGCAAGGCCATGCGGGATTCCCGAGTCTTCCATTTGATTAACGCGGTTTCCACAGCACTGAGGTGCAGCGTTTGAGGAGACCATTCGCGTGCTTTCTAACTGACCTTGAAGTCTCGGCTCTGGGGAATGACAGCGTCTTCTCGAAGCCAGGTCACCGCGGGAGTCGGCTTGCCCGATATTTTGGTCACGAACCGGGCGGGCTCTCCTTCCATGCAGGTCACGTCTTTCATCGGTAAGACGGTCGGACCTTCTTCTTGCTTGGGAGCTGCAAAGAGTGGTTGCGGTTAATGCGCAAAGTGACGCTTCTGGTTATTACAAGACGTAACTGACTTCAATATTTGCCTTCGTTTGAATGTGATTTTTATTGCGGATTGTTCGAAGGAATTTTATAGACTCATATTTTAGAGGAGTGCAAGGCTCTTCGGATATTGTTTTTGTTCTGCCGATCATAATTGGGAAAATCAAGCAAATACATCGTCAATTCTTCTGTATCACGAAGTTTTTTAGGCACACGTGAAAATTCTCTGTTTTCCTTCAGCGACAGCGCGTGATACCGAATCAACAGTGGCGATGTCCCCTAGTCCGTGCAATCCAGGTGCTGCCAATCGGCCCGCCCCGGCCGCATGGGCTCACCCGTGACCCTGAGCGGCGCTTTCATGGTGGACGTGCCAGCCGGGTTGGTGGCCACGCAGGAGTATGTGCCCTCGTCCTCGGGGAAACACTCGGAGATCTTCAGCACAAACGTGTCGCCCTCCTGCTCCATCTTGAAGTACTTGGACGGCTTGATTGGTGTCGCGTCCTTGAGCCACTGCGGCGTCGGAGCTGGGAGGACCGGGAGCAAATTTATGAGGCGAGAAGCAACGATTTGAATAGCATCTACTAACCTCACAGCTGACTCACGAAGGAACGGAAGCTATATTTCCCTCAGATGGGAAAATGGACAAAACTATTGAACATTTTTTGATAACCTCCCGACATGTCATGGTATTTGCCTAGCTTACGCCCCAACGAATCGTTGTGGTCATAGCCGTGCTGCTATTCAACTGCACATCCATCAACATGGAGTGGAGCTGTGCGCAGGTCTCCATTAAAGCGTGCAATGACAACGTTACCACGCATCATAATCCGCTCAGCCACAATCGGCGCTGCTACCTGGCTGGCCGGAGAAGCGACAGCGGAAGGAAGCCGGGTGGCCTTCCTGTACGGTGACGGCCTTCATCGGCACCGTGATCTTGGGAGGCACCGCCTTCTCGTGAGGCTTCGGTGTCGGCTGCGGCGTGACCATCGGGCCCTCTGTCCTCAGCTGCGGTACACAGAGCGGGCTCGGTCAAAGAGTGGGTCGGGAGAGATTTTTGTAGCATCCTGCATCTTATGAATGAACTTCTAGGGCAGGCCCGGAATTCCTTACTGATTGAGGTACGCTAAACGAAACTGCAAGACTTGTCCGATCTCAAAACTCCCAAATTTAGTGACCTTAGATATGCCTGAGTTATACTTGTACGTTGTAAAGTCGATTTATTCGTGATGTTTTTCACCCCAGTCATCACTGATCAAGATCTCGTTTCTGCCAAACAAGCCGCACCCACCCACCCGCTTCGGCCGCGCGCTGCCCTCGTCAACCGCAACGCGGTACCCACTACACAGCGCCCACAAACTTTCCATTGAACATCTCCCCCCACATCCCTCGGCGCTCTCAGCGACGTCTTCTCCGTCGCTCCAGGCAGCGCCGCGTCATGCCCGCCGTCGTACCTCTGCCTGACAGCGCGCCTCGCCGGAAGCGTTGATGGAGACGCATTCGTAGACGCCGCAGTCGTCACCGGTCGGCTCCAGCACCAGCAGCGTGTGCGTGTCCTGCTCCGACAGCAACTTGTGCTTCTCGTCCGGCGTGATCTTGCTGCCGCTCTGTGGGTGGGCGAATAGTAGTCAGCGGTGCCTGGTGATGGGTGTGCCAGTCGGCGGTGCCGGGTGACGGAGGCGTGGCGTTCGGAGGGCGCGAGGGGTGGCTGTCCGGGAAGCACGTCCGCAGGGCGCGCACTGTACGGGTGGCTGGACGGAACCCAGGCGGATGTAGACAACATTAGGTGCCCCATAATATTATGTGCCTTAGTGTCCTTCGGATGCAACTAAACAGGATCGTTATCATAAGTTGAGAATTGATCGCCAACAGTTCACTCAAACAGTGTAACAAAGTGCAAGAGTGAAAGCAGCCTGCGTATGGCCATGAACACGGTAAAATGTTTCAGTGGTTATATATATATATATATATATATATATATATATATATATATATATATATATATATATATATATATATGGAGTGAGGTAATACGTGGCGCTGTCACGTTGTAAAGTCGCCTATCTCGCCATCCCTTCAGATGGCAGCACCCTGAACAGTTGGCCATCTCTTCCCAACCAATCACTTTCCACCCATCTCTTCCCAACCAATCACTTTCCACCCATCGCTTCCGCTGCCGCCAACGGGCCTCACCTTGAGCCAGTACACGTCCATAGGCTTGGTGCCGGCCAGGCGGGCCTCGAAGCGGGCCAGCTTGGTGTCCGGGTGCATGGCCACGTCCTGGATGGTCTGGGTGAAGTTGGGCGGCACTGGCACGCCGTGTGGCAGCCGGCGCTCCTCCACCACCAGGTTGGCCGAGCACTTGGCCTGGCCGGCTGAGTTGGAGGCGACGCACGAGAACTGACCCGAGTCTTCGCTGAACACCTCGCGGATCTCGAGGATCGAGCGGCGGGCCGTCGTCGTGATCTGGGGGACCAGACATCAATGATCACCCTCTGATGATCGCACTCGATCGCATGGTGGCCGTGGCGTACGATTGGAAGGCTTCGAAAGTCGAAAGATGTCCCAGTGCTCAGGGGCTCACGGTGTAGACATGTCTTGTTTGCACTTACCAATGTGTTCATCTGGAACCTTCTCAACTGAGTCAGCTGACGCATGAACCACGGAGCGAGCTTGATAATGTCGTCCGCTCTAGCTCACCTGAATGCACGCATGAAACAACATTCTATGCACCCAGAGAGTAGAATTGTATTCTGTCACTAACGCCACGCACACACGTGAAGTGCAGTGGCCGGTGTCATCCGCCAATGCGTGTGCCCACCTTGAAGTCGGGACTGGAGATAATCGGGAAGTCCTCCCGATACCAGGCGATCTCGGGGGTCGGCTGACCGACGAAGTCCACCTCGAACCGAGCTCCGTTCGTCTCGAGCGCTCGGCTCGGCTGCATCTTACGCGTGAAGAAGGGACGCTTGGACGGCTCCTGGAGCAGGGAGCAAAGTCGTCACCGGTCCCGAGTTGCCGTGCTGAAGATGTACCGTACTGTCGCGAGAGCCTCAAAGCAGCAAGCATTCGGAAACCAGCTTAATGCAGGTTCTGCACTCACGACGCTCGCGTTTGGAAGCGTTCTTCTCCCAATGACCTAGCCTAATGAAACCTAGCCTAATGACCAATCACCAGATGATTGACCCGATTCAATCCATTTGGACCCGCTCGCAGCGGTTCCCAGACAGCGACGCAACTGCGTGTTTAATAACCATCTCATACTTGGCACCGTTCGTCTGCCGCCAGAGGTCAGGACCTCCAGCCCGCGGGCCACGTACCTCCGTGTCCCGGACGCCGGTCTCGGCCGGGCTGGGTGAGGGGCGCCGGTGAGGCTCCACACCCGACCTCCGGTCAGCCTCGGCCCTGCGGACAGGCGCTGCACGTCAGAGGCAGGCCTGGCAGATACGGCAGGTCAGAGGGTCACACCTGAGCTCGGTACCCGGACTGGGCTTGCGGTAATCACGGTAAGCTACTTGTCTTGACACGGCCATCGGCTACTAGGCCAGTTCCACGGATCAGCTCCAAAAATTCTCTTCAGTCAGAGTGCCTGACATTTGATGGCATTTGACATGGAATTGTCTGCGCCACTCTTGCACAAATATAATCAGTAAAGAGCTGTCTAAGATGCATAGCTAAGGTCGTTAATGGGCTTCTAGTAGCATTTTATACTCACAGTTTCTGCGCGTACATGGCGGCCATCCCCTTGGCCACGGAGGTGTGCGGGGCTTTCTCTGTGCCCGTCTGCCGAAACCGAACACGTCATTTAAATGCAGTTTTGAAGTTGGAGGCTGTGCCACATCTATCACTTACCTTTCATGAGAAGTTCAGACAACGCTCAACAAAATAAAGTGATCTGTTTTGAAATACATTTGATAATATTAGGGCGGTACGCTGAATGGCCGGTATACAAATCATACTCATTCAGAGTTTAATAATTGGCGCCACAGTCAAAGTGGGCCACGATGTTATTTCGACAGCCAGGTAAGTGATCGCGCTATTAAGATGGCCATATTTTAATTCCGATCAAAACATCGTCAATGCTCCGCAATCAACTGCGACATTGGTGATGATTCACTTCAAGGTGTGACCAGCTATAGAAATGTGACGTATACAGACGGCATCGAAGCCAAAGGAAAGAGGACACTCAGTACTTCAGCACAGTTGTACTAAACACTGTGACACAAAACGTTTCCGCGTAATTCCGCCTCCTCCGTCGCACCTGTGCGGCGTCAGCAGCCTTCTTGGTCTTAACTGCCTTCTGCCACTCGGTCGCTGGCTCCTCCACAACCTTGTGGTGTTCTCCTTGATGGAGAACAGAAATGCCAGGGCGCACCTTTTCTTCAAAGACGCGGTCTGTCTCGACTTCCTGGCGCTCCGTCTGGTATTGTTTCAGGTCATAGTCATACCAAGCTAAAAAGAAAACTTCAAGTTAACCAGGGCGACGACAGGTGGCGACACGGTGCTTCAACGTCATGCGGGCACCATCGGAGGACAGCGCAAGGGTTGCAGGGACAAGATGGGGCGGGGAACGCAGACAAATTAGTAGGACTGTAATACCAAGTAACTGTAACAACACGAAGCTGTACACTAAAGCATCAATACAAGCATGTATGCTGTGATGCATCTACAATCTAACACAAAGTTTGGGAGTACGAAGGTTGCAACCAGTGTGCGGAAGAGACGGCCCGTCTCACACCCCGCTATACACGCACGTGGACAACCATTGCGGGGAAAGCATAACCAGCTGCTCGTCTTTACTGAGGTAATCCTCATTTAGATGTTACCGTTATCGTCAGGCAAATGCAAAAAAGCGGTAGAGGTTTAGTTACTAAAACCTAAAAAGACATCAGCAAAAATACAGCACAAACATCAAAACAAGACCTAAATCCTGGCAAAAATCCATGCCAAGGAAAAACTGTTACCTCACCCCTTACCTGCGGCCTTCCGAAGCTGCTGCGCAAAGAAACGACGCGTTATGCTACGGAAAGGCGACGCGAGAGGGCGTCGACGCGGAAGTGTAGTGTGTGAGGACGGCCGGGTGGCATTAGTCGTTCTGTTTATGTGCTGGTCTCTGCTTCCCCGCGAGCGGGCGGCCGGCGGCCGGCGCGGGCTCCGCTGGGCCCGCTCCGCCGGCCGCCGCCCTCCGCCCCCGTCCTGGCGGCGGACGCCACTCACGCTTGGGCGAGTTCTTGAGGACGGCGCGGTAGTCGTCTTGGCGAGCGTTGATATTGATCTCGCAGGAGCAGTAGGCCTCGCCGCCCGAATTGCGCGCCACCACCTCGATCTTGCCGTTGTCGTACTGGCGCGTTTTGGGGATGTCCAGCCGCCACATGCCGTCATAGGTCAGCTTGTAGCGCGTGCCCTGCGACAGGAGCAAGGTGTGCTCTAAATGCTGCATGAAGATACGTGACACGCTCGCATACACAAGGCCGGCGCGCGAGTCGCAGTGGGATGAAAACAGCTGCCTCACTAGACATCAGTATCCAAGCCAAGCGGAAGGTAGCAGTTGCAGACCGGTGGAGCCGCACGAGGGTCGGCCGTGTCTGGTGCCAGCTGCTGCTACGACAACGCTTGTCTTCATCTTTTCACCACCAGCTTGTGAGCAGCGCTGCTTTGGCAGCAGCCTCCCTAACATACGACGTTCACGCAGTTTTCTCCGACAAGGCGCAAAATGCGTGTTGGGACAGCTCACGTTGACGATGGTGTGTCCGTTGATGAGCCACATGACGCGCGGGCGCGGGAAGCCGGTGACGCGGCAGCAGAAGCGCGCCCACTCGCCCTCGTTCACCGTCACCGGCTCCGGCTTGGTGACAAACACGGGCGCCTCGCGCGCGCGCTCCTGCTCCAGCGGCACGTCCGGCGCCCGGTTCCAGTGCGACTCCATTTCCTGGATTTTCTTGACGGATTCCATGCCGGCTGGAAGCTGAGACTCATACACGATGCCCGGCTTGCCCTGTGGGGGAGAGACGGTGCTGGTTGGGAAGCAGCTGACGGATCTATGCGTGGTATGAATGGCAACAGGCGTACTAAGAAAAGGACAGCTTCGAGCGATGTGCACATTTTTATGTGCTTGTGCTTTTTTATGGTTACACGGGAGGCTGTGCGGGACAAGTTCCTAACGCTCACTTCGCCGGAGAAATCTGGGACCCAAAACGTCCTATTCCGCTGCTAATCTATCAAGCAATGGATCATGACATCTGTTTTCAAGACCATACCGCATTATGGTCAACTCGACATCTTCTAAATACGGAGTTCACGTCGCGGTCGAGCAAGATGTATGTATATAGTGTGAACACACAGTTTGTTAACGACAGTTCACAACGTCTATGGGTCCTCATCGTGCTCGCGGCCATCCTAGCCCCCCTCCCCGCCCCGGCGGCTCCACCGACCTTGGTCTTGATGACGGCCCGCGTCTCGTCCATGCCGTAGAGGTTGGTGGCGCGGCACAGGTACTCGCCAGAGTCCTCCGGGTACACCCAGCCGAAGTTCATCGCCACGTAGCCGAAGTCGTAGATTGGCGTGAAGCGGTTCTCTGAAGGGAGACAACGTTGGCTCGGTGATGCTTATAGTTGCATGCACACGCTGGCATTGCGAAGGAACTTTGCTGGTTGGAAAGGTGGAGCAGTTCACGCTTTCTGCCACTAACGGCGAATGGTTCGGCAGTGCTGAACGAATTAGGAGAGTACTGACATACAGCTGCTAACGTGAACACGATCTTAACGGCACATACTGTCACAGCGCCGGACAAAACAATCTGCTGAACTGTACAGGAGCTTTGAGCCCAGATGGCTCTCCAATCGCGCTGCCACTCACTGTAGGGCAGCGGTCGGCCGTTGAAGAACCACTCGACCTTCATATTCGGGTCGCCGACCGGAGCCAGCTGGCACTCGAACTTGGTCTGCTCCATCTCCACCAGGTCCATCTTGTTCTGGATTTGCGTGACGAACCTGTGGGCCGCGCCACGATGGACCATGTCACGTTCTGACAGGGAGGGCAAGGTGCCTGTGGATGGGTTAGGCTGGTGCTCGTAGATCAACTATCCTACTCAGTCTCTAGGATTGCTCAGTGGTAGATGCTAACCTCACAGGTGGCTAATTATGAATGAGAGTGGGTGACAGTAGGGGGCTGAGGTTCACTCTGCTGATTCATTTTGTGTCTTTTATTTTTGCTAGAAGAGCAATTTGCACTTAATAATCTCTACACAATTTGACCTGAACGTGGGAAAAGGAGGGGGGGGGGGGGGGGGGGGGCGGGGAGGGGAGAGGGGAGCAAGTGCCACACGTAGGCTCTCCATCGTGCAATCGTTTTGGTTCATGGTGTTACGACCGAAGGCAACGCAAGCAAGTGGCAATGCGTCGGGTGCTCTGAATTTGACCAGTCAAAAAACAGTTTTTAGAAAAATCTGTCTGCTTTTCTGCGTCCACAAAAATAAAGCATCCCATAACAACAATGATCACGAAATTTGCGAACTGTCGGTGGCACTAACTGTAACAAGTACAATAAGAATCGTACAGAGTCCACAGCACATTTTGGTGAACTACGCACCTTGGCGGCTGCTTGCGGTCGGCGTCGTAGATATCCTCCTCGGTAAGGTGGATCTCCGAGGTGTACTGCTTGAGTGCCGCCTCCATCTGCATCAGGTAATCCGAGCGCTTCATGCCCTTTGGCACCTGGGTTAGCATGATCACCGACGAGATGGCTGAGGACAAAAAGGTGAGGTCACACTCTTATGCCGGTGGTCCTCTTTCGTTCCCACAGAACCGCCACGCAGTGTTTACGCCGACCATGCTAATGCTACCGTACCAACCAAGACGGCAAAATCAGATTGGCGGTAGTGTCAATGGTTGATGGCCTTTTCGACGATAATGACGAAAGTATAATCCTGGCGTCAAACGTCCACTGGGGCCGCACATCAACAAACAGACCGCTGCAGACTAGACAGGTCAGCTGGCGGGTGACGTCACGTGACCTCACCCGAGTAGAGACTCGTTAACTGCCATCTAAGAATAGATTCAGGTTGACTCAACTTATTCAACCCAGCACGTGCCTTATGCTATCCCCAGCTGAGCCCAGTCAACCTCAGCTGACCTTTACCGTTCCCAGAAAACTCCAACTAACCCCCGCTGATCGCTTGTTGATCTCTTGGCTGATCTAAGCTGACCTTAGCTGACCTCAGGTGACCCCGTACGGCCCCACCGCCACCAGCTAGCCCCATGTGAGCAGAGCTAACGGGGTTCGGCGGCTGGAGGCCCGCTGCGCACTGACCTCGGCAGGTGAGTGCGCTCTTGCAGGTAGCCTGACCGGCCCGGTTGACAGCGCGACACGTGTACTCGCCACCGTCCTCCGGGTACACGCCCAGGATCTGCAGCGACGCGTACCCGAAGTCGAACGTCGTCCGGAACCTGCCGACGAGAGCACAGCCATGCGTGGGAAAACGTGGCATCAGAGCGATGCGGGGCCCAAGATCAGGGCGCGGAACGAGGCGTGCTCCGACGAAGGCAGACACGGCTGAGGAACCAGTCTGGACGGATGGAGGCGATAAACAGCCAAGTTTGTCAGGCTTCAAACTGATCTGGTGGCAAACTTGAAGACATCCCGAGTACACGCCGTCCCAGCCTGTGAACGCCATCTTCCTTCCCTTCCTGGAGACTGCCCAGCGCTGCGATAGCCCACGAGACCCGGCAGGGGTGGCGCCTGCGGCACCTGTGACCTGTGACCTGTGACGGCTCACCTGTGACCGGTCTGCACCTGGACGCCGTTCCTGTACCACTCAACGCGCAGGTACGGGTCGTTCTTGGGCTCCACCTTGCAGTCGAAGAAGGCTGTCTCGCCCTCGCCCACATCCACGTTGTCAATCTGCAGGTGACGACGAAAGTGTTGTTAAGCTAGTTAGGATTGCCGGGACAGGCTGGAGCTGAAGAGGGTGTTAACTGCACCCAAACAGAAAAGAACTCACGCGAATATCAGGAAATCCCGCGAGACCTGCGGTGCTGTAGAGGGGGACAAACAGCCAATCTTCTGTCTCGCATTTCACAGGATGTGTATCGTGGATCGATTGCCAGCCGAACAGACTAGTGAGCAGCAACGCACATCTGAAGGGTGGTCGGTTAGAGTCTTGTAGATGTCAGGCATAGACGTCGGTCTGAGCCGGAGACGTTGCTCTACCCACAGCACATCATTCTGCATTCACATCAGCTTCGCCATTCAGTCTTGTATCTACGTAGACGTGGCTGTTCTGCATCCCTGATCCCCTGCGAACACCTACCGGCGGGAACGGTGTCGTTTCCCGTGAGAAAACCTCGACTGAGCCTGATCCTTTAGCTTTCGATTCAACAATGATTTAACTTGACATATTTTCGAATGCGTCAAGTTCGATACCAAACGTCAAGTCACTATATTGTGAGGACTTGAGATGACTGTCCGCCGTTGCTGGCGGTGCCCGGCCGCCTCACCTCCTTGTCGAAGCGGGGCGGCTCGGCGTCCGTCTCGGGCGCCAGCGGCTCGCCCAGCTTGGGGCCCTCCTCGAAGGTCCGCAGCCGGTCGCCGGACATGCCGCGCGGCAGCTGCGACTCCAGCACCACGTCCCGCTTGGCTGAAAAGCCGCCCAGGTCACCGGCCTATCTCGGTGGAGCTAGACAGCACACTCGTGGCTCGAGGTTTATGCAGCAGCGCGGACGCCGCGCACAGTCACTTCAGTGTAACAACGCGGCGCTTGGCGGGGCACACGTGACACGATTGAGGTCGTGTCTTTGTAACGCTCGGTGTCTATAAAGCAGAGGACGCGCACATCGTTTGCGTTATCTGTCATGCAGAAACAGTGCTCACAAAAGGTATTGTGCAACAATAACGCACTGGTGTAACAAATAGGCACTGGTATAGTTAAATGCAGCGTGCCAATGGCGTATACCAAATAGGGCAATGCACTTATTTCCATCAACAACACCCCAGTCGCTGAGTTCACCACATACAGAGTATCTGCGACAGTCTTCTAGCCGGCAGCTGACTCAGGTGCTGCAGTCTGTAATACTCGAGGTAGCGCTGGTACTCGTCTGTAAGGTACGGTCGAGAGAGGGCACCTCAGCCGCGGCGCGAGACCGGCACACACCGGCGCCGGGGAGGCGTGCCGGGCGGAGATATTAGCCGGGCTGGGCGCAAACACGCCACCAGCTATGTTACAAGTAGAGAAAAACTATGGGCAAAAAACGGTAGGTGAGAAACACAGATCAAAGCACCTTCGAGATTACGGGAGAGAATGCCGGGTGAAAGTAAACAGCACCCGAAAAATTGTGACATAAAACGCGTCTTAGTGCGTTTTGAGACGAAGATAGGAACCAGGCCGACAGATTACCGCATGCAACTATTTCTATTTATAAGGTAGAGGACTTCACCCACAACACGTCCGAAGCTCAAAGAAAATGGAAGCATGAGTTATAAACGCAATGGGCAGAAAACCAGCACAAAGAAACGCAGAAAACCGTCTAGGGGTAAGGCGTCTTAGCAGTCCGTGGCTGACGCCCTAGCAGGCTCGTTTATCGGCGCCGGCGGGGCCAGCCACTCACCCTTGCAGATGAGGGTGGCCTTGGTGGTGGCCGTTCCCCACTTGTTGGTGGCGCGGCAGACATACTCTCCGGAGTCGCGCGGGAAGGTCCAGTCCAGGTCCAATACGATGAAGCCGAAGTCGTCCAGGAAGTGCACCCTGAAATCCACACGTCGGTTTTGCCATTGACGTGCGAGCGACATCGCGCTGTGACAGGCATCGATGACTTGACATGATTACAGTGGTGATGCTGTTGACCGTCTTCATCAGCTGAGAATGGAGGGGTAGTTGCGGTATCAGATGCCTCTCCAGTCTCAGCGCCGAGGCCCCCTCCCCCGGTGAGAATGGAGGGCAGTTGCGGTATCAGATGCCTCTCCAGTCTCAGCGCCGAGGCCCCCCTCCCCGGGGGGAGGGGGGAGGAGGCTCGGTCCCGTCCTGACTCGCCACTGACCTGGATCCGACGTCGATGGGCCGGCCGTTGTGGAACCACTCGATGCGCATGCTGGGGTCGCCGACCGGCTCCACGCGGCAGTCGAAGTGCGCCGCCTGGCCTTCGAACAGGCCCTCCAGGCCCTGGATCTCCGTGATGAAGTGCGGCGGCCGCGGCCGATCCTCCTCCTCCGGCGCCTGCTCCGAGCGGTACATCGACTCCTCCAGCTTGCGGATCCCCTCCATGCCGTGCGGCATCTGGGGCTCGAGCACCACGCCCTGCCGACCCTGGGGAGCCGGAGAGAGAGCGAGGGGTGTGTCAGCAGCACCCCTCTCTGGACGCAGAAACACAGTCCCTGACTGCATTTTATGCACCCCAATCATTTCCGGTTTCGTTTCTTCCAGCCTAATTACAAGTCGTCTAATGGCGTACCTTGACGGTGAGCGTGCAGGAGACAGACGCCTCGCCGTGTCTGTTGGCCGCCTTGCATGTGTAGAGACCGGCATCGCGCTGGTAAATGCCGCCGATCTCCAGAATCACGTAGCTAAAAACGGCGTAAAAATACGGTTACCCCGAAGCCTAACGATAATCTGAACAGCAAATGTTGAGCCCGAAGACGTCGATTGGCCAGTCGTTTCAATTTGGCCAGCCTCAAGACCTTCTCAACGTAGCACATATGACCAAATGGGGCCCATGAAGTTGCATTTCTGATAAGTCAGTAGGCTGATATTCAGACTTTTCTGAACTCTCGCCAACTTGACCCATCATCCCCATGTTACGCATATGAGGTATTTGTTATCTATACGCTATGATTTTACTGAAGCCACTCTTCAACTATAAGTGGTTCACGGGTGGTTGGGCTGGAGTTGCGCCGGTTCCCTCATTTTACTCCCGTTCCAATGCCTCTCAGCCCGCCCCAGACGCCGCCATCAGCTCGCGATCCCCGGATCACCAGCGCGCGCTCGCCATACCCGAAGTCATTGATAGTGCGGACCCTGGAGCCGGCTGAGAGGGGCTTGCCGTTGTGGAACCACTCGACGCGCATGGTCGGGTCTCCGACCGGCGTCAGGCGGCACTCAAAGTGTGCCAGCTGGTTCTCCACCAGGCTGATATCGGCCGGCTGCGTCAGGAACTGCGGCGCCGCGCCCTGTGGGGAGGGGGTCAGGGCCATTGGCGAACGCTGGCTGGTGTCGAGCCCGGAGGCAGCTCGCCGTCCTGTCGCCGCGCTACTGCTGCTTCTATGAGCTTAGCGGATGTGACGCATGTAAACAGGTACCGATGCTTTGTCCTTTTGTGCTGCACTAGTTGTAACCACACAAATAAGCGCCTTCAGCAGCACTAATTACCATTATTCTAATAAATGAACGATTTCCCCCATGGTGACTCAGGGATACACCACAACCGCACAAGCAGGAGTGTGCTCTAAATCCAGGACCTTGCTAGAAAACCATTCATGCCACCGGTCATGCACGTTGGTAGCTGAAAAGGGTGCACCAATCATCACAGCGCATATGGGCCCACCTCCTCCGTCTCTCCGGGTACGACCGGCTTGACGCCCAGACCCTCCAGTTCGGCGATCTTCTGCATCGTGTCCATGCCCTTGGGCAGCTGCGACTCCAGGATGATGTTCCTCTTGCCTGCGACACAAACGATCAGCATCGATCAGCTATTCGGGACGTCAACGTACGCCAGCGATACCAACAATCAAACAGGCGCTATGGCGACCGTGTCCTCGAGCCGGCAAAGCTGGACATGCCGGCATAAAAAGCGGGTGTGCAAATGAGACGATACGTGTCCGCACCTGAAGACCCGCTTCAGAAGATTTATGGAACGCGCAATATTGAAGCATTTTACCAGGCTGAGCCATTGTACACGTTAATAAGTGGAGCCGTTCTTTCGACGGTCGGGTAGTTTTATGTTCGCGTCCTGCACAGGAGAGCCGGCCACAGCCGATGCCGCCCCACTCACCGGAGCACTTCATGACAGCCGAGCTGGTGGCCTCGCCGACTTCGTTGAAGGCGCGGCAGGTGTACTCTCCGCTGTCCTCCGGGTACACCGGCGAGATCTCCAGGATGACGAAGCCGAAATCGCAGAAGGTGCGGAAGCGGCTGGAAGCCTTGAGCGGCTTGCTGTTGTGATACCACTCGGTCTGAAACAGCGGCAGTCGTAATAGTGGAACTAACTCTAATTCGGCGGGAACTCAACTACACCGTCTTTGGTTACTTGACCCCTTACATGTTCTAATGATTGCTTTTCAGACAGCCTTCAAGCGGCAAAGACTTGGGTGCCTTCGATCTTCACAACTATCGCCACGAGTGCAAACTAAGCTAGCCTCTCTTTCGTTACTTGACCCTCTTACATGTTCCTAAGGTTGTCTTTCAGTCAGCCTTCAAACAGCACAGACTTGGACGTCATGACGTCATAGGTCACCACGACACACATATTCCACTTAAGCACCCAGGGACAGGACTCATTCGGTCCTGACCTTGAGCTTGGGATCGTCGACAGGCGTGAGGCGAGCCTCGAAGTGGGCGTTCTCGCCCTCGCGCAGGTCGTCGATGTTGTTGAAGGGCACGGTGAAGCGGGGCGCCACGCGCGCCGTCACGTCCTCCTGCTGCTCCCGCGTCAGGCGCGCGGCGTCTTCCAGGCTCCGGATCTTCTCTAGGCCGCCACTCATCTCCTGCGAGGAGCGGATGTTCGTCATTATCATCGTCATTTTAATTGATATGATAAAGGTTCTGGTTATTACCGTCCTGAATATAGTGAATCTCACCATGCCATCGCCATCGTGAACCGCATCGTAAGTGTAGAGCTAAGTGCGTGTGACCCACGGCGACTATCATGTGGACCTGTAAGTGTTCTGTGTGCTGGAGCTGTGACCATGAATGCCAGGTCCTCTTTTTCACTTTTCATCCACTTCATATATCAGTACGGCATGAAGTGTCTCGACAGCGAGTGACAAACCGATAGAAGGGTAAGGGCGACCAAAAGGTGAGGGTGACTATCAGCTTAATTATCAGCTGTTAAGCGTCTCATAAAGCACGCCTGGACCCCGACGTGACCCGCTCACTCGCCTGCGGCATCTGGGGTGTCAGGATGAGGCTCTCCTTAGAGAGGCACTTCAGCTCGGCCTTGGTCACATCCGAGCCGATCTTGTTGGCGGCCCGGCACTCATACAGGCCCGAGTCCTCCTCGTAGCAGTACAGGATGTCCAGGATCACGATGCCGAAGTCGTGGAACGTGCGGAAGCGGTGACCGGTTGGCAGCTTGGTGCCGTTACGGTACCACTCCACCTGAGAGTGGCCGCCGAGTGGGGCATTAGCGGATGTGGTCACGGGTAATGTCACACGGCTGACACAAAGGTGATGTCACACGGCTGACACGGAGGTGATGTCACGCGGCTGATATGGAGGTGATGTCACGCGGCTGACACAGATGTGGTGTCACACGTGGAAGTGATATCACGCGGCTGCCATGGAGATGATATCACGCGGCCGACACAGACGTGATGTCATACGGCTGACATGGAAGTGATGTCACGAGGCTGACATGGAGGTGACGTCACACGGCTGGCTCGGAAGTGCTTTCACGCGGCTGACACGCACGTGAACTAAAATCAAGTTAGATTCACAGACTGTGTTTTAAGAAAGATTCGTAGCAACCAATCGATAAATTTCGGACCAATATTTCATTTGAACGCATATTAAGGCAACAACGTGAAAGCTTAGGCATACATTAGCAAGCTTGCACGAACGAAGACTACGGACTTAGCCACAGCTTTCCCCCCATCATCGAAAGACCGGCACTCTACGTCCGCAGCTCCGGGCCGTTGGACGCCTTCACGCTCCTCACCGTGAGGTCGGGGTCGTGCACGGGGGTCAGGCGCGCCTCGAAGTGCGCCGAGTGGCCCTCCACCATACTGGCGATCTCGGCAATGTGCTTGGTGAAGCGAGGCGGCTCGGAGCTAGGCAGCCGCGGCGGCCCGCCCGCCTCCGGCGTCATCTCCAGTTCGGTGATCTTCCGCAGCGCCTGCGGCTGCAGCGAGTCCAAGAACACGCCGCCCTTGCCCTGGCAGCGGAGCGTGGCCGTGGTGCTGTCGGAGCCGTACTTGTTGGTGGCGCGACACACGTACTCGCCCGAGTCCTCGTTCTGCGCGTACGCCACGTCGAGGAGCACGAAGCCGAAGTCAGAGACGCACTTGATGCGGGAGGAGTGGCGCAGCGGCTTGCCGTTGTGGAACCACTCGACCTTCATGTTGGGGTCGCCGACCGGCTCCAGTGTGCACTCGAAGTGGGCTGAGTCGCCGTCGCGCAGACTCTCCACGTTCTGCGAGAGAGAGGATCATGGTGCGGCAAGGCGGGTATTTAACGAGGTGGTAAAATGCACCTACATGAAAATGTATCGTAAGGTGCATGACAGAGTTCTACCGACGAGCACCTTTGCAAGATTGGTCGTATTATCAATCACCTTTGAATTATATCATGTAACTATTTGCGCATCAGACTCAGCGCTGGCCACTTGCGCTATGCCAGACATGACCGGACCTCGAAGCAGAAGCCCCGGCACATGTCCTCGTACCTGGATCTGGGTAATGAAGTGCGGCTTCTGGCCGCTGTCCTTGTCCACACACTCCAGCGTCACACTGATCTCGGCCTTGCCCCACTTGTTGGTGGCGCGGCACGTGTAGACGCCCGAGTCCTCGATCTTGGTGCCCAGGATCTCCAGCACGACCATCGAGAAGGCGTGCACCGTCCGTTTGCGGTGGCCTGGACGGATGACGCCGTTAGTGCCAGGGACTCGCATTGGGCGAGGGCCGCGCACGTGACGGCGGTGACGCTCGAATGCTGAGGTAGGCTGTTTTACTCAGTGGCATGTCATAAGAGCGCGCTTATTGATGTGTAAGCGCGGATTGTTTCTTGGAATTTATCGGAAATTGCGACATTGACACGATAACCTCTGGTTATTGCAGTGCTGCTGTTGATGGAATTCACAGATGCTCATATCGCTTTTTCACCTACTATGCTTCGACAGATGAGCAAGGGAGCTAAGACGGCTTCACGCGGCACCTAGACAAAAGTGAGGCTTGGTGATCATACTGAAAACGCAAAAAGAAAGAATGCCTTGAAATGGACACGTCGAATGCCTTTGCTTGGCCGTCACAATCCATGCTGTACCACACCACACTAGTGTACGGCTGCTTACTGGCTTCCAGCGGTTTGTTGTTGTAGAACCATTCCACTTTCATGGTCTGATCGCCGATTGGCGTCAGCGTCGCCTCGAAGTGAGCAATGTCGCCCTCGCTGAGGTTGGACAGGTTCTCGCACTGCAACGAAGCAAAAATCCTGGGTCAGATGGACAACAACACTAAGTAACAGCAAGGACGACGTGAGGTCCGCTCTAAGGTGTTGAATGTTTCGAACCGTCGTACCTCTGCCTAGAGCCGAGTGTTTAGCGCAGGCTTACAATCATTGGAGAACGTGATGCATTTCAAAGCATACAGTGCCATCCACACACACAGCATGCCATAAATTAGGCGACTTCTGCGGACCCACATGAGCCCAGCACAACGTCCCCATCCGTCGGCAGCCCGCACCCAAAACACCCAACGCAGCGCTAAGCCTACACCAGCTGGTTGACAAACGGCTTGGCGCCGTGACGTCACCATTTCAGCGCGCCATGTCAATGGCCGGGCCGCACCTGTGAGGTGAAGACTGGCGGGTGGCCCTCCTCGTCGGTCAGCGGCGGCCCTTCGCCGCGCTTGCGGGCTCCCTCCAGCTCCTGGATGGCCTCCAGGCCCATCTCGCCCTTGGGGTGCTGGGTCCAGTCGATCAGGCCGGCCTTGCCTGAGGGACACAGTGCGAGGTCAGCCGTGGCGAAGGCGAAAATGCGGGATGTGGGGAGCTCCACAAACGACAGCGGCCCCGAGCGGCAAAACGTGCCAGGCGCCGACACCCCAGCTGTTCCTCCTACCCTTGCAGGTGATGGTAGTGGTGGTGAACGCCTCGCCCGCCTGGTTGTGGGCGCGGCACGTGTAGATGCCCTGGTCGCGCGGGTACACGTCCGTCAAGTTCAGCTGCACGAAGCCGAAGTCGTTCGACATGTGGAACCGCGATGCTGAAAGACAGGACTATGTTAAGAGGCGGGCAAGGAGTCGTGCAACCTGGAGGTGTTCTAAGCAGCTACTGAGCGAGGCCACTCAAGATGAGGTGCTCCCGACGGTATGTCTTTGTCGCAACGCAAAACAAAACCAAACAAAAAAACTGATAATATATCTACTTATGGGTCAAAAGTAGATGTGTTCATCCTTTGCTCCCGAAAACAGGAGGATGCTTTTTAGCCGCTAGAGGCAAAAAGATACAATTTATAATTAAGCGGAGAAATACATGGCCATTACACCCCAGCTGTCCTCCCCGCGCAGCTGCCCCCTTCCCCTCTGCCTCCCTGCGCCTGCAGCGCTGCTCACCGTGCGCCAGCGGCTGGCCGTTGAACAGCCACTCGACCTCGAGCTTGGGGTCCTCCTTGGGCTCAACGTTGCATTCGAGACGCAGCGGCTCCGTCTCGCCCAGCTCGAACGTCGGCTGCAGTGGCACGATGAACCACGGCTTGGGGAACGGCTTCTCGGCGCTGCCGTCCAGCGTCGGCTTCCCGGCTCGCGAGGAGTCCACCTCTTCCACCTTCTCCAGTCCGCGCGCACCGGCCGGGTGCACCGTATCCAGGTAGATGTCTGCCTTGCCTGCAGGAGGAGGTGTGGATGTGGAGTGCGGTGGTGGTTTGCAGGCGCACCGCTGAAGCTCCGCGCTGGTATGAATGGAGAGCCATCCATTGATTTCATCTCATCACGGTAACTTATCGCGTCTACTGCCTTGACGTTGACAAGCACTGCTCACATGTGTTGGCGTGCAGGTTGGAATTTTTCGACAATTGAGCCGTTCATGAAAAGACGCATTCAGGCTACATTCGAGTCGATCGCCAGCGTTGTGTCTACCACCGACATGGAAACGATCCAAGCCTTGCGGTCACAACTCAGGTGATGACGTCACAAATTCTGCCGTAACCATCAGAAATCAGCCCCATCACTTACTTTTAACCTTGAGGGTGCCCGAGGTCTGGGCCGAGCCCTTCTGGTTGGTGGCCTTGCAGACCAGCAGGCCCGAGTCATCCGACTGCGTGCCCCTGATGTCCAGGGTGACGAAGCCAAAGTCGTACTGGGACGTGAATCGGGAGCCAGTCTTCATCGGCTGGCCGTTCAGGAACCATTCTGTGATCGGAAAAGTCCCCGTTCATAAAGAGCATGTCTAAGACGCTAGGCTTATCAGCTAAGTTGGTACGCAAAATCTACTATGTTGGTGCACATGCAGATTTCGCGTAACTGACGGGCCTGGTATTAAAGTGAACATGCGTCGTTAGCCTGTTTTAACCTTAACGAAGCTGAGAGACACCGGCTGTTCGTTTCAGGGTTTGATTTGCCTATCCCCAGATGGCCTAATACCTCAACTTCCAATATCTTTCCTTTTGTGCGCCCGAACCAAACCGTTCCTTTGGACGCTCACCGATCGTCATGTTGGGGTCCTTGGCCGGCTCGACGCGGCACTCGAAGTGCACTCCGTCGCTCTCGTCGCACTCGGCGTTGTTCAGGTGCGAGATGAAGACGGGCAGCTCGAACGTGATCTCGGGAGAGGTCGGCGCCGCCGGCGCGTGGCCCAGCTCCAGCTGCGCGATGGCAGAGAGAGCCTCCGGACGCTGCGACTGGCCCAGCAGCCAGTGCTTGTCTGTGGGGAGGCGTGACGTGATGACGACGCCTGTGGCAGGCGCAGATGTCTGCGATGCAGGCTGGTGAGAAAGGCTTCCCTCTCCGCTGTGCCTGCTGCGTTTTGTCTTTGTACGTGTGTCTATGCATGGGCTGCTTTAGGACATTTGCAAGTAGCACATGTGATTCCTTGCGCGTTGTAAGTAGCGCGCTGCGCTACTTACATACAGCGCACCGGAAACTTGCGATGTGAACGCCATGACAGGATCACAATACATGGAGGGTGGAATCAATCAAAGAAAAACAGCGGGTCGCTTTATCCTCAGTACCCACTGAACACCGTTAGATCTTGTAACACCAGCAATCTGAAACCCCGGATCGCCCAGCTTCTAGAACATCCTTGCACCCACCTTCGACCTTGAGCGTGCATGTGGAGACGGCCTCGCCCATCAGGTTGACGGCGCGGCAGGTGTAGATGCCAGAGTCGTCGCCTCGCAGGCTCATGATATCCAGCGTCACTAGGCCGAAGTCGAACGTGCTCCTCAGCCGAGCGCCTGTCGAACAAGGGTGCATGTGACACGGGCCGGCCACGGCGAGGCGCAAACACGGCCACTGGTCGGTGGCGCTGCGTTGCAGGAGATCGGAGCGTGCCGAGCAATGCGGATCAGGGGAGGTCGTAACGGTGTCGTAACGGTGTCGCATGTAAACCATGACAACGGGTCCAGTGACTTTGCGCCCTGAGCTTGTCGCACGGCAAAGCAGTCCCACACCCGTTTTGCTGCTCTCTTATTCCGCCTCCTAAGCGCTTGCGACTTAGCCACTCATCGACAGACTAAACACGCGTCGCCATTGCCAGTCCAGTCCGCGCCACGTGCCCCGCATTCGGCATCTCGGCCGGTGCCGACACAGCTGCAGCCGCGCCCCTCACCGGTCATGAGCGGCACGCCGTTCTTGCTCCACTCGACGCGCAGGTTGGGGTCGGTCTTGGGCTCGACGGTGGCCTCCAGGTGGACGCTCTGCTGCTCGGTGAGCCGGTCGTAGCTCTGCAGGTGGGTGGTGAAGACGGGCGCCTGCTGCGGCCGCTCCTCCACGTACATCTCCGGCACACGGTTCATCTCGGCCTCCTTCAGCTGGATCTTGTCCCAGGCCGACGCGTGGATGGCGTCGCCCAGGATGCTGCTGCGATCTGCCGGAGAGAGGAGTGGGAATCACGTGGAGGAGCGGAGGAGCGAGGTCTTGTCGAGCTGCTAGTGGAAGTGCTTGTGGTGACGCGCGTCGTGGCGGGATGGCTCGGACGTGCACTGTGAATCAAGCTACAGCAGCGCGCGAAAAGGAAGCACGCATTCTACCAAAAGCGGTGTGCGAAATTTGTGACCAGTGCGGCAGACCTAAAAGCGCGCGAATTGCTTTCTTCTGTTTCAAACTTTTGTCAGTCCAATCCCATTCCTCCATACATCAGCGGAGAAGAAAAAATAAACGCACAACTGATCTATTCAATATTTGATGTACAGCCCACTACCCAGCCAGAGAGCCAGCAATAAATCCACGGTACAGCGCTCCTGCCGTTTCTTCGGCTGGGGAGGCGCTCACCATGCACGCGCAGGGAGGTGGACGTGACGGCCTCGCCGGCCAGGTTCACCGCCTTGCACATGTACATGCCGGCGTCCTCGGGGATCACCGACATGATGTCGAGCGTGACGAAGCCGAAGTCGTGCGTCTCCTTGATGCGGGCTCCTGGCGGCGGGTGATGCGAGCTTCAGTCACATCGATGCTTTCGGAGGTTGGCCGGCTGCCGTCGGCGCCAATGAGAGCGCGGCAATGCCCTCAGTGCAATGTGGGAGATTACGGCAATAAACGCGTTGTTGAAGGCAGTTAACTAGTAGGTACGTTTATATGCGGTATGTGCAATTTCTTTTTCTTTGTTGATTTAAAGGAATTGCAGCTGCAAACCTCTGTACTCTATAAACATAGCCAATGGCTACAATCCTGACGTAGTCTTATCGTCCATTTTCAAAAAAAAACTTAGCGTCTTTTTACATAAATCCTCTTTGCCAAAAGGCGTGACATGCAAAAACGGCGCAACATGAAGAGAAAGCAAATGGATGCCACACGAATTGGTCCAGCTGAGTCCAAGCCTGCGAAGCTTCGCTGATATACACAAGCGAAAGATGATGTTGAACAAGCGAGACATCCGTCGATGTCATTATACAACACAGACGTGTTTAAACTCGCACGACGCAGCATCGCCATAATTTACCGGTAAATCCGCAACCAATGCTCGACACCAACGTATGTGCATGCATCACTCAGGAAATTTGATAGAAAGAGGAAGACGCTATATAAATACAGGGGACCTTAAACAGAAGCAGTGACAAACAAAGCAGTGCCAAACGAAGATAATCCATCGAAATCCTGCATGAGTACATCAAACCTGCCGAGTCCTCCGGCTTACCTCCTGGCAAAACGAAAACCAAATCAACGTGGCTCATTTCCCTACCTGGCATGAGCAGTCTAGATGACTGAACCAACCCAGAACAAACGGCACGAACAAAAACAGGACACATACTAGAAAAAAACACGAAACGTAAAAAAAAAAATACGACGACGGAACAAGGTGACTGGACAGTGTTCACTACCAGGTTTTAACACCCATCCCCTGGGTTTAAGCGACGTTGACACTGCTTAAATGCCAACAGAATGTCTGTAACATGCTCAGGCTTGAAGCTACACGAACTGTAAGGTGCATGTAAGCATGACGTCATTTGAGGCTGGATAACAGGTGGTTTGAAACAAAACAGCAACAACGTAATGATGGACTTTGCACAATTAACATTCTGAGGGCAAGTAGAATGCTCAAAACACCGTACGCTAAAAAAGAAAGAAACACGACCATCGCAATGACCGGAACAGGCCAGGCGGTCTACGAGTGGTTCTCAAACCTCACTTCGCAGTGCCTGCTCCGATCCCACCACTCACCTAATTTGAGCTCGACGCCGTTCGAGTACCACTCGAAGCGGAGGTTGGGGTCTCCGACGGGCACGCAGCGCGCCTCGAAGTGCGCGTGCTGGCCCTCGATCAGGTCGGCAGGCCCCGTGAGCGGCATGGTGAAGACGGGCTTCTCGAACACCTGGTCGGCCGGCGCTGGCGCGCCGGGCGCCTTCTGCTCCAGCGCCGCCAGCTTGGCGACAGACTCTGGGTGTTGCGTGTCCAGGATAATGCTCGCCTCGGCTGCGGGGTCACCGAGGTCAGGGTGGGGTCGCGTGAACTCCATGAGGTATCGTCATGTGTCGTGTGAACGCACAGTTGCGTGTGCAGTGAACGCGTGACCTAGCGCACCATCGCATCACGTCACACCTCATGTAGGCCATCACACCTAGCGTCTGCACATATTTTGCTAATGTGACGGTCTTTCGCCAGGGTGACAAGCCACAGGACACCTCATGTAAGAATACCATGCGTATTGCGCGATCCCACAGCACAAACCGTCCAAGCCCGTTGTAAAATGTCAGCGGCGAAAACTAACGACCCTGGCAGTACACGCGAGAGCTGTGCCAAACCCAACGGTCACAATGACCGGTGCGCGGCGGCCTCCGCTCCAGTGCCCCTGGCAGCTCACATCTGATACGGATGGAGGCGGTGGTGACGGCCTCGCCCAGGTCGTTGGTGGCGCGGCACGAGTAGACGCCCTCGTCTTCTGGTCGCAGTCCGGCGATGTCCAGCGCCACGTAGCCAAAGTCGTGGGTTGGCTTGAACCGGGAGCCTGCGACGCGAGCGGCGCCGTGAGCACACTGACAGCGATGCGAGGAGGTCGCACGCGTGAACGCCGTGAGCACACTGACAGCGATGCGAGGAGGTCGCACGCTGGAACGCCGTGAGCACACTGACAGCGATGCGAGGAGGTCGCACGCTGGAACGCCGTGAGCACACTGACAGCGATGCGAGGAGGTCGCACGCTGGAACGCCATGAGCACACTGACAGCGATGCGAGGAGGTCGCACGCGTGAACGCCGTGAGCACACTGACAGCGATGCGAAGAGGTCGCACGCGTGAACGCCGTGAGCACACTGACAGCGATGCGAGGAGGTCGCACGCTGGAACGCCGTGACACAGCGACAGCGATGCGAGGAGGGTCCGCACGCTGGAGAGCGCCCGTGAGCACACTGACAGCGATGCGAGGAGGTCGCACGCGTGAACGCCGTGAGCACACTGACAGCGATGCGAAGAGGTCGCACGCGTGAACGCCGTGAGCACACTGACAGCGATGCGAGGAGGTCGCACGCGTGAACGCCGTGAGCACATTGACAGCGATGCGAGGAGGTCGCACGCTGGAACGCCGTGAGCACACTGACAGCGATGCGAGGAGGTCGCACGCGTGAACGCCGTGAGCACACTGACAGCGATGCGAGGAGGTCGCACGCGTGAACGCCGTGAGCACACTGACAGCGATGCGAGGAGGTCGCACGCGTGAACGCCGTGAGCACACTGACAGCGATGCGAGGAGGTCGCACGCGGGTACAATACACTTGCACCGCGATAAGACCGAGCAATGCTGATCTGACCGATGCAAAATTTACGTTTTTTTTTTACACAAACTCGCATAGCTGTTCGGAAAAGTTTGTTTTCTCGCAGGGGCAGGGAGTTTTGCAGTGCACCAACCTCTAACGCACGCGAGGATGTTTGTATCCAAGGCGTCGCATTGTCACGACAAAACGCACTACGTCACCGACAGGAAAGCACGTCAAAATCCAGCTTCGCTTTGCCTCTGCAGAATGCCTTCTCACCGAACTGCAGCGGCTGCTCGTTTCTGAACCATTCGACCTTGAGCTTGGGGTCCCCGACGGGGATGAGCCTGGCCTCCAGGTGGACGGCCTGACCCTCGTCGACGCCGTCGACGCTCTGCAGCGGGTGCGTAAACATGGGCTTCTGGTAGGTGGCCACCTCCTCTGGCCGCGCCTCCGGTGCGCGCTGCTCCAGCTGGCGGATCGCCTCCAGACCCTCCGGCCGCTGCGACGCCAGGATGATCTTCTCCTTGTCTGTGAGGGAGTGGATGAAAAGTCACCAGGCGCAGAGTGAGAATGTGGTGATGTGTTTGCTTACGCGAACAGGTGTTACCTGGTGCTTTCATTATACGAACGAAAACTAACGAAACAGAAAGCCTCATTTCATGGCTCACCATAAAGCCTAAACAACTTGCAGGAAGATAAAGACGAGCCATCCACCATTTGCGTGACCGGCACGTTGTGACACGCGTAAGTCTACAAACTTGCTCGCACGCTGCTCCGTACAGTCGACACTCACCGAGCACTTGAATGGTGAGGGTTGAGGAGGCTTCGCCAATCTTGTTGACGGCTCTGCAGGTGTACTCGCCGGCATCCTCAGCCACCAGGCCGCGGATGTCCAGCGACACGTAGCCGAAGTCGAAGGTGGTGTGGAAGCGCGAGGCCGACTGCAGCGGCTTGCCATTGTGGAAGAACTCAACGCGCAGGTCCGAGTCGTGCAGCGGCTCGACGCGTCCCTCCATGTGCGCGGCGGCACCCTCCGCCAGCTGGGTTGGGCCCTGGGGGCATAACCGCCGGTCAGGGACTGCTAGATCAAGGTGAAGTGGGCCACAACATTTTCTAGGAGAAGCGGGCTCGACTGGAGGCATGCATTCAGACCGCTTTCGCATTCCCTCGTCTGTTGGCGTGTCTTGCGCAAAGTTTGGCGAGCGCTGGTGATATCAGTTACACTACTGACCAACGTTTGAAATCACCGTGTTGAAAAGCCCTTATTACTGCCGTTATTGATTATAATTATGATTATGTACGTTTGAAACCATGACAAACCCACGTCAATTAAAAAAAAAAGTATCCAACTTTCTCCAAGCGATCCCGAGAGACGCTCCGAAAATCCTCCAACCGACCCTGAGCTCCTGGACGAAGCGAGGGGGCTCCTGAGGCGCCTCGGTGTCCGACGCTCGCTCCGGCTCGCGCGACTCGAGGTCACGGATCTTCTGCCAGCCCTCCGGGTGCTGGGTGTCCAGGTAGATGGAGCGACGGGCTGTGGGCAGGACGAGATCAGCCGTCGGAGTCTCCACGCAGAAGTGGCGGTGTTAAGGTGCCGGAAGGTCAGAAACTGCGTCGGAATAGTGTTTAGGGGAGTGATGCTCATGGGTTGCTTTTCGTAGCAGCTAACTTTTACTGAAGCGATGTACCACCTCGAATGATTCAAATGCTGCAACCCAGCGATGTTGATGGATACACTTGCCATAACATGACTTCTACCGTGTGGATGTCCCTTAGCACATCCTGTGCAACAACTCTCGCACCAGCAAAACTGTGCAAGAGCCTCGGTTGCCGACGCACCACTCAATATCTTGAGCGTTTTGTCCATCAGCATAAAGCTTCTAGCACCGAGTGTATACCCACAGAACTGGCGGCATTCATCCGTTAGTGGGGTCGTCAGCAGAGAAATACACCATCGTCCCAACAAGACGGCTTGCAGCTGCTGCTTGGCTTGATTTATGCCTCCGACAGTCTTGCACCACGCTACATGACGTGGAGTCAAGCAAATTTATTCTGAGGTGGCGGAATTCTTGCTATTCTAGGCGGCGTTGCTGTTGATCACACCCCAGTTGGGATGCGTCTTCCAAGCATTTCAGCTACTAAACTACACGGTATTTCCGACACTTTTGAAACAAGTTCAGCAAGAACACACCGACCGCAGCCCACCGATCAAAGGCACGCTTGCCAAATTCCGAACTTCAAAAGACCCACTTAATCGACACCCAGAGCAAGCACGAGACAGCCAACTACTACGCGAGACCTGCCTACTGCAGTCATGCAGAGCGCGGCTGGCAGCCACATGGGGGCGTGTGCAGACGGGCGCCCACCCCCGACATCCACAGAGCGCGGCTGGCAGCCACATGGGGGCGTGTGCAGACGGGCGCTCACCCCCGACATCCACAGAGGGCGGCTGGCAGCCACATGGGGGCGTGTGCAGACGGCCGTTCACCCCCGGCATCCGCAGAGCGCGGCTGGCAGCCACATGGGGGCGTGTACAGACGGGCGCTCACCCCCGACATCCGCAACACCTGGGCAATAGTGGAGCCAGCCCAGGGGCTCGCACGGTGTGTGTTGTGTGTGTGTGTGTGTCAGCTGCGAGGAGCTGTAACGATTTTTCTGATGCGAAACTAGAGTTAAGCTGTTAGTCTGCACAAATTGAACGTGCATATCACCTACTAATCACCCATCCACTCGTCTTGTCCCTCCACCACGAGTAAAGTCAACATGTGAGACGGAAATGAGCCGTTATGAATGGCTGTGTTCACAAAGCGTGATTTACTAACAGCTTAGGATACAGTTCTCTGAGAAACTCGCTCCAGCGTCCTGCTTCTGTTCAGATCATCTATCACAGACATCTCACTCCACAAGATCACTCGCAGGAGGCATCCGAGAGGATGTCTGATAACTTGCTGGATTGTTTGGTCCGCAGCCAACGTATAACCCTACACTTTTTTCATTCCGCAAAAAATCGCAAAATGAGCACGCGAGCTGTACGCCTGACTCAACACCACCCCTCCCCAACCCCTTCCGCTGAGCGCGCCCCTGGCACGGCGCCACGTACCATTGACCCGGATGGTGCACGTGTTGACCGCCTCGCCCAGCTCGTTGGTCGCCTTGCACATGTATGTGCCGGAGTCCTCCGGGTAGCCGTACAGGATGTCCAGCGCCACGTAACCGAAGTCGTGCGTGGTGCGGAACCTGGAGCGCGTGTACGCGAATGACAACACGCCCTCGATGCAGCCGCGCTCACTTTTGGATGCACGTTTGTTAGCTGTCGCAAAACAGACTGTCGGGACGGGCCGATTTGCAGGAGACGTATTAATGGAAGGCACGCTGCGTATTGCGAAAGATAACTGACGAGCGCCTCGGCAGCGCTCACTGTGACAGCCATTATGATTTGCATGCTAGTCTGGCCGTAGTCCTATCAAAACATTCGATGTCTGGTTGCCTGCCACCAGCCGCATGCAGTGATCTGCTGCATACCGAACCCGTCCCGACTTTAAAACTTTAAAACTAGATCCCTCGGCCATAATCACGGGGCCTGTTCGGCACGAATCGCACCGCACCTCGCTTCGCGTTCGTAGTTGTCAGTGCAACACGGGCGCCAGGCGCCTGCCAAAGACCTTGCTGCGGTCCAAGCGAAGATTCGATCGCGTACCTGTGTCCGGTTCTGATCTCCTTGCCGTTGACGAACCATTCGACCTTGAGTTTGGGATCGTTGATTGGCTCGAGCCGGCACTCGAGATGCGCGTGCTCTCCTTCTCGGAGGTTTTCCAGACTGCGGGAGCGTCAAAGCGGGTCAGCACGTGCGGAAATTACCCACCGCCGCGAAGGATGGAAAGGTTGTCATGTTCAGGACGTTTCATGCCCATCGGTAGTACAGGTGGGTGGTTACACGCTCAAAAACATGAGCGGTGTGTCTGGGCCTGATAAAAGAACTAAAGATACCGAACGCCAGATTTGTCGGGGAAAAATGAAGTGAGGTCGCTTCCACCTTGACTTAGGAGTGGAAAAGACTTACGCCACACCATCTTTAACTACGAAGAAACGTAATCGCTGTCATGTTCTCTGTGACTCTGTTCATCCCGCATACGAGCCCAGCGGAGTCGAAGTCAGTCCCTGTTTAGGCTGCATGCCGCAATTAATCGCCCAGCGCCTCACTTGTTGAGCGGCGTGATGAAGACGGGCTTCTGCATCTGGAGCGCGGCCTCCTCGGGCCGCGGCGCCTCGGCACTCTCCAGACTGCGGATCTTCTCCAGCCGGGCCGCGTCCAGCGTGTCCAGACAGAGACCCTGCCTCCCTGCAGCGGAGACGACACACCGCTGTGATGACGCGCTGACGGAGGCACGCCACAGAGGAGACAGGTGTGAGTGTGGCACGTCACCGCGGTCTTGGAGGCACGGATTCGGGGGCTCTGCGGCCATGACAGGTAGCGTACCATTCTAGAGCAAAATGACACTGGAAGGAATTGAGTGAACAAGCCCCCGCGCGTGCGGAGAAAGACAGGCGTGGTGGTTTGGATGCGCGGATTTAGGGTGAACTTTGTGCATTTCATGTGGGCATGGGCGAACAGTCGCACATATGTTTCGCGTAAAGCTGCGAAACACACGTAAAACGGCTTGGTGCAGCAACGAACAGCCAGCGGGTCAAGCTCCACATTGACATCCAATGTAATACAGCGTGATTTCTTTTCTGCCAACGTTCGGAAAAGATCGGACATCTCTACTTCTTGTGATATCCGTAAATTATACTCAACAATGTTTTGTCGTCCGCCAATGATGATTTATGTTAACAGGCTAGCGTTTCCACCACCATGGAACACATACAAGGGTCTATCAATGAAAGCCATTCATAACCGTCTTACGAGCCGAAATGAAATATTCCAGTCACCCGTCAGTCATAATGAACTGTTTTTTTTAACAAGTGGGCGTAGTTCGAGATGAGTCACTCAGAACACGACAAAAACATCGGGTAGCATGCTGACGAAGTAAATATTTTGGACAACTGAGTGGTTCCTCAAAGGCCGCTTACTCCTGAGTTCTCCGAACATATTAACTATTCCCAACGCATCAAGTCTCCGCCGCTTATTTGCTTGTCATCTTACAACACGCCGACATTTCTAGCTGTCAAATCCCTCGACGGCTTGTTAGTTTTGGAGCGGAAGCCGTTCGAGACGTTAGCGTCAGGCGTTCCCAGCCACATCGCCCATCCCAGTGAGCTCGGGGCGGCGGCCAGACCGTCCAAAAATGGCGCACTGCCGGCAGAGCCCGGCGTTTGAGTCAGATCTCCGCGATTGGGCGGGCCGAACCGAATACAGACGGCCGGGCGCCGGCAGGTGACGGACAGCCTGATCTGGCCCATCTCTGGCTCAGAGGCTGCCCTGTGTGACTCAAACATCTGGGCCGACCCCAGCCGACGAGAATAGAGCGCCACGTCAGCGCTGTTGAAAGCGTCGCTCGCGCTGCCCACGCAGACAGCAAGCACCTGTTGGAGCCCGGGCATCCAGCGGCATGACCAGCCTCCCGCTTCATCAACAGATGAGTCGGCCAGCCTTGTCATGCGTTCCAGCGCGCTAGACCCAGCATGCCAACCGCTGACGTGGCTGCTAGGCCGGCGGCCTGGGCGGCGCCGCGAGCTCGCCCGGCCTGCCAGGGGATCGCGGCCGGCGTCATGTCGGCCGCTCGGATCCAGACGGCGTGACGCGCCCTGGCTGGAGAACCCAACTTCAGATCTGGACACTTCGTCCGGCGCCTCCTCCCCTGCCCTCGGCGGTCCGAGGGCCAGGTTTAGGGCGGCCACACGCCGCCCGGCGAAAATAGCCGGCGGTGAATCACGATCGACCTCAGTTAAAAGGCGGAGGCGCGCGCGCCGGCCGCTCACTCTCGGACCAGCCGGCCGCCCAGCGGGCTGCTGCTCGGGCGCGAGCGGGCCGGACCACCGCCGCCTGCAACCGCCGCCCTGGCACGCGGGGAGGGGCAGCTGCCAGTGGGCCCGGGGGTGGGGAAGGGAGCTGGGACCGGGGGCCCTAAGCCAGTCTTGGGAGGGAGGGGCTCGAGGGCAGGGAGCGGAGGGAGGAGGGGGGGGGGGGGGGGGGGCACACTGGGGCTGGGAGAGGTGAGCGTGACGGGCCACAAAGATGGACACAGACGGCTTGGTAGCTGTTGCCAAGCTGCAAGCATGGACATGTACCAGCGACCGGTGTTAGAAGTTAGAAGCTAGACAGAGGCCGCGGGGCGTCTGTCCCCTTTGCGCCGCTGAGGGCCATGTTGCCGGCGGTAAAGTAATTCTGCTATCGGGGAGAATCCTGCCAGAGGCTGGGCCATTTGATTTACAAGATTTGTACATTGAGAGCGTAACTACAAACTTGGAGAAACAAGTTGACTTATGTTTTTTGATGACATTGTTTTCATTACCCGCTCATCGATTCGTCTCTCCGTCATGCTCGCGTTGTCTCTTCAGTTTTCGGCCTCGCCTACGCAACACAAACGGTGCGCGCCACAACTTTATTGCAATAGTCTGAGTGAACATTCCACAGGGCGTGTACCGCGGTACAAATCGCCAGAACTCGGTCCATCGATCTGAACCAGACCGGCGTCCCTCACACCGCCATCCATGTGCAGGCGAACTCGAGCCAAACCGAGCCGTGCCAGGCCTGACGCGCTATCGCTTACAGAAGGCAGTGCGCCCAGCGATCTACCCACGTTCACAGGCCGCTAAAAACTTCTATACGGCGTGAGTATTAATTTGCAAGCGCCACTAGAAGCGCTCGAATTTACTGCACAGGAGATCAGCTAGACAAAACGCGCAGATAAATGCAAATGCAAAAAGGATGTAGCCAAAGCTAAAAGCATTGTGGACAGCATAAAGGGGAAGAGGAGTTACGGGTGTGATGTTTATGATTTGGAAAAAAAAATATTCGGTAAAAACTACATGCTTTGCGGTAAATCAGTGTAGCCGCAATGCAGACGTAATGTCCGGTGAATGGAAAGACAGAACAAACTAGGACCATACACCCTTAAAATATAACCAGGCATCTGAATGTATCAGTTGGCATCACTTCAAACGTTCCCAATAGCTCAAGTGTATGACTAGACTGTCCTGACGTAAACCACAATTCAGCGACAAATCTCTGGCAGTGTTTCTCTCGTTGTCTCGCTCTGTTTGCTCTGCGTCATCTCTTCCTCGGTTCTGGTCTCTACGGTCTTCTGGATTCTGTACTTGCCGTCCGGCCGCATCTCCTCCGTTTCGGAAAACTCTTTCTTCTTATCAGTTTTCTTGGCCTCCTTACCCTCCTTTGCTTTCTGCACGGAACGACCATTTTCTTCGAACTGCTCAAAGTCGCTTCCGCTGGTGTATCCCATGGACTGATAGCGCTCATTTTTGCCGTCCTTGTCCCACTGCTCGACGAAGCTTTTTTCTTTGCGCGGTGCTGTGCTCACCATATCGCGACCACCGTCGAACAGCCCGGCACCCCATTTGGTGACCTGACCTCGGCCCGTCTCTGTGCTCTCCCTCCTGTTAGTTTCCGTCGTCTCCTTGTTCGAGCCCCAAGACTTGACCGAGTCGGCCAGGCTACGACGGTCGCTGCCCGCGTCCGAACAGCCTGGCGTGCCAGGCTGTGAGCCCCACTTGTTGCTGGCGCTCTCAGTCTTGGTTTCGTACATGACCTGGCGCTTCTCGCTCGTCGTCTTCGCGGGCACCTGGCGCGGAGGCGCGGCCTGCTGCTGCTGACTGCCGGTGTGCTCCGACTTAGACTGGTGCATCTCTTGGCGCGTCTCCGTGGAGCGCTGCGTGACGCCCGGCCGCCCCTGTGACGTCACCGGAACTGACCCACTGTGATGGACTGAGTACGACGAGCGTTCGGAAGTCTCGGTCTCCGTGACTTGGTTGCCAGCAGACTGGCGCGACTTGCTGTGGGACGAGGTCTCCTGTCTGTCGGCGTAGGGCGCGGCAGCGGTGGGCGTTGCCAGGGCCGTGGGAACCACGTGCTCCTGCCCGGAGGACGAAGTGGACTTGTCAATGAGGGACTGGCGAGAGGTCATTTGCGTCTGCTCCCCAGGGTGCGGGGATGCAGCCGATGGCACGATGGCCATCGGGACTACATGCTCCCGGCCAGAGGTCACGGACCTCTCGAAATGGGATTGTCGGGTCTCACTTTGCGTAGCGTTCTGACGTGGCGCGAATGCTGGGGAAACAGCCGCCGGGATCACGTGCTCGTCTTCGGAAGAAGTCACAGACTTCTCAAACAGTGACTGGCGCGAAACTGTCTGACTCTGCTTGCCAGCGTGAGCCCTGTCGGCCTGCGGAGCCACAGCCACCGGAATGACGTGTTCCGGCCCGGAGGACGAGGACGACGTGGACTTCTGGAAGCGCTCCTCGCGCGAGGTCGTCTCGGTCCTCTGCTGTGCAGGGGGCGCTCGTGGCTTTGGCGCGGGTGCCTGCTGCGGCTGAACGTGGGTGGGACGCTGGATCTGTTCATCCGGCCAGGGGATATCCTGAGGGGCGACAGGTTGGCTTGGGCTGTCCTGCCTTGGTGTTGACAGCGGCTCCTGAAGCTTGGAACTGCTACTCCTCGTAGAGAAGCTCTCCGTATGCTTCTGCAAGTTTTGCGACGTCAGCTGGACAGGAACGATCGTCTCTCGCGGCGCAGACGACGGCTGCTGAATGGTCTGCTCGAACGTGTTGAAGCTCTGTCCCACCGTCTGCTGCTCCTTTCGTTTAGATGCTGGGAGTGGCGACTGATGAACTGGAGCTGGAGCTGAGGACTGAGGTGCGCCAGCGACAGGAATGATTCGCTCCCGGCTATTGAGCACGTGGCTAGAATCGGTCTTGCGCTCTTCGAACCGACTGCTCTGCTTCTGAGTGGTCTCCCGACACACGGACGGCGTGGAAAACGGACTGCTGGGAACATCCTGCCAGACCTCGTGCCTTGACTCTGACAGCTGCTCCTTCTGTTCCTGCGATAACTTTGACGGAAGCGGTGAAACCTTGCCTGACACCGGTGGCATCTCGATCGGAATTATCTGCTCACCGTGAGACCGCTTCTTCGTGATCTGCTCAGTCTGATGCTTATCCTCAATTGTCGTCCAGCCACGCTGAGATGGTGGCGTAGCGACAGGCTTGTGAGGGGCCTGCTTTACAATCTGGTCCTCCAGGGATGCCGCCTTCTCCACCTTGTCCACCATCTCCTGCCAGGACTTGGTCTGCTCGATTGTCGTTCGTTGAGGGGCGGGAGCCTCCAGAGGCCGCATTTCTATGACTTTTGGAGCAGGCACGGCCGGCACACCTCTTTCCGATGTCTCGACCGATTGCGACATGGTCTGGTACGACATTTGCTCGACCGTCCTTGTCGCGCGCGAGGTCGGCGTCTTCGTCACAGAATGCTGCACCTCGTGTCCCTTCTTCTCCGCCGTCTCCGTCTGCTTGTGGCCGGTGTCAGTCTTTTCCGAGGTCCGCGAGCTGCTGAACGTCTCGTGCCTGTCCACATATGGCTGCAGCGTCTCCGGCGCCTTCGGCAGCACCTCCATTTTGTGTGGCATGCTGGGGACCTGACGGAGTGGGCGCTCTGGTCGCGTCACGGGCGCGGTGTCGGGTCTGCCGCTCGAAGTCACGGTCTGCTCGGAAAACACACGGGACGTCTCGGTCTGCTCCGTCCGCTCCTGTCGCGGCCGAGGCGCCTCCGACTGCGGTCGAATCACGACTGGGTGGTCTTCACCCAAGGGTCTCGGCTGGCTTGTTATTTTTTGCTGAGTGAGCTCATGCCTTCTAGACTCGTCCACAGTCTGCCGTACGGCGTGTTTCGGTTGCGTGAGTGGGAGGATGGGGGCGGGCGCCGGTCTGGCCTCTGGCCCAGTGACGTGCGATGACGTTTGCCACGTGGATGAAGATTGCGATGACATCGTGCCCTCGAACTTCTGAGAGGTCCGCTCTGTTTGTTTAGGCTGGATGGGCTGGGTGATGACAGGTAGAGGCTGCTGCGTCACGACATCCTCCTTGATTTGTTTTTCTATCCTTTCCAGAGTGCTCCTCACTCCGCTAGTCGGCTTCTCCGGCACCGGGGCGGCAGGTTTCTTGGGCACAGGCAGAGACTTCGGCGCCTCTGGCACATGGACTGTTTCAGTTCGACTGGCGAATAACTTCGACTGAGTTATTTCAGTGGTCTGTGGGAGCGCAGGGTGATCTGGCAGCGGCGCTGGCGAAAACACGCGTTTTTCTTCTTCTCGGGTCGTTTGCCTGGTAGTTTTTGCTATATCATCATACTTCTTCAGCACCGTTTCGTCTTTTCTTGGTGTCTGGCGCGGTGCAGTAACGGGCTGAAAAGGCTTACTGGGGATTGATTCTTGCCACGTAGCCTTCTGAGGCACGAGCGGCGTGATCAATGGCTCAGTCGGAACCGCTATGGGGACGCTGACAGGTATGGGCTGCGCAGGCTTCTGAAGTTTGGGGCGTGTATGTAATGGCTTGGAAATCTTCGGAGCTGGAACTGCGCGTTCGACCGGACGAGGGGAATCATAAACTGGAGCTGACATGGGTACGGGTACCTCAGGCAGTTCCTTTGATTCTTGACGCTCAATAACCTTTTTCATGAACTTCTCTTCCAGACGTCTCTGTTGCTCCGTCTGGGGTGCTTTTGGAGCCTGCGCGGGTTCGACCCATACAGGCTTAATGGGCTCAGGCACTGGACTGGGTACATGAGTCTTTGTTGTCGTTGTCTGAGATTGCTGGGTCTGATGAGTGCGGAATTCCTGCACATCGTGCACCTCTCGTGGAGTTGGTTTTGGAGCAGGTGTCTGGGCCGGTCCTTCGGGGATCTTCTCTGTCTCTTGAACCTTCTTCAGGAACTTAAGCTCCATCTTCTTTTGCTGCTCTGTATGGCTTGGGACTGGAGCTGGTGCTTCAGTCGGCGCCACGGTTTCCTTGGTAGTTGTGAACGTCTTAAACTCGTGATGCGTGGTATCCCGGAAGTCATGTACCACAGGCGATTCCTTTGGTTGGGGTACTGGGGGCTGGACTGGACGGGGAGCTTCATATAATGGCGCTGGCATGGGCGCCGGAACTTCAGGAAGCTCTTTAGACTCTTGGTGTTGGATGACCTTCGTCATAAACTTTTCCTCCATGCGTTTTTGTTGCTCAGTCTGAGGCGCCTTTGGAGCCTGCACAGGTTCGACCCACGCAGGCTTCACCTGTTCAGGTAATGGTGTCTGCTCATGTGTCGTTGTAGTGACCGTCTTAGATTGGTGTATCTGCTGGGTGTGAAGTTCCCGAACATCGCGCACCTCCTGAGGCATCGGTTTTGGAGCGGGCAACGGAGCCGGTGCTTCATGGGTCGTCTCAGTCTCCTGAACCTGCTTCAGAAACTTGCGCTCCATCACTTTCTGCTGTTCAGTTTGACTTGGGACCGGGGCCGGAGCTTCCACTGGCACTGCAGTTTCTCTGGTTGTTGTGCACGTCTTGAATGTCTCATGTTTAGAATCCCGGAAGTCATGTATGGCAGGAGATTCCTTCGGTTGGGGCACTGGACGTTCAGCTGGTCTTGGGGCTTCATACAATGGCACTGGCTTTGGTGCAGGCACTTCGGGAAGCTCCTTAGACTCTTGGCGCTCGATGACTTTTTTCATGAACTTTTCCTCCATGCGTTTTTGCTGCTCTGTCTGAGGTGCTTTCGGAGCTGGTGATTCTTGGGCCTTGATATCCTTTGTTGCTCTCTCCACCTCGGTGACCCACTTTTGCACGGAGGACGCTTTCGAGTCCGGCTGAGTTGGCCCGACTTGCGCAGGCTTTGGTGACGGCATGTCATGCTTGACGGGCTGGGTGGGTTTCGGGATGTCCTTCGACTTCGGTTTGCTGAAGACCTTTCGTGGTATTTTTTCAACGATTGGGACTTGCGTTTCTTTTTTGGGGATACTGGGCACGGCAAAAGAGACTGGCTTTGTTTTTGGCACGTCCCCATTTTCGAATGGGAAGGGCACCGCCGGCGCCTTCGGGACTGGTTTACGGGCTGTCTTTGGACTTTCCACGTGTTTAAGACCCGTCAGTGGGGACTCGGTCTCTTGTTCGGGGACTGGTACTGGTGTGGGCTCAGCGTGGGATGGCACAAATTTTGTGGGAGTGAATTGGACCTTGTCTTTTGTGGGCGTTTTACTCACTTCGGCCGGCTTAGGTGCCTCAGCTGGTTTCGTGTCAACGTGACGCGGCTCGGGGACCTTATCAGTAAACATGGGTGCAGATGGAGGACTCGCAGGAGGACGAGCAACTGTGTGTGTCGTCTTGGGCAAGATCTTTTTAGCTGGTTTAGGAGCTGGCACATGTTTTACCACTGTCTCGACCAAAGATGGCGAGGGTTTCCTCACCGGCGCGGGCTGTGGAGCCTCAGAAACTGGGCCTGGTGTGAAATGAGAAGGGAAAGGTATGACTGTCTCATAAATGTTTTCCTTTTTCTTTTTCTTTTCATCCTCTTCAAGAACGATCTTATGATAGATAGGTGGTTCTTGTACTCGTGGGCCTATGAATACTTTGCTGGTGTAAGATTCATACTTATCCGCCTGCAATGGCTTGGTTTCGATTTCCCGAATTCTAAGCGATGCATCGGAATCAGAAATGTCGGACGCACTTTCCGGGAGAGATGGCTTTCTCTCGCGTTCTCGTATCCGACTTTTTTGGTCCTTCTCCTCTCGAACTGACGTCGTGTCGGGCTGCTTTGGAACGTGTGTGAATTCCTGTTGTTTGGTAACCTTCTTCATAAACGTCTCCTCCATGCGCTTTTGTTGCTCAGTTTGGGGCTTTTGAGGCGCTTCCGCTGGCTTTACTCTAGCAGGCTGTGTGGGCGAGGGTCCCGTGGGCAGCTTCGGTGTCGGCTGCGTGGTTGTGCTAGTTTCATATCGGTGCTGGAAGTGAGACTCGACCTTGGAGGTCTCCTTCGGCTGCGTCTTAGGCTGTGGTGCCGGACGCTCGGCAGGGCGAGGAGCTTCATGAACTGGGGCTGGTACAGGTGCAGGTACTTCAGGTAGTTCTTTTGATTCCTGGTGCTTGATGACCTTCTTTAGGAACTGTTCTTCCAAGCGCTTTCGCTGTTCCGTCTGTGGTGCTTTTGGAACCTCCACAGGCTTCACCGCTTCAGGCGATGGTGTCGGTTGCGTTGTTGTCGTGATCGTCTTGTGCTGGCGCGTTTGCTGAGTGTGAAATTCTCTTACATCGTGCGTATCTGGTGGCGCCGGTTTCGGAGCGGGAGCCGGAGCCGGTGTTTCAGACACCTTTTCATCCGTCTGCTGGACCTGCTTTAGAACCTTGCGCTCCATCTTCTTCTGTTGCTCGATCGCACTTGGGACTGGAGCTGGTGCTTCAGTCGGCACCACAGTTTCCTTAGAAGTTGTGTACGACTTAAATTCACGGTGTGTGAAATCATGGAAATCTTGTACCACAGGAAATTCGCTTGGTTGGGGTGCTGAGCGTTCGACTGGACGAGGAGCTTCATACAATGGCGCTGGCATTGGTGCAGGCACTTCGGGTAGTTCCTTTGACTCCTGGTGCTCGATGACTTTCTTCATGAACTTTTCTTCCATGCGTTTTTGTTGCTCGGTCTGAGGCGCTTTCGGAGCCTCCACAGGCTCGACCCATACAGGCTTCATTGGCTCAGGCAATGGTGTCGGTTGCTGTATGGTCGTTGTAGTGATAGTCCTGGACTGTTGCACGTGCTGCGTGCGCAATTCATGGACGGTTTGTGGTTCTTGTGGTGACGGCTCAGGCGCCGGTTTTGGGGCAGGCACGTCTGGAAAGCTGTCTTTTTCTTGAACCTGTTTCAGAAGCTTGAGCTCCGAAACTTTCTGTTGCATAGTCTGGCTTGGAACTGGAGCTGGTGTTTCGGCCGGGGCAACAGTTTCCTTGGTACTTGCAAACGTCTTGAACTGTTGATGCTCAGACTCACGGAAGTCTTGGATCACAGGTGAGTCCTTCGGCTGCGGCAGTGGACGTGCAGAAGGGCGAGGAGTGTCGTAGATTGGAGCCGGCGTTCGCTCAACGCTATCGGGCAGTTCTTTAGACTCTTGGTGTTCGATGACCTTCTTCACAAACTTTTCTTCCATTCGTTTTTGCTGCAGCGTCTGGGGTGCCTTTGGAGTCTGCACAGGCTCGACCCACACAGGTTTAACTGGCTCAGGCAGTGGGATCGGTTCTTGTGTGGTTGTAGTTATCGTCTTAGATTTACAAATTTGTTGGGCATGATATTCGTGCACATCTGGCACATCTTTTGTAACTGGCTCCGGCACGGGCGAAACAGGAATTCTGTCTTCTGTTTCCTGCAGCTGTTTCAGAAACTTACGCTCCATCTTTCGCTGCTGCTCAGTCTGGCTTGGGACTGAAACTGGTGCCTCCACTGGTACGACAGTCTCCTTGGTGGTTTTGTGCGTCTTGAACTCTTTGTGCGTGGAATCGTGGAAGTCCCTGATCGTGGGAGACTCCTGCGGCTGCGACGGGGGACGTACAAATGGACGAGGTGCATCGTAGATTGGGGCTGGCTTGGGCTCAATCTTTTCGGGTTGTTCCTCAGATTCCTCGTGCCTGGTGACCTTCGTGAAAGTTTGTTTCCTGTGTTCCTGTTTCATCGTCCGAGGTCCCTCCGGAGCCTGTACAGGCTCGACGTACGCGGGCTGAATTGGCTCAGGTACTGGTGTAGGCTCCTGTGTTCTTGTTATGATTGTCTTAGTTTGGTGAGTTTGTTGCGAGTGAAATTCTCGAATATCACGCAGTTCCGGCGGGGTCGGTTCCGGAGCAGGCACCTCAGCTGGTGCCTCAGGGACCCTCTCTTCAGTCTCCCGAAGGTGTTTGAAAAACTTCTGCTCCATCTTCTTCTGTTGCTCGGTCTGACTGGGGACTGGGGATGCTTCAACTGGCGCAACAGCTTCCTTTGTGGTCTGGAACGTTTTGACCTCCCAGTGCTTAGAATCGCGGAAGTCACGCACCACCGGAGATTCCTTTGGCTGCGGTGCTGGTTGTTCGGCTGGAGGAGGTGCTTCATAAATCGGGGCTGGCACAGGTACAGGTGCTTCAGGCAATTCCTTGGACTCTTGGTTCTGGATCACTTTCTTTCTGAACGTTTCCTCCATGCGTTTTTGCTGCTCCGTCCGGGGCGCTTTCGGAGCCTGCGCGGGACTGATGACAGGAGATTCCTTCAGCTGTGGTTGTGGGCCAACGACCGGACGAGGAGCGTCGTAAACTGGGGCTGGCGTAGGTGCAGGCACTTCAGGCAATTCTTTGGACTCCTGGTGCTCAACAACTTTCTTAAAGAACTTTTCTTCCATGCGCTTTTGCTGCTCTGTTTGGGAAGCCACAGGAATGTCTGGCATAACAGGAGCAGGTGGGTATAGGGGTTTGGTCTCCGACTCTGTTTTGACCTCCTTTGTAGCTGTTGTCTTACGCACCGAAGTCTCCATTGTGTCACTGGTGGGCAGATCTAGGACTTCAGAGGGCTTTGGGGAAAGGGGCTGAAATACCACTGGCTTATGAACATCCCTTATACTCCACTTGGTGGTCTCAGATGTGTTGGTGTCGCGCTGGTCAGCAGGGACATCAGGTTTCTGTAGAGGAGTGAATGGTTTGGGTGAAGCTGACATAATGGGCACCTCGCTCACGGGCTGAGTCACAGGAATAGCTGGCGCATGCAGCTTAACCTCATGCTTCTTTGGTCGGGGCTTTCTATGCTCAGCTGTCCATGGGACCTCCTCAGGTGATTGTAGTGGAACTTTTTCTACGGGTTTTTGTTTAATTTTCTTGACGGGCTTTTGTGCTGGAAGAGCTTTGTGTTTTTCGATCGGTGTCGGGACATCCGGCTTTTCGTCGGTCGTTGCCGTGCTACGGAATGTCCGCATGAAGGTTTGCTTACTCTCCGTCTTAGCAGGCGCTTCTTCCGGCGCCTGGATCGGCCTGGGTATTGGCGATGGCTCGGATTTAGTTTCGGACGTCGTTTTTGTGCTAGTGCTCGTAGATGTGTGGTCCCTGGCGTCCGTGACAACGTTTGGACTGGGATATTCAACGGGCTTCCAAGAGGCCGGAGGTTTTGCAGTCTCTACCGGCTGCGCTGGAACATGGTCGGCTGGGCTGGGTGCCTCGTGACTTTTGGTTATGCTGGTAAACTTGCTTTCATATCTACTCTCGGTCTTGGTGGTCCTATCCTGAGGCGCGACAGCAGGCTGGTGCTCAATCTGAACGGGAATGACGGCACTCACACCGGTCGGTCGCGAGATGTTATCAGGCTTGTCTAAGTCTGTTTTAACAGTCCTCATCTCTGAACTGATGTCATGTACTCGTGTCGTCGACATTTGTTTACTGGTATCTCTCTGCACGTCATGCGTGTCAACTGGGCGTGTCACAGGTCCTGGCGCATGTTCCGAGGATTCTCTGATCTCCTTTTGTGTGGAAAGCGAAGACGATGTGGCCTCTCTGGTCTGGGATGAGCTGCGAGAGGTGGTCGCAGGTTGTGCAGGATAAGGCTGAGGTGGCTGGTCCCCTGGACCGTTCACAACAGTGGTCTTCCTCGATATGGTGGACGAAGACATTTCCATCTTGGTCGTAGAGCTGCGGTATTCCGTGTTTCCCTCCTTCCACGACTTGCTGTCTGCCTCAGAGTGTTTCGTGTCTTTCTTGTCAAAGTAGTCTGGATTGGTGATAGAGGACGAGCTCGAAAAGAATTCGTTCATTCTTTTAAACTGCTCCAGCGATAAGTCACGAATATTAAATGCCACCGGTATCGGGAACGGCTGATCATCCCACGTGCTCGTAAAGAAATCCGTGTCAGACCTTACATTGGATGATTTGATCGTACTCAGGTCATCTACCTTTGTTTTTGTCTCGAACAATTCAGCAGGCTTTTCCAGGGGTACCTTCCCCCTCTCTACATAGGTGCACTCTGCGGTGTAGAAGGGATAGTGCACACCGTCAGTTGTATCCGGCCGCTGCTGGTTAGCACTACTGGCACTGAAAGCGTTAGTCAAGCTGCTAGTGCTCTCCTCCGCCACGTCGTTAGCCACCTGCTTAGTCACGTCTCGGTCGTGCTGCTCAGTCACGGTCCGAGCCGCCTGCTCGACACCGGAGAGCACCCTCCCCTCCGGAGTCCGCGCGCTCGCCGCCTCCCTTCGTCGGCCGCTCCCCCTCCCCGTCACGACAGCGACCCTCTATCGAGTCTACAGTGGTCCGCACACTCTTCCACACGGGCATGGTGACCGGTTTACCTTCGACGGTCACATCGCACGTGGTGACGGCCTCGCCGGCCGCGTTGGTCGCCTTGCACATGTAGGTTCCCGAGTCTTCCGGGTACGTGTACAGGATGTCCAGCGCCACGTAGCCGAAGTCGTAGGTCGTGCGGAAGCGGTGACCTGTGGGCGCGACAGGCGTGAGATTATTGCGGCGCTTGTCCATTCATGGAAATGGCGATGGTCTCTGCAGACGCTTGGGAGAGGCCACAACATGGATTCTCAGGCTCGCTTTGATTTTTTCAACTTGGCAAGCTCTATCCCGGCCCTATATTAGGTGCAGGGAACAAGGTGCATATGTTATCAGCAGTGACTGACATAACGTCCATATTTGATGACGTATATGATCGTAAACACTGTAAATGAACATTAAGTTTACCGGCCTCCAGACAACAAATCGCTAACCCGAAGTCAGCTCTGTGACTGGCATTGTATGGAACATTCCATGGCGCACGACGTCCACTGAAATTGACTACACCACGCGTGCCGATGCGTGCTTTTCAGTTGTTTCGTTGAAACGCAGCCCGTGGTCCCAACTCCAAAAGAACGTTCTCATAAAGCTGCTTGTGTGGATGTCTTTACGTATTACGCTCCAGTGATAATACGAAACTGCACTGCCTGCTGTCCGCCGAGCGGCAAAACACACTCAGAATTCTGCATCAGCTACCGGCTGTGCATGACATCTAGCATACTCATTCCTACTGTTCGGTAAAGGCCGCACTTTAATGCTTCATCTCATGCCAAGCCACTCCTTCCCCAGAATCGCTGCCAGCAGGCCGCCGAACTCACCCTGCGGTATGGGTCGGCCGTTGTAGAACCACTCCACCTTCATGGTGGCGTCGTGGACGGGCGTAAGCGTCGCCTCGAGGTGGGCGCTTTGGCCCTCTACCAGGTTTGCGTTGCGCAGCGGCCGGCCGAACACGGGCTTCTCGCACGGGCCGGCCTCCTCGGGCTCCTCGCGCCGCCTCTCCGACTCCAGGTAGGAGATCTTCCGCATGGCCGCCGGGTGCTGAGTCTCCTGGATGAGAGCGGCGCGCGCTGCAAGCCGAAGACAGTGTCAGCTGCGGGCTGGTGGCGACTTTACTCGGGGTTGTGTCATGCGTGGTGGCGCGTTACTACACCACGAGTAATAACTAGTGACTGCGGTAAATTCAGACAGCGAGCGCAGAGGCACAGAGGCAGCAATGGCGGGGAGTGAATATCGATGGCGCTTGGTACAGGGAAGACAGCCTGGAATGGAAAATAAGCCAAACAGATAGCGTGGTTTGCGGCTGACCATCTTACCAACAGGTGAGCGCCATGGGAAGATATTCATCACTCGGGGATTTTCGGCCGGGGGTTCCATTTCAGTAACGGGATTTGCCTGCCAGGGTGTTGATACGTTCGGCGAATGTTTGGACCAAAATTGTTTGGTTTATCACCGCTGCGGCAGACACTGTGGTGGGGCGAACGAAAGTGTGCCAAACTCGTCGCGATGACGTCATGGTAGCTATTTCCAAACAGGAATGTCAGCTTGCGCCAAACACTTAGTTGGGCCAGGCTCCATCATTTTATCACGCTATGTAAGTCTGTGACGACATCGCAAAGTAATTTGGCCTCCATCCAGGCTCTCGTTGGTTATCAATGACCTTTCCCTGTCACCGATTAATGGCCGGTTTGGGTCTCGCCGACGTCTGATGCACATTTTCGCTGCCTTAGTTCACAGGAACCGTTCGGCAGATAAACCATCCCCGATTAACCCCGTCATCCTAACCAGACGACGATGGTCATTAGTGTGGTTTACTGTGCTGTGCTGTGCCGTGCTGTGCTGTGTTATGCTGTGCTGTGTTCTGTGCTGTGGTTTGCCGGTGAGACTATCACTCACCGACACCTAATGCCCGTTTGAAGCCCGTGACAGCTGCTGCTGTTGCTGTTACTGGGGAGACTATCACTCACTGACACGTAACACCCGCTTGAAGCCCCGGACGGTTAGCGCTCTGTTGGCCTGAGCTCGCATTCCGCGTTCCAGCGTCGCCAGTTTCTCGCTGTGAATGTTTAGCGCCGCCCGCTATTCTCACGATCTCGCCTTCGGCGCACAAATAAGCTCGTCTGTCCAGTGTACTCACGCTGGACTCGGAGATTGAGGGAGGAGCTCGCGGTACCCAGCCGGTTGGTGATCTTGGCCGTGTACTCGCCAGAGTCCTCCGGGTACGCAGACAGCACGTCCAGCGCGATGAAGCCGAAGTCGTTGATTGTGCGGTACCGGTGACCTGTGGACGAGGTCGATGGGTCAGGCAGCTGTCACGGTCAGGGTACGTGCTTCACGCTCTGCGTCAGTCAGGCAGCTGTCACGGTCAGAGTACGTGCTTCACGCTCTGTGTCAGTCAGGCAGCTGTCACGGTCAGAGTACGTGCTTCACGCTCTGTGTCAGTCAGGCAGATGTCACGGTCAGAGTACGTGCTTCACGCTCTGCGTCAGTCAGGCAGCTGTCACGGTCAGAGTACGTGCTTCACGCTCTGCGTCAGTCAGGCAGCTGTCACGGTCAGAGTACGCGCTTCACGCTCTGTGTCAGTCAGGCAGCTGTCACGGTCAGAGTACGTGCTTCACGCTCTGCGTCAGTCAGGCAGCTGTCACGGTCAGAGTACGTGCTTCACGCTCTGTGTCAGTCAGGCAGCTGTCACGGTCAGAGTACGTGCTTCACGCTCTGTGTCAGTCAGGCAGCTGTCACGGTCAGAGTACGTGCTTCACGCTCTGTGTCAGTCAGGCAGCTGTCACGGTCAGAGTACGTGCTTCACGCTCTGTGTCAGTCAGGCAGCTGTCACGGTCAGAGTACGTGCTTCACGCTCTGCGTCAGTCAGGCAGCTGTCACGGTCAGAGTACGTGCTTTACGCTCTGCGTCAGTCAGGCAGCTGTCACGGTCAGAGTACGTGCTTTACGCTCTGCGCCAGGGGTCGACGCTTCTGCAGGGCCGATATCATATTGGAATAGATGTACATTGTCGGAGTTACATGGCGGGAACGGAAGAAATTGCCAACACAGGTTAAGCTCACTCCAACTAGGATTGAAGGCCTCCTAGGAAAAGCTCTGTCTATTGAGCATAATACACGATATAGTTTGGGCCTCTCAACGTACGCTGAAAATTTATGACATTGGCAACAAATTCACTTTTAGACACCTCACTGGCATCGCTTTTGTCGCGGCTACGCTAACTTTTGCGCCCCAATAAACGTGTCCTTGCGCTGGTGTTCTCACCGACTGCGACCGCCTTCCCGTTGTGGAACCACTCGACCTTCATGTCTGCGTCCGGATAGGGCTCAATACGAGCCTCCATGTGGGCCGACTGTCCCTCAACCAGGCTTGTCTGACCCGTCAGCTCCGTCACAAACCTAGACGTCGCCACAGCGTCAGAGGCCATGGTGCCGGAGAGGTGCTCCTCAGGCATGGCGAAACAAAGGCCGGCAGCGACGAACAGGGACGCGATAGCAAAGAGGCGCGGCATCAAATTGGAGGTTATCGGTAAAACAGGCTGGCCTACCACGTTCCCAGACAGTGCCACAAAAGACGGCCATCCGCGCACACAAGCTGACCCTCTTACAGGAACACACTACTAAACGCAGAGATGGAACCGACCCTTGCAGCAGTAAGAACAAATATTTAACAAGGCATAGACACATCATAGAAACTGTTGTAAGCTCGGGGTGCGTCTAACATTTACCTCGGTTTCTCTGTCACAACAGTCTCTTCTATCTCCGTCTTTGTGAACGCCCTTCCCTCCAGCTGTCTGAGCTTCTCTAGGGAGGCAGCGTTCTGTGTGCCGAGAAGCAGCGACTCCTTGGCTGTGAATAACACTGTGGATGTAATTGTACACGCACAAACCACTCGGCCGTCACCATGGGGTGTACCGTCTGCCACCTCATCACGCTGAGATGAAAGTGTCAGATGGCTAGCGTAAGCTACGCTCTCGTCTTAGCAGCTCGACATGGACGTCGACACAGAAAAACTGCCCACAGTTTACCAAGGGATGTACACCCGCTGAGCCGGAGCTGAATGACAGACTTTACCCCCCCCCCCCCGCCGTCAACCCGTCCTTACACTGGACGACGGCGGTAGCCGAGGTCACAGCCTGGCCAAGGTCGTTGGTAGCGCGGCACGTATACGTGCCGCTGTCGTCCTCCTGGGTGTACTTCATGTCCAGCGCCACGAAACCGAAATCGTGCAGCGTCGATATCCGGTTAGCTGCCGCACAGATAAGTCTGGTAAGGCCTGTCTGTGCTTATGTCCTGGAGTTTTGACATCGGTGTGGGTTTCAATTCCTTAGACGAGTCGAAAGATGGTATATCTGACGATCTATGTTAAGGGAATATCTGCATATAAGTTTGGGTATCGGTAAAGTAACCGCTGGGTTCAAGCAAGTGATGAGCGTTCATCTATGCATTCAAGCAAAGGCTAATGGCTGAAACTTATGTTCAACGCACAAAACGATTCCTCCAAGCTTGCAGTAATTTTCAAATTGCATATTGCGATGATGTCATAACGTATACCTGTAGCATACTTAATTTAATACGCGCAACATCACCATCAACAACATTTTATGACGTTAGCACCAAAACCTGACGGACATTCGCACTCAGTTGGCGCAGTCAGCCCGCTCGGATCGAAGCAGCGGCGCCCTCCCCTTCCACCTACCCTGCTGCAGGGGCACGCCATTCTTGAACCATTCGACGCGCAGGTTGGCGTCGCCGACTGGGATGAGGCGGGCCTCCAAGTGCAGCGGCTGTCCCTCGGCCAGCCGCGCGTCCCGGATCGGCTGCGTGAAGACGGGCGCCTGCGCCGTGGCCTCGTCGGCCGCCGGCGTCGGCCGCGACTTCTGCTCCAGGTAGCGCAGCTTGTCCAGCGCCTGCTCGTGCAGCGTGCCCTGGTCGATGGCGCTCTTGCCTGCGGGGCGGAGCAGCGTCAGGTCCAAGTTCTGCGTCCACTCGTGCGCTCCGTACGCATGTGCAGGCGAAAGGCCTCGGCGAACGGCGCCGTAACGAACGTTCTATGTTAGCCCGGGAATCAACCTTCCTGTCAAAATGATCCCATTCGAAGATCAAAATGTGTGCTCTGGCCTTAGCACGTCACAACGCAGAACTCTCTTCAAAGTACTTTATCCTATCCCAAACGTTGAACAACACTGCTACGAGTCAGTTATGTGAGGAAGGCAAACGTTATCTGAGAACGCGGCCCATTATTGACGAGCACGAGTTGCCAAACTTACTGAGGCAGCTGAGAGTAGCCTGGGTAACGGCCTCTCCCAGCGCATTGGTGGCCTTGCAAGTGTAGGTGCCTTGGTCTTCTGGGTATGCGTACATGATATCCAAAGCCACGAACCCGAAGTTGTTGGTCTCCATGAACCTGCAAGGCAGAACAGACGTCTTTTTAACGCTGTTCAATGACTTTAAGACATCCAGGGCATGTCCACCAATTCAATTTTTGGATGCATGACGCTGACGCGAAAAATCACCAGACATTACACGAATTAAAAACATCGAATGTTTGATTTTATAATCATGTACTTGTTTATGATGGTAGAAAGTATGCATGCCACGCTCCAAATCGGCCCTGCCACAGATGACAAAGCCAACTCAATGAATGTGTGGCAAGACAAATTCACTTACAACACTGCAGATACAACTATGCACAGCTACTCCTCACTAAAAAGCAAGCCACGGTTCATTCTTTAGCACTCTGGAAACAGTTCCGCCATCCTCCCCAGCCCCACCCAGCGTCCTCACCGCGACCCGGCCTTAACGGGGTGGCCGTTGTGGAACCACTGCACGTTCATGGTCGGGTCGGAGACGGGGATGAGGCGTGACTCGAAGTGGGCGCGCTGGCCCTCCTTGATGGTGACGTTGCTCAGCGAGGTGGTGAAGACGGGCGCCTGCGTGGTCACCTCGCCCGAGGTCTCCGAGCGGCTGTGCCGGGAGCGTTCCTCCAGCTGCTGCACCTGCTCCAGACCCACCTCGTGCTGCGTAGAGGTCAGGATTTTTGTGCTGCCTGCAGGGCGAGGAGAGAAGCCGCGCTTAGAGGAATGATCGACTTTTCTCGCCGTTAGAAACTGCAATTTGATGAGATGTGTTGAGTACGTTGTTCGTTTTTCACTCTTTTTCTTACGATATGTTCGGTTTTTAGTCCTAGATGGCATTGATTGCGCTCGATGTAAAAACGAAGCTCCTGGCCATCCTTGTGGACCGAAAATGAATCAAGCTTTTGGTAAGACGACGACGAGTCCTTCACCGATCAGACGAGATGACCCTGACTGGCCGACACGTAGGAAGGTGGCTCACTGGAGCAGCGGAGGATGGCGGAGGTTTCGTCGAAGCCGAGGTTGTTGGTGGCACGGCAGGTGTAGACGCCGTTGTCCTCCTCGATCAGACCGACGATGTCCAGCGCTACGTAGCCGAAGTCGTGCAGCGGACGGTGGCGGTGACCTGCGCGTGCGGGTCGGGTCACATGAGGAATGGTCATGTGACCACAAGGTCAAGCGATCACATGCAGACGGCGTCATTGCGGCATCTACCTGGTCACATGGAGGTGGGTCGCATAGAGACAACTTCACATGGAGGCAGAACACTAAGAATGCGAAACCACATGGCAGCGAGCCATGGACACGTAGGTATGGAGCGTAGACCGTGGTAACACCGATCCACACACCACAGTCAGGCAGCAGAGATAGGTAACGATATTATATATAGCAGCGCGCCACCAAACATATAATCTCCAGCTAAGACTGACGCATCACGCACACGCAGCTTCACCTCCGTGCACACATCCGGCCGTCAGTTAAGCCCTAACGCCCGACAACGTCTCCGCTTAACACCACTGGCAACGGCTCCAGCCACTAACCGACAGTGATCGGCTTCCCGTCCTTGAGCCATTCCACGTGCAGGTTGGCATCCGCTACCGGCTCCAGCTTGGCCTCAAAGTGGGCTGTCTGGTTCTCTTTCAGGTTCTCCTATAAAGCAGCACATGATGTGTCGCAATTAACGCACAGACATCCTTACACAGCATAACAACATATTTGCAGCATAAATAACGCACACAACGCATGATGTAGACGTCAACGAGTCACTTCCTAGTTGCCTAGAGCGGCCATTCTAATGCTTCACTGATGACTGCACATCAACATGCACTGAAACCCAGAAAATGGATGCTCGATACGCATGAATTTGGGAGCTAAAGAGTCTGTACGTACTACGAGCGGGCATAGGGCTCAAACACCATATATGACGCGTTCCGTGGGCCGACCTGGTGCTTCAGCTGCGTGAGGAACTTGGGCTTGATCTGGACCATCTCGTCGGCCCACTCCTTGCGTTGGTAGCGGGATGAGTCCTCGATGTACTGGATCCTTTCCAGCGACGCTGGGTGGTCCGTGTACAGGTCCTTCTTAGCTGCAAGCACGCGCACACTCAGTCAAACACGATAACTCGCCGCATCGGACGTGATCAGGTGGTCCCTGCTGTTTTAAGGAAGCGTGTGTGCACCGTCAGAACGCACCCACTCACCGGCGAAACACAGTCACTCACCGCCAGTTTCGCTCGCGTCTCGTCAAAGTGCCTCTGAGCGCCACTAGAGCTAAAGGTATGTCAGAATACACCACCTTCACAGCAATCCATAAGCAGCCAAAACACGGTCGCAGGCCTACAGAATGCACCACAACCAAACCAAGATTGCTAAAGACCTCAGCCGTCTTAAAACGTCCGCGGTCGGAGGCGGAGGTCGGAGGTCGGAAGTCGGAGGGGATGTCGTAACTAAAGACATAACATACAGCTGGCGGGTACGCACATGAACGGTTCAAGACCAGACCCAATGGGATGCATGTCAAATATGAACGGCTTACCATCCAATCATATCAATACACGCTTTACGTACCGAAGATTGGTACTCGACGCAAGCATTGCGCAATGCTCTAATTCAAGGGCATTTGGGATTGGGTAAATTTGGATCGGAACGCGCACTTGTGGGCGACTAGAATACGATGGGCGAAGCTGGGGCCCCGCAAGATACAGGAAGATAACACCGAGCCGCTGATCAACTAGCTGAAGCGATAGCAATGCACCCTCGCGTGGCACAGGCACCCATGCTCGGGTTTCCCAGATCACATGCTAGCAATGTGTAGTTACGCATGTATCGGCAAACAGAGATAAGCGTTTGCTATTCATCTATTCTCGAGACCTGTCTACCGCGGAAAACCGCGAGGAAGGCAAAGCCAAGAATTACATTCGTCGACAGCTGAAGACATTGGTCCCACTTCCGCGCGCCGTTCTGTGAGACAGATCGGCATTACGTTAACTAATGTTCAGATGGGATAACAGCCGTGAGGGTTACACTGACCATGCAAAGAACTACACCTTGCTTTGTCGCGATGAGTACTGCTCACGCAAAGCACGTAGCTTCCAGGCTGACATGGGAGTAACACAGATACGCGATCTGCCAAGCATAGATGGGTCTAGTGCTGTAAAATGACTGTAATATGAATTACAGATTATACTTAATAAAAGCTTAGACGTTAGAAAAATACTTCCCACACTGGGGAAACGCTTTCCGTACAGTGGCAGTGGGCGCGTCGCCCGCGGCCCACTGATACCCCTGTACCAGCAGGTTGTCTCACCGATGACGCGGACCGAGGCCGAGGTGGCGGCCTGGCCCAGTCGGTTGGTGGCCCGGCACGTGTACATGCCAGAGTCGATGGGGTACACGCTCAGCAGGTCCAGCGCCACGTAGTCAAAGTCGTAGGCGGGGCGGAAACGGTGACCTACGGGCATGGCCGGGAATGTGTCATGCTACTCGACGCGCGTTTCCATGTTACCACAATTTATACTTACAGCATGCTTTCTATGAAAGTCCAACAAAAGACTTAATGAACTTGAAGCAAAAGCATGGATTCATCCCTGTTTTATGCACGAAAAACCAACAATGACAGTAGTGATATTTTTGAGTGATAATTAGATGGCGATGTAAATGTTCCCAAAATAACACGCACAGCTGAATGCAGCACCGGAGCACTAATATGCCGGAGTACTGTAGAGTACATGTGTGTGTTTGTGATGCACGCAGTCACCACACCCGGACGAGTTCGCCCGCCGCGGCGTCCACCAGCCACAGCTCACCAATCTTGAGGGGCTGGTCGTTGACGAACCACTCGACCTTCATGCTGTTGTCTCCCACGGGCTGGAGACGACACTCGAGGTGCACGTTGGTCCCCTCCACCGTCTCAATGTTGCGCAGGGGCTTGGTAAAGGTCGGCACCTGGGGTCGGCGGGGCTATAACGTCACTACAGGTCAATGACGTCACGTGGAGCTTTAAGTCAAATGGACTCCGTGGTGGTTAATACTATGCGTTTAAAAAAAAAAACACACGCAGTCTTGTGGTGTTTAAGAACAAATGTGCTGACTGGAGCATATACTCAACTGCAGCATTAATAATCTCAAATGCCTGTCAAAGATTAGTTTACTTAAGGTGGCCGCAGATACACACCATTTTTTTCAAGTGTTATCTCAAATCGGTTCTCAATACATGATTTGGAATGCAACCTTCAATCTGATTTATTTCAAGTTACTCCAGTTGTTGAAAGGAGCAGACAAAGGATAATGCGTTAAAATGTAAAACTAACGTAAATGCAATGTTTAGTTAAATCATATGAACCGTAATACCCGGCTTCGCCCTTTTCATGACTATCCAAAACCCAATCGACATGTCTAAGTATGTGCCTGAGAGAGCCTCCTCGCCACGGTACAGCTGCGAGGCGGCGGCCCCGCGGAGCCGGCCCAGCCCTCGTCCCCCATCCCTCCTGCTCCCCTGATCACCTGTTCGACAGCAGCGTCGGCCGCGGCTTGACGGCTGTATCGCGAGCCGTCCTCCAAGTACTGGATCTGGTCGAGCGCACTCTCGTGCTGTGTGTCGGTGTCGACGTCGGCGCGTGAGAGTACGCGCACGGCCGCCGACGTGTGCGCAGAGCCGAGCCGGTTGGTGGCGCGACACGTGTACTCGCCCTCGTCGGCCTTGGTCAAGTCTAGCACGTCCAGCGCCACGAAGCCGAACTCGGCGTACGTGCGGAAGCGGGAGCCGATGGTGATGGGGCGGCCGTTCTGGAACCACTCCACCTTCATGGTGGGGTCGTTGACAGGCTCCAGGCGGCACTCCAGGTGTACGCCGCGCCCCTCCGGCTGCGCCGGCTGATCCTGCCGGCGAGGAAAGGAGTGGATGATGATGCGAGCTGTATAAATGAGTGCACGTCCTAAACGAAACACGGCAATACCCATTATATGCAAGCGGATTTGAGGGAGAGGGAGAGGGGGGGGAGGGCAGAGGTCTGTCGTAGCTATTCTGAGAAATGTTTGGTGGAGTGTGTACGGTGGTTTCCCGAGCGTTACAATAACAGATTACTCCCTGGGCCGCCAAAGGACAGGCTAGGAAACACATCATATTTGCAAACACAGCCGAATAGTTGTCCCATTAGTGCCAGTTGGAGGGCAAAAGGGAACTCTGCGAAAAGCTCATGTCAAGCATCTCCCATCACTGAGAAATACATTCCTTGAAAACATTTGCCGCATTCGAAAATCAATATTTAGCAGTGGTTCCCTCAACACGATTCCATACATAATCTACGAAGGCCAAGCTGTCGTGAAAGCGCCGACATACCCGCAGCGGCTCGGTAAATTTGGGCTTGGACTTGCAGTAGTCGCCGACGTCGTACTGCGGCTCCTGGAACTTGGAGCGCTCCAGGCGGTCCGTCTTCGCCACCACCGTGCGGTGGATGGAGCTGGTGTCGATGGCGCTTTTCGCTGCAGGAAACCCGTGCAGCATCAGCGGCGGAGGGCTCAGAAAGGCACCAAACAACAGTGGGACCAATTACTGTAACTGATCAGTGAAATATCGGCGCTGTGTAGCCAGCCATTGGCAGAAGAATGCCTTATCAGTGCTCTTCTCTCAGGCGGCAACGCCTTAAAAATACGTGGATTGTTCGGCAAACTGATGCCACCAGAGCGAATTTATACCGTCCTCCGTTTCACCCAGACTCGACATCGCAGCCTGAGCGCGCTCCACCACAGCTCTCACCCACCTTCGACCTTCATCTGCGCCTGCGCGCGCGCCTCGCCCAGGGCGTTGGTGGCGACCAGTGTGTAGGTGCCGGCGTCCTCGCTCTTCACGGCGCTGATGTCAAGCGCCACGTAGCCGAAGTTGAGGAACGTTTGGATCCGGTTGGCCGAGGACAGAGGCTGCCCGTTGTGGAACCACTCCGTCTGGGAGGACGGGGGTTACAGTTGTGAGGAGGCCGGACACTGACTCGGTCCTCCACAGAGTAACAAGAGTGACAGATTCATAGCTTTGAGCCACGCCGCTTTTCCGTGGGTGGATGATTTATGCACATGTGAACTTAAAATGATGTGCCGCATAAGTAGTGGGTAGTTGGTGAAACCCAGTTTGAATGACGAACATTGATGTCGTTCCTTAATTAAACCAGACTGAAATGCAGTGAGAGCCATCATAGATATGGGCGAGACTCTCAAATACAGCACACTGCTATGGTGATCCTGGTTCTTGGGTTTGCCTGCCACTCACCTTCATTGTCGGATCGTTCTGCGGCTCGAGGCGTGCCTCGAAGTGAGCCTTTTGGCCCTCGCGGATGACGTTCGTTCCCTTGATAGGCCCCAAGAACTTGGGGGGCATCTTGGTAACCGTGACATCCTCCTCCACTTGCCGCGGGGAACGGCTGAAGCGAGACGCGACGCCATCAGCTGACGGTATTTTACACGATCGGCCCGGCCCGGTAAAACACAAAGTTAATAGAGGTTGAAGAGGTCAAGCACAAAGTTAATAGAGGTTGAAGCCCTTTTCCTCCTGCTATGAACATCACATGCATTAGCAATCTACAAGCCATTTGTAAACGCTGGCAAAACGAGACTACTGAATGTGACAGTACGGTAATGTTACCATGCGTGTTTGTCAACAAGTAACGGACAACGCGTCATGATCGCGCAATCTATCTTCAAAATGAACGTTTTCGAACATTGATATTCCCGGAGGTGTTGTCCAAACGGCGTTTTCAAGCAAGCATTGGCTCTATTCCCAATACTTGATGTTTGAATCTGTGCTTAAGATCACTATCATGATCTGAAGAACAGCTCGGAACGTCGAGTACTGACAATATGACCAATATTTGTTTGATGGCATTATTTCACCACTTCGCCCTGGCATACTTAAGATCTATAACTCCTAACGATAAAACTATCAACTCGTAATGCCGAAAAACCAGGAGCATGAGATTTCTTTCCAGTCAAAATTCCTCACTCCACCACCAAGGCGTGCATGCAACTAATACGGCACATTTTCTCCTGAAAGATGCACCCAAACCTCGTCGTTGAGATTCAGATAGTGAGTGAATTAAGCAGCCTTCTGTGGCCCAAAGCTCACCTGGAGTCCTCCAGATACTGGATCTTCTGCATGCTCTCCATCTGGCTGTCGGTGACGACGTCCTTCTTGCCGACGCACTGCAGCTTGGCCTGGCACTGCGCCTGGCCGGCTGCATTCACGGCCACGCACGTGTACACGCCCGTGTCGAACACTGTCACCTGCTTGATGGTCAGGCTGACGTAGCCGAAGTTGAAGAAGGTCGTCATCCGGGAGCCTGGGGGACGGGGGCGAGCAAGCGTTATTGGGCTGAAATGCACCAACGGGAAATATCGTCGGATGCCTAAATTGCTTTCACAGACGCCCTTGACTGTTACCCAGGAGAGTTAAGAACGACGGTTCTTAACTCCCTTGACATATATCACCATGTTAGCCGGTGTCACTATTCTTATTGCATTATAATCCAGCCCGGATTGCGTCCAATTCGCGGCTTGCTATACGCTGACCCAAACTCGAGTCGCTGACAAAGGCCGTGAACGACTCACTGGCTTCGAGCGGTCGGCCGTCCTTGAGCCAGCGGATGGTCATGGTGGCGTCGCCCATGGGTTCGAGGCGCGCCTCGAAGTGGGCGGTGCCGTTCTCCGGCACGGCCGGCGCGTCCCGAATCGGCTGCGTGAACTGCGGCGGCGACGTCTTCTCCTCCAGCTCAGAGGTCACCTGGAGGTCAGAGGTCGAGGGGTGGTCTAGATCCGTGCAAGTCGCGGCACCGAATCCGCCAGGCGAAGCGCTAGTTCAGTGATGCCCGTTTCATGACTCCTGGCAGCTGATTGCTGCAGGCTGTGAGCGGCCAGTGACTGCAGAGTCTTGAGTCAGTGACGGGGGATTGTTTTCGGCTCAGTTTTGAACCCGTTCTTCTAGTATTTAATTACAATGGGAGTCCGTTTCATCACCCGATGACTTTGGAGCGAAACGAGGCTTTCATGTTCTTATCAGATCGATGACATCAGCCTATATGCTCTGCTGTCCATGAGTCCCACAAACACCGGTCCCATGCGTGCAATACCCGTGACGACAGCTTACTCTCACCTGTTGTTGGATGGACTGTTTGTAGGCCTCCAGCTGCTCCACCGACTGGATGTGCTTCTGCTGCTCGGGGATGCCCAGGTCGCCGGTGACGCCTGCTCGCAGGCTGACCTGCAGCTGCGCCTGGCTGCTCGCCTCGCCCGCCTGACAGCAGCACAGGCGTCAGAGGACACGGCGCTGAGGCCGAGCCGCGCCACAGGGCGGGAATACACGAATCAGGCTGGCTCACGACGCAAGTTAGCAAATCGGCCATTCTTTACATCGGGTACGCACGCAGGTGCAACGACGAAGGCCCTTCATTGTCATCACGACGCACTCAGCTGCTGAGGCTATAAAGCGCCGTCTGCGTCTAATCCTGGGAGGGAGGGCGGACACCGCGGGGAATCGAACCCCCGTACCTCTGTTTCCGAGACACGCAGCTCAACCACTGCGCTGTCGGCACGACAAAAGCCCACAATGATATCTAGATGAGATGTGCGTGACGACTTAAGTATGCCCTATATGATGCGTCGCTATGAAAGGCATGCTGTTGAATAATGCAAATACATAATAGTACATGATATATATGACAGTGCTGCTATGATATGCTGCAGATGTACCCGGTCGTTCACGATTTCGTACGTCCAATCGCACTCCTCTCTACCTTCGTTCCCAGGTTACTTAGGGAAGACACAGTTCCTAAAGCTGCAAATTGTAAGATGGTAAGGCGTTCGTAGGAAATTACTGTTGAAGTTAGCGCTTACTTTATTGGTCGCACGAGCAGTGTAGACTCCCGAGTCTTCAGGACGCAGCTGATTGATGTTGAGAGCCAGGTACCCGAAATTGTTGATCGTGGAAATACGGGAACCTGGAAATAACCAGGGGGAATGAGAATCATGGAACTAAATAGTCACTTCTCATTCAAATATCACAAACAGCACGGTACAAGACTCAGATAATAGCCTTCCAGTTTGCGCATATATATATATATATATATATATATATATATATATATATATATATATATATATATCGCTTGCTCCAGAACTGCCGACTATCCATGGCTCATATTTTAGCCGATCTGTCTGCAGAGCTCAACACTCACTGGCTGTGATCGATCTTCCGTCCTTGAACCATTCGATCCTCATGTACGGATCGGATACGGGCTGGATCTGGGCCTCGAAGTGGGCATATCCGCCCTCGTGGACGCCAGCGACATCTCTGAGCTCGCGCACGAAGCTGGGCTTCACGTTGTGTTCCTCCGTGGAGGTGGAGCGCACGTAGCGGGACGTGTCCTCGAGCATCTGAATAGGCTGCAGACTCTCCGGATGTTGGGAGGTGGTTTCGATGACAGAACGGGCTGAAAACGACGTCATGTGCTGTTGGAATCATCTGACATATACACGGCAACAATGCAGCTTATACTGGAAATATGTTGGATTCGCATAAGGTAGGCATGGGTAATTTATTTTTACCGAACACACAACATTGCGAATTTTACGTTACATCTTATTTCTATTGACATGAGTCAAAACGCAGTGACAACAAACTTAAGTCACGTCTCGCTCTCAACTGCACCTGGGGACCCTGAGCCCACCCCACAAAGCTATATTCATCGGGCATCTGGCTAAGAGTCAACACTTACGTCCTACAGAGACCGTGCAGGTCGAATCAGCTGACCCCGCTTGATTGACTGCACGGCAGGTGTAGGTCCCCGCGTCCTGTTGAACCACTGACAGCAGGCTGAGAGACACGTACCCGAACTTGTCTGTGAGCGTGGCACGCGAGCCTGCGGACGAGGCACCGGACGTGAAGGCCGATACGGCTGCACGCAGGGGATCGATAGCAAAAGGCTCTGGTGCTATCAATGGCTGCTTTACTCACTGGTGCATTGTCGGCTTCTGCAGGCTACCAAGGTACGTGACGCTATCATCTTCATGTTTGCTTAAAATACGTCACTGACGGGGCATTGCTAAACACAAGTCGAAATGTTTTCCATGCAGCTTATCACTGAAAACAGAAGTTTGTATACGCAATCTAAATTATCACGTATCACGAACGTGCCACCCCAACACTAGCCTCATACCCTTGACCACGAAGAACCACCCGACCTCCTCCCTGCAGACATCACTCACTGGCTGGCATCGGCTGGCCGTCGATAAACCACCCGATCGTCATGGTGGGATCGCCGAGCGGCACCACCTTGGCCTCGAGCAGGACACGGTCGCCCTCTCCTACGCGCACGTCCCGCAGCGGGTGCGTGAACTGAGGCGCCTGCAACGGCCGCTCCTCCTCCGTTCGCTGCGCCTTCGGCCGCGACCGCTCCACGTGTTTCAGGTGGATGATCTCGGGGTTGAGAGGCGGCTCCGGCTCGATGACCTGGGGGGGGGGGGGGGGGGAGACGCTGCGATTAGCCGGTGTCACCGGACGATCAGCTCGCCCTCCACTCCGTCCACCACTTGTCATCGCGCTGGCTACGCAGCTAACCTTCCGGCATCATCACTTCATCACTCATCGGCACTCATCAGCCCACGCGAACTCTTGTGCGCACCCTGCCCACACAGCCCCGGCACTGACCGGCCCGGGCGCCGCGACGCTGACCCTGACCAGGTGACCCCGCCACTGACCTTGGTGGGCTTGGGCAGGTGGAGCCTCCACGGCTCGCCGGCCGGCACTGCCGGGCCTGCCTCCACGTACAGCTTGGCCCGCGTGGCCGTGCTGCCAGCGGCGTTCTGCGCCGTACACTGGTACCAGGCGGCGTCCTCCGGACGGACACTGTGGCCAGGACGCAGCGCGATTAACATACAGACACGCGGGACGCCAGCGCCGTCACCATGCTGCCGCCGGGCGTCGTTGGTGGCTGGCACGCCACGGCACGTTTACCGTTGCAGTGTTTTGAAGTCCATTGCCGTTAAATATTACATGCGTTGTCTTTTTTTAACGAGACACCGCGTGGGTGTAGAACAGTGGCATGCGCGCTTCATGGTGAGCACGCCTTTGCCCGACCGAGGCCAGGGCCAAATCAGATCCAGATCTTTGCCCGACCGAGGTCAGGGCCAAATCAGATCCAGATTAGACCAGATCCCACATGCCGGTTTCTTTCTGCACGCGTTTTCGCGACGTAAGGATAATTTCAGTAACGCCATTGAAGGGCAGACTGGAAAGCCCTGCAGGTGATGCCGCAAGGTTTGTACTTTGATATTACTTCCGTCTGCGCTGCGAGCTCAAAAGGCGCTAGCAAGAGTCCGAGAGTATCGGTTACATCAAGACCATCATGCCACCTCGATCCCAGCGTACCCCCGCCCTCCAGCGCCGCCCTTCCGCCACCCACCAGGGTATGTCGAGCATGGAGGCGCCGCCGTCGGTGACGATGCGCACGCTGGCCGAGCCGTCGATGGGCGCGCCGTCCTTCTGCCACGTGATGCGCGGCGTGGGCGCGCCCACCGCCCGACAGCTCATCGACACCGGCTCGCCGGGGCGTACGTGCACCGTCTGGAAGCGCTCCACGAACTTGGGCGCGATCACCTGTTCCTTCTCCAGCACGTGTAGGTTCACCTGCCGCGGAGGGAGAGGGAGGGGGATGAGATGAGGGGTGTCGGGGTTTGTTATGTAGCGGTGCATTGTGTGGTGATGATTTGGTGCGTGGCAAAAGAAGTACAGCAGCATGTACTCGATGCCGCCATACATGGTTCAGAGAAACCCGAACGAAGTGAGAAACGAAGCATCAAGGTGAGTAATATGACCTAATATCTTGGCTTCAGCAAGCAGCAATGTTTCAGTGTGGAACGCAGCATGCACCGGCACCATTCGAAACATGACTGACATAAGCTGGTCAAGTGGTTGCGTTGTGCTTACCACTAAAAATGGCCTTGTTCGGGGGAGATCTCACAAGTACATAGAGCACCAACTACAGGGCTCCGTTGGATTCAACGGTCTCACCTGGAATTCGGCCTGGCCGTTCTTGTTCTTGGCGACGCAGGTGACGACCCCCGAGTCGCGCTGAGCGGCGTTCGTGATCATCAGGGCGTGGCTGCCCGCCTCGTTCACCATAATCTTATGCGTGGCGTCGTTCGTTATGGGCATGCCGTTTATGTACCAGAACACCTAAAAGCATAACGGCGTGCTGTAAGGAACGCATCGGCCCAGCACCACCGCGGTAGTATGCTGGCCAGTTTTGAATGACCTCCTACAGCGTTACATAATCACACAAACCTCTCAGCACTGTGCCCTCATAAGTACACGTGACACTCCATTGAGACGTCATTTAGCTGACCACAGCCACCAGACAACGTTCACTGTTTACACGGACGTCCCGGGACAACGAGCCACTACCAAGCGCCTACTCTTCAGTGGATACCTTACCTCGGGGCTGGGCTTGCCCGACGTGCGACACTCGAGTCGCACCATCTTGCCCTCCTGCGTCTCCTTGTCAGTGGGCACGCGTAGGAAGGTTGGCGCCAGAGACCGGTCCTCGGAAATCTCTTCCGTCTGGGAGGTGAAGCTGCGGAAGCACCGGTGACATGACATGACATTACATTACATTAGCTTAAGTGACATTCGTGTGACCCTGATGACACAAAGTACTTCACGAGTTATTCGGTGTCAGCGTGGTTTAACAAGACAAGAGACTGGTGCAACCAACGAAGTGTTGGTCGGTTAAGGTCTGCAATTTACAGCGAACGCTTCATACAAAGTGTTATCGCGCACGAGTATTGTTCTTAACTTCTCGTCATTGCTATTGCAAAGGCTAAGTCAAACACCAAACCTTTCTGAATAAAGCATGTAGTCATCAGCAGCTGCCGACGCCAGCGACTCGCACCGCTCCCCGGGTCCACTCACGACTTTTCGACGCGCTGCGAGGTGACAGCCTGCCGCATGGCGTCGGCGGCGGCTGGCGGCTCGACGGCCAGGAAGGCCGAGCTGACCACGCAGCCGGCCGCGTTCTCGGCCAGCATCGTGTAGTGCGCCGAGTCCTCCGGCTGCACGGCGCGCAGCTTCAGCGTGGCCATCGAGTTGCCATGCGCCATGGCGGCGCGCGGCCCGGGCCGCACGCGCACGCCGTTCCGGAACCAGGTCACCTTGGGCTTGGGATTACCGACGAGCCGCGCCTGGAAGGTGGCGTCGCCGCCCTGCGCCACCATGGTGGCGCGCGGCTTGGTCTGCACCTGGGGCGGGCTGAGCGGGCCGGGCTGCCGGCTCTCCGACTCGGTCTCCACCTCGGTCTCGGTCTCCGTCTCGCCGGCGTAGCGGCGCGTCAGGGATTCGCGGAACTCGGTCTCACGGATCAGGCGGTACTCGAATGTGTCGACTCGAAACTCCTGCGAAGCCGAAGGCAGAGGTCACACGAGTGCGCCTGCGCCTGCCGTGGTACACACGTGCATGCGTACGTGCATGCATGCGTGTGTGCGTGCGTGCGTGCGTGCGTGCATGTGTGTGTGTGTGTGTGCGTGTGTGTGGGTGTATACATGTGAGAGAGAACGCTGTCGTTAAACTCTTGAAGTTTCCAACAATTCTATAAAGGTCCAAATATTCACCATGTTTCATTACCTTATACCAACGGATACACTGAAATCAACTGAAATGAAAATGGTCGTAGCCGATTTTGGGAAGCATGCAAGACAGTCTCACTTAACTCGCTGCATGCTTTGCTTAAAGTGGTCCACACTTGTACTATCAAAGCTTCGGGGACGGAAGTCGCACCGCGACAGACGCAGCCACGACCCATGATACAGGTGGGTGCGGGTCGACACGGGCCGTGGGTCGCTAGGTGCGCAGCGGGCCTGCGTCAGTCACATAGTCTCACCTCTGTCTGCTGGCCGGCGGGCAGGCCCGGGTACTGCTGGCCGAACGGCGAGCTCTGGTACTGACGGTCCACCGTGGAGCTGGTGGTGGTGTGGCCGGCTGAATCTGTCACCGACGACATCTCCTGCCGGAACTGCATGCTCTGCTGCTGACCCATCATGCGGCGCTGCATGCCCTGCTGTTGCTGCTGCTGCTGCTGCTGCTGCTGCAGGTATGCAGCTGCAAACACACAGAGATGGTGCGGTGTGGCGCACACGAAGAAAGCTTGGATACAGGTGAATGATGGAGAAAATAGCTGCCAATGTGATTCCCAGCCTCGTGGTCGGCACAGCTACGATCGTTCATAATGCAGCGATGATTTGGAACCCAAACACACTGATGACTATTATTTTCCATATGGAATAGCTCTCGGGCTCGAAAATAAACAATTGTTGAAGTACTTTATGCAAAAAGCCTTCTGATAACTGAGGTAAACAACAGCCAATGCAAGTAAGTTCTTATCACTTCACGGTAGTGTCACTTTGCCATACACTACATGCGTCACTTTTTACCGTCACCTGACGCAGCTTCACACTGTCATATCATTTAACAAAACAAAGCAGAAACATTGAGAGATCTTCTGCTGCTTGCATATATCACATGCGCATCGCTCATGAATCACACGGAACACATGCCCTCAGGCGCCGGTTGATGACGCCACTGTTCCGAGTTCTCAAACGCCGTACCATCGGCGGTGGGCGCATCTGCCGGCGGCCGCGGCCGCCCCCCCACCTTCCGGCTGGATGTAGACTGTGCAGATGGCCTCCCCGTACTGGTTCTTGGCCAGGCATGTGTACTCGCCCTCGTCGCCGGGCCCGATCCGAGAGATCATTAGGCTGACCTCGCCGGTCGTCGGGTTGTACTTCAGCTGGTATTTGTTCGAATCTGGAACGACCACACGGCGGGTGGTGAGACATCAGCACACATGGGTTTGGTCTGGGTGAGTACGAGACTATTCCAGCTATCCCGACTATTTCAGAGCCATAAGAACGAGGAAAGAGCGAAGATGTGGGGAAAATATCCAGCCTTTTGCATCCAAAAGTGCTGAAACATTTCTGCTGAAAACCCCACTATATACAGTCAGGGCCCCGCGACAGGCATAGACAGGGTCCTGCTTAGAAAATATGGGGCTCGGAACCATGACGACTCGAGGCCAAACCCCGCCACTGGCTGACTGCAGCGTACGTTGGGCATGGCAACGCGAACAAGCATGCACGAAGTCCTCTGGGATTTATCTGGACGACGGGTAACCTTTCGCAGTGCTTTACGATGACGCCTCGTGAAAGCAGTCGATGCGATGCCGCGCACCTGGCAAAGCTATTATGCTTGGCGTGGCGTATAATAAAACAGGTTTATTTGTAATGACGTTGCTGTTTGCCTGTGACTTTTCTGGAAACAACTAGGCCAGAATATCAAATGTTTGGCAACCAATCGCAGTGATAGCATGAGCGAGCGATCATTGTGGCAATAACAGTGACATTGCAATTCCCCGCTAACCTTGTTCCCGAATCATGCATTTAGCTAGAAATGTCTGCACACAGTAGTACCAAGCCAAATCCGCCCGTTTAGCTCAGCTTGGTTCAAGAGGGCAGCCGCGTTTTTCACCTCCGATCAGATTTCACCCGGTCGCACCCCTCGTCCTGACAGGTAATTTTTTAGCCCGACATTTCGGACTTTCCAGGCGGGCGTTGGGCGCGCTCCAGCGCCCCCTCCCCTCCCCCCAGGATCGGGCGATCCTTGTTTATGTTCGTGTCGCGCCAGCAGCCGCTGCCAGCGACGTCCTGGGCTGCGGCTGTGGTTTCCGCACCGTGAGGTGCCGCATCTGTCGCCATGTGAGCGCCTCGGGGGCTCCGGCCGCTGGAACCTCAGCCATGCGGGCGAGCTTTCCAGGCCCCACGGAGGCGAAGGCACTGGAGCCTTCCCGGACTAAAAGCGGTTCGTGATTTCATCAATGTCAATAGATGCTGGTTTGTTTGTGTGGGCGAAGCCAAATAGCTTTGCCCTCCAACGCGCCAAATTCGCCGTCCATAAATAAATCGGAAGCTAACGAGGGGAAGTAAACGACGGATTTCGATGGCGTGATGTACAATTTTCATGTGCTATGACATCTACACAAATGACTCGTGTAGGTGCAAGGAATAGCGTGTGACGCGCTTTTCCACGAAGTATGCACATTTTGCACACTGTTTTCCGACCACCTGTCGGGGTTACCAGCCCTTTCCCCAAGGTTAAAGCCTCATCGCTATATTGACCGTTGCCAATGATTTTTGCGAAGTTCTTAACTGTGTTTTCCATACTGCCATGTGTAAAGGCAACGATGGAAAAATCAGATCACAACATAGAGAATTGAAAGAGAGGTTCTGTTCTTTACGTGATCTTGAATCAATGGCTACGCATTTTCATTTCCATGATCTTTGGCTCAATCCTGTAGACAATGACTGATAACCATTTTAAGTCCATCCATATATTTGACTTGATTTGATAATAGTTTTAAACCTATTGGAGATTATATTTTCATGCTATTGATATTAGCCGTGTGAAGATGGAAAATGAACAAATATGTGATGTCTTTGTGCACAAGAATACTAAATACAGAGGTTCACTACAAACCAGCTATGCCAAAAGGCTGTGAAATGGGTCAAAGAGACCATGCCGTCTTTAATTTGATGATTATGCAGTTCAGCCGGACGCGTGACGCATGCCTGCTGCTTTGTCACGACGCCCAAGTCTTCACGTAGACTGATCCAAACCAACTTCGAATGCCGATGCGGTCTGGTTCTGTCGTCACTCCAAACCTTTTGTCTTGAGGTTTTTATTTATGGGGCTGTTTAACTTCACAGGTTCTGAAGAATGCAGGTTCTGAACATTTTCTGTCCAGATTCCGCGCCCTTTTCCCCAAGGTTAAATGCTACTGCTCCCCTGAGTCTTCCTCCGATCGGGCTTCCACACTCCATAACTCAGAGTTTATGACATGACAGACTCTGTGACTACGCAATGCTCATGACTCAGAGCTGCAATCGGACCGAAATATCGGAAGCCTCCTGGGGCCTCCGAGCTCGGCAGGAAGTCGCTCCCCCGCCCGCCCACATACAGACGAACGCCCGGAGGCGCCGGCGTCAGCTGACGCCTCGCGCCTGGCACGCCCCCAGCCGGTGATTGGCCAGCAGCCAGCGGCCAGCCGGCGGGCGACCCCGGCCAGCCGGGCCGAACGCCGCCCGCCCGCCCGCCCGCCGGCCAGCTCACTCTGCGGCCGCGGGGGCGGGCGGGAGCCGGTCGTGCTGACCTCGGTCGAATTCCGATCTAGCCAGCCAGGAATGGTGGCGGACAGCATAGCGACGCGTGCAACTTTGTATTGCGCGGTTCGCGATTTGGAGCTGGGTGCGTGAAAGACCTGACTTAGTCACCAATTTCTTCTAAAGCCGTTTTTACCGCATTAGAGTTTGTTAAGTTTTCCCTTAAAAGCGTAGTTAATTGGGCATAATTTTGCAGTGGGCCCAGCGCAAAGCTTGACGGTACGCATTCCGTTAGCACACACCGTCTCTGACGTAAGGATCAACTACCGCAAACAGCCATTTGTAGGACTGCAGTGACGTCTTCGGTTGGGGGAGGGGCTTCAGCCTCCCATGTTTCAAAAGCAAGTTGGCCCGATTCAGGGAAAACCCATTTTTGTGTTTTCAGGCTAGTTTTAGTCATTTTTCTTTGCCCAGCCCACCCTCCTCAAGTGCGTTCCAAACTATTTTGCCAAAGTACAGCCCAGCCTATAAGATTTTGTGTTTCACCACTGTGATTGGCTTATCTCAAAAATGTCCATAAGCGCCTTTGTTGAATAGAAGTAAGCACTACGGTTTGTGAAATGGATGCACCATTTCACCGATGTCTGGTACCGCCAGCACGATGTCCAGCACTGGTGCCAGCTTTCCATATGTGCGCCCACAGCTGTTATTTGATAATTACGTGCAGGCGTGCTCATTACTTTAAGGAAGGGCACAAACGCAGCCCAAAGCAAAACACCGTGCACGACCATTCACCGTGTTCCTGGTGATTAGGCTGTACCGCACGATACAACCGTCAAACTGCACAGCATACATACACAGACCAGTTCGAGGCACAGCGGTGCAGCATATCAATACAGGCTATCTGCAGGCCATGCGGCGCGGCACACCGACTGAGGATAGCCCAATCCGCCATCGCGTCTCAAGTGTCATATTACTTTGAGCAGTTATTTGGAGTATGACGTCTACATTCTTTATCATACGAATGGTAGTCAAAAGAGGGGAGAGAGAGAGAGAGAGAGAGAGAGAGAGAGAGAGGAGAGAGAGAGAGAGCGGAGAGTAGAGAGAGAGAAGAGAAGAAGGAGAGAGAGAGAGAGAGAGAGCAGAGAGAGAGAGAGAGAAGAGAGAGAAGAGAAGAGAGAAGAGAGAGAGAGAGAGAGAGAGAGGAGAGAGAGAGAAGAAGAGAGAGAGAGAGAGAGAGGATAGAGAGAGAGAGAGAGTGAGAGAGAGAGAGAGAGGAGAGAGAGAGAGAAAGAGGGAGAGAGATAGAGAGAGAGAGAGAGAGAGAGAGAGAGAGAGAGAGAGAGTAGAGAGAAGAGAGAGAGAGAGAGAGAGAGAGAGAAGAGAGAGAGAGAGAGAGAGAGAGAGAGAGAGAGAGAGAGAGAGAGAGAGAGAGGGGAGAGAGAGAGAGAGAGAGAGAGAGAGCGAGAGAGAGAGAGAGAGAGAGAGAGAGAGAGAGAAGAGGAAGAGAGAGAGAGAGAGAGAAGAGAGAAGAGAGAGAGAGAAGAGAGAGAGAGAGAGGAAGAGAGAGAGAGAGAGAGAGAGAGAGGAAGAGAGAAGAGAGAGAGAGAGACGAGAGAGAGAGAGAGAAGAGAGAGAGAGAAGAGAGAGAGAGAGAGAGAGAGAAGAGAAGAGAGAGAGAGAGAGAGAGAGAGAGAGAGAGAGGAGACATAACTTAGGACACGTGGCATGGCGGAATATTCACTTCGCAAGCTTTCGCCTGCTTGAATGCTCGGTGCATCAAAACACACATGCAAGCAATCTACACAATGCATCTCAGGCTCCTTCTTACAACAGTGATACAAACGCATAAATCAGCCTAGCCCTACAAACTTATCGTAAGCCAACGCACGTATTCCGACAACATATCCACCAGGTCCATGCCGCTCACAGCATCCCAGTTCCCGTCGGCATTCGGGGCGTGCCACCTGGCCCCCGCTGCGGCCTCACCGTTGATCGGTCGTCCCTGGCGGGTCCACGAGATCGTGGGTCGCGGGTTGCCCCGCACCTTGCCCTCGAACAGGGCGTTGCCGCCCTGCGCGAAGCGAGCATTTCGGAAGATCTGTTCGAAGACGGGCGGGGCCGGCTGGCCTCCGGTCCTGCAAGAGGCGGAGTACTGTCAGGTGGCGTGGCGACGGAGACCACGCTGGTGCAGTGTCGCTGGCAGGATCGGCATGCACCAGGGAGTTGTGCTATTTCAATGAAAGATATTAAACGTCAAATGAGGACTCGCTATAACTGGATTCCGCTCGTAGAATGTGGCGCACAGGATGGACACTCGGCGGGGTCTCGGACAGGCAATGAGTCCGGAGTGGACCGGTTGGCAGTCGACTGGGTTTGCTGCTGTGCTGATCGCTGGTGTGAGTACCGACCGCCACCATCTCTTGCGCTTACTAAAAACATCGCGTTACGACCAGTGCCGCTGATATTAACGTTTGGCTTGTGCGGTCACTAGGTCCTCCCAGCAGTGCACTAACTGTGGGGTTATTGTCGAGGCTTCTAAGTCAAATAGCGTCTCAGGTACGTCCTTACAGTGCCATCAAACTCAAAGATGACGTTACTAATGTTAGAACGCATCTTTTATCTCTTGAAAAAATTCACTCCTGAATGATGCGTACTAGATATGGAGAATTTCTTTGCCGGGAGTGTCGCCAGTTTTAACACACGCTCGGGTGGGGGGTCAAATTGACACCCGCCGAAGGTTTTTACAGAATGGTTTCCGAACGGCGCGGCGTAGCCGCGCCAAATCTTGCATAGCTGTAGACAGTTGAATACCAGATCGCTTGACATCACAAATGTAGATTTATTACGTAAGGTCGCTGACCTGTGGCAGGTCAAAGTCAGGCTATGATTTCAGCGAAGGCAATTTTAAGGGAATCGTCCAATCTGATACAGCAACGGAGTGTTTGACAAAACTATACACCTCTGACATGCTTTCTTAGGCACTACCAACATCGAATGGGCCAATTGCGTTGACCTAAGGTCAGGTGTGAAGGTCATACCAAGGTCACAACCAACCTGATTGATTACTCTAGGGCTTGCTGTATGGGATAGTTTGTGGTGCTCATTTCGAATTTATTGATAGCAGAAACCGCATTATACATCTTTCATTGACTCCTTAGAGGCCAGAAAAGGTCATTGACCTAAGATGACCACGGTCGACATTTTGCTTTATGAACAAACTGCCTAGCATAATCTTTGTCGCTTATTCAAATGCAAAACTCAGAGCAGTCTTGTATGCCTTTGGTCACCATGACCTTCAAAAGGTCAAACAAGGTCACTGACCTCAAATGGACTTGTGTCCTTTTGCTTAGCAACAGCTTCCTAGGTTCTGAGGGCACTTTCGTGCAGTGTCCTAGAATTGCCCACTTTGGGTGTAAAGCAACACCCTATGAGGAGGAATTTTTCACTCCTATTCCCCATATTTTGTGTGAATTTTTCACTCCTGCCTGACATTGTCTAATCGCACATGCCAAACCCCTATTTCCCCTCCTGAGGTTTACCTCTAAGCCCGAGAATCCCAGCGACCCCAGCCGCTTGCACGCATTAAGATTGGTTTGTTTACAAAATGCATCACAATCTGCAGCTGTGCGCCAAATGCAAGGTTTCACGCATCCCCTATTTTTTTGGTCTGACCACCACACCACGAAAGCATAGCCTGGCGCAAACACCAGCAAAGCTTGGTAGATAATTTTACTCCACGTATTTCTTTCTCCCGAGGAAACTTGACCACTAAATTGCATCACTCCCGAAATGCCGGAGTGAAAAGTTCAAGAGATGTCTTCTAAATTAAACTTACAAGATGAATATCACCATTTGAGCAGTACCATTAACAGATTTTTAGTTAAATCAGCTGATAACAAAATTTTGCTGGAAAATTACCAGTCCTTATATTTATTTAGCTTTTTGTTTTCTCGGTACCATCCGGGTGTGATACCACTTTATTCTTCCTTCCTTTTCGATTGCTTTTAGAGGTACCAACTATTGCTTAAAATTCTGACCATTTCTCTGCAAGATGCTCCAACTGCAAACTTGTACCTATTTTATACCTAAATTGGATTAATTCGCCAGCCGCCCAAACATGTTTGATATGTACCCAAGCGTGAACAATTCACAGGCAATGAATGAGACAATTTGAAGCACGAAACTTATCTGTACCGACAATTTTTGTCCTCTTAAATTCTTGGTTAACCGTTTTCTTGGTTCATGGCGGTGCTCAATAATGATAAATCTAGGCCTTTCGAGTGCCTGACTCACCAGGCTGCCTGGCAAGGCTATGCTAATGCCACCATACAGAGCCCTGGGACAGACCTGACGAAGCCAATACAGAAGTGTTTGATGGCGAAGTTCTGCCCTCTGGAGATGTTTATCATGTACACCTCTTACTTATTTCGCATTTTAATCTCGTAGGTTGGTGGGCATGATAGATATTTATATTTGGGGGGTGAGCGGGATGACTCTGTCTGCCAGCAGACCATGCAAAAGGTACTGACTTTTTGTTTTGGGGAGCAAGAAGAAGCCAGTAAGTGTCCTGTGGACCAAGTGATTGCTTACCTTACCTGCTTTCAACACATGATTGGTAACCAGAGTTAGCCATTTTCTGTGTTAATCCATCGAGTTTTGTCATAGACAAACTATGATGCCACAAGGCATGCAATGGGCTCATGGGCCCAAAGCATTCCCAGAATTTCATAAAAGTTTCGTCTACTTACCACCTCTTTTAACTTTAACTGTTTTAACTGTTTTGTTTTAACTTCTGTTTAAGGTTCAAAAGCATTTCGGTGCTTTTTCGGTTTTGAATGGTGTCCCCATTAGGTACTCGCGAGAGGCACCATACACTGGACCTCGGATCCCACACCAGCCAGCTGGCGACGAACGGTTGCCCCCCCCCCCCCAAACTCCAGGCTAGATCCGCCCCTGGCATCAGTCACCATCTCATAAGTTACATCTTTTGTGAATTGATTTTTTCACTTCCGCACGGTCTTTTTGCGATGTAATTTTTCACTCCCACCCTAGTTCAAAAGCGATTCTAGTTCCCTGTTTTCGTGACCAACCCATAGCTTGACCTTGTTTGACTTTATTTGACCTGAAGGTCATGACCTAGAAAGCTCAAACTTTGACCTAAGTGAGTTAACGTACAGGTCAAGACGGCCTGCAAGTTTGGTGTCCCTAGCTTTCTTAGTTCCCGAAATCTCAGGGGAGAGGGTCAAATTGACCCCCACCCGAGCGAAGGGTATCTAGCCGGCCACCCGGGCACGTGTAAAAATGCGTTGATGCTTAACTGCTAAAATGCTAAAACGCACAGCATAAAATGCTAACTGCAGTGCCGCCGAACGTTTTAGCGTTGGACGTTGTTTTTCCAGATTTTTTTTGGAACTGCTCATTTCCGATCAAATCCTAATGCACGTGCAGTTACATGATATTCTGATGACATGACCTCCTGTTGTGCTCTTCATTCGTAGATTAAAGCATGATGCAATAAATCATAATTGCCAGTAGTTTAGCCCAGTTAATCTGGCAGACTCCACCTTATAATCCGAGTATTTTTGTAAAGGCCTTGCCCAATTACGGAAAAGCAAGCACCTCTTAGCCCTACAATGCCTGTTTTCTGACTGCCGAGGTTAGCAATGCTGGGGGGGGGGGGGGGGGGGGGGTGAAGGTGGTGGGACATCCCTTTGTTACAAACTATTCAGCCTCAGTGATCAGGACATTTTGCATAGTGGCTATCACAAGTTTTCAACCAGAGCTTGCGTTTTACATGACCGTGCTTGTAAGGGTTATTAAAGCCTAAATAGATCGGGACACAGGTGTTCAAAATGGCGTATAGGCCATCAACCGTTTGTATGTCGTTACACAACAATAAGAAGCATAACGGTGCCCTTAGTTTTGAACGTCGTTCCACAACACCGAGGTGTATGATGGCGCCGTTAGTCTTGAGAAACATGCGCACACCTTTTCTTTAATTTTCTTCTAATGAATTGGGGTCAGTTGGGGTCAATTGGGGACCCTGAGGTCACGAGTTCTACTGAACTGATTTCTCCTTGTGAGGGCTTTTCATTATTATTGGGATGTGAATTCTAGTTTGGATGCGAGCGAGTGTACTAGCTCATGTTTGAGGGAAGTACACGGTTTTGTGGTTTGGCTGTATTGCTCCACGACGGATGCCACATGTCCGTTCCGGTGCCTCAGTCGATTACGCGTCTGTCTTCGTGTCCACCCACTCGTGGCGGGGTGGGTTCGAATCGCCTTAACACGCTCGATATGTCCCCCTGACTGGGGTGGTCTACAGCGGACGACAGCGGGAGGGCTACAGGTCAGGCGACGTAAGACGGCAGGACGGACTGCCGAGAATTAGGTTGCTTCATTTCATTTCACGATTGAGCGCAGCGGTTCGGGATAACGTAGCTGACACCGTTGAGCGTGATTTCGAGAAAAAACCCAATAAACCAAGACGAAACTGAGCCACGACCTGATGCACGTACATGATGGTACCACAATTCAAAGAATACTAAATGGTTTGCTGGAACCGACTATATGTGCGCCATATGTGCGCGCTTCTGGTATTTCTCAAAGTTTGTTCTCAAAGTTCTCAAAGTCTCAAAATTGCTGGCCGCAAGATGCTGTCAGCTGGATCAGCTGTTACACTTCGTTTACTTGCTCTTCCCGCTTGGTCTACATCGCTGTGATAGACCTACCATTGTTTATCTATCGACTACCGCAACTGCCGTGATATTTGTGCCGTTTTCCAAAAAACATCATGATGTTATGCTGTATTAACCTTAGTTTTCATTACGAACCTAACCTCGGTTTAACATAATATCCATGAGGCATTCAAAAAGGGAACATCAAACAAGGTTGAGTTTTTTCTTGGATTTAAGTTGATATATACATATATATATATATATATATATATATATATATATATATATATCGACATCCAATTGTTTGGCCCGCGTCCATGCCTATATCCGCTTATGAAATATTTGCGCTGTCTATATACCAATTACAGTTGGATAGTGCTATGGAAACCGATTGCATGAAATAAACCATAATGCAACCAGCCTTCATAAAATGTAAACACCCAATGAATGGCTCTTGAAACCCTCCAAGCTGTAACTGCCGGTTGTCTTCTATGCTTACTCAGCTTTTTAGATGCATCTGAAAAGTGCGCATTTTCATGCGTTGTATTACTAGCAGCTCCTGTATTATCTCCACAAGAAAAAGTGCACGGGTTGCATGTCTCTTGGGTATATGACGTACCAAATTTGCAATTTGTTGGCCTGACCCACTACATTGCAGCTCCCGGCTTTACCATGGACAGGTTTCGTTAATGTGCCTGACGGTGGCCTATCTACGCGCGGCAGGTTATGCATAACATAAATTTTATTATCATTTATGTAGATAAGTGTGTTGTGGCTGAATGTGATGACACATCCTCGGGCTATTGCCAGAGGTCTGTGGATGCCACATTTATGTAAAGCAGCCAGTGTAATTTGGTGGCATGACTCCTGTATAATTACATTGTAATCTGTCCAGCGACGCAGAAAATTTAGACACCGAATTGAAAACACTACGCAATCATATTTTGACAGATTACGTGACATGAATATTTAGGCAAGCCAGTAAAAAACTGTCAGCTCCAACGATTTGGAATGCAGCTTGGGGAACATATCGGGGCGATGTGACTTTCTTATAGTAGGCTTGAGGACGCATGCAAGAACCATTTGCATTTATAATCGTACGTCACGCTGCGGAATGCTAACGCAGCCAAGGCGTCGTCTCTGACACCCAACTGAGGCCAGGTAAGTGGATCTCGCATTAACTGCAGAGGCTGGCCACATGCCAATACAGCCTGATGAGCTGCACTCTCCTCCGCCCAGATCTGCTTACCGCCATGGTCGGAATAGTTCCCGCGAGTCTATTCTCAGGATGTCTGGAATGTACCAGCTCAAAGAGAAGGCACCACTCGCAAATTGACACGTGGCACATGAATCAGCCTTCCATTTAAGATGCACGACTAAGCTCCTAAGCTAAAAATTTTGACGATGTTCCTCAAAGCGGCAATGCAGTTTAACATTCCGTATGAACACATGCAGAACACATGCGCTGCCCCTTGTCCAGCTTTGACACTTCCCGCACCAAGCGGCGCGACCCGTTTATTAAACCAACGCCACCCCACCCGCTTTGGCACTGGCCAAGTCCGCCCACTTGCATGCTCTGCATAGCCTCAAATAGACTATTCCCAGAAGGCTATCGGTGCACCGATGCCAGTGCTCTCTGGAAACACGGTACTTTGTCTACCACCGGCCTCCCCTCTCTGGCGAAGGCCCACGGTGTTCAGTAGTGATCTAATCTGCTCAGCAACGGCAGATTCTCTCTGACTGGGACCTACTGTGTCCGGCATGGGCAAGCTTTGATGGCCTTGGCGTTCCCTGTCGGGAGGGCCTCCTGTTTCTGACGTGGTTTGCTACCCCATCAACGGATCCGTCCATGAAAGCAACAGCAACCCGCTCGGACGCGCTAACATCTTTGTCTATTGCTATAGATGAGTCGTTTGTTTGCTCGGGCTGGGAAACTGGTCATGCGCCTGGCCACATGACTTCAGATTCAGCCGTATTTCCGTTGAGCCGATGCGAAATTGACTCCCTACTATTACTTAAGATTGAAATGGACTTTTTCGGTTGGTTAAAAGCGTCGACAAATCGGCTTAAATATATATTTAAGTAGTGGCAGGTTTTCGTATTCTGAGAATTTTAAATCGCAACAGACGGAAATCAGACACGTCGGCCGTGTAATGAACTATATGTTCTAAGTACGTTTGTACATGACTTGTGGAGCAGATGGCCTATAAGCCTGTCTACATCGGAAGCGACTCAATTGAAATCCACTTCGGAAATGACCACTATATCCTTGCGTAAAAATAGGACTTATCTTTGACGTTGTGGATTTTGCTCCGTTAAATTCGAATGCGATAGATGCCTTAGCTTGAAAGTGTTTGCGTTTCATTTGAAAGTGCCTAAGTCCAATGTGTGTTTCAAAACCGTGAGCTTACTGGATTACTATCACCACTAGACATGCACCTTAATAGTAAAAATATCAGCTCCTATGCGTTCAGCATTTCAGTGACCACCACCATGCCTGCATGCGTGGGATACGCAGCTTAAGCTACAGCAGTTGACAGTGCCTCAGTCATTCCCGTTGAAAATAATGAAACTATACCCGATTTGTGCGGTTACCAACAAGAGCTTTAACACTGGCGCCCATGTCATACACCTTCGCTATTCATGCCGTCAACACTTGCGTGCAATCCAATTACATCTCCAAACTTGCGAGCGACGAGGCATGTCAACTTGGGACTGTGAGCCAGTGACGTCACGGGACACGCGCACCTAAATAGCCCCGCCGACGCGGCCGTCACTTCCGACAGAGTTGGCACAAGATGCAAGGCTGTCGGCTCACTGAAAGCCAAGTGCTCGAGGAGAACTGCGGGCTTATGTAATGCTATCAGCTGTTGGACCACGCGTTGTGGCTCGACTCTGTAACGGATCAAGGCGCGTAGTTGCAGGACAGGTTTTATGTCTGACGTAGATTGCTTTCTCTCTCTAGTACGATCCTCCGTGTTGTGTGTAAACAGCTGATTCTGCATCACGTTCCGTCCTAATTCCAGGCACCTCTGCTTCAAGAACTGGGTGTCAGTGGGAACGAACCTTAATGTTTGAACTGAAGTAGCCCCATGTGTACATATATTTTCACGTTTTTGGGTGAGATATGTCCACGCACGTCAGATCTGTTCACGCAGGCATATTGTTTGCTTTTTTTTACTGTGGCATCTGTCCACGTATTGTGCTATGTTGCGCACCTGGCTCTAAAGACAATTACATGAATTTTGTAACTTACCTTTGTCAAAGTTATCGACATTTAATTCATGATGTTGGCCTTTGGGCTAGGTGACGAAATACGCAAAATCATGCGCGATGCACGAGAGCAATTTTTTAAAACAATTCACACTTAACTTGTGACATGAATTTGCAATAACTGCTCAATCGTTGGCTCAGGAATACAAGCAGCTATCTCCACTCCCACCCGCACCCCACTTTATTTGGACGCACTAATCAGGGCATACCTATTTACTACACATGACACGCATGGGCAGCAGCCAGATTATGAGCTGGCATGAACTGACTGCCCGTCCGCTAAGCAAGACCTCGTCCATTATTTTCGAGTAGCTGTCGGCCCAAAGTTCCTTCGCGCCTTCGTGCCAATGCTGTAAGACACTCGCCTTGGCCCTGTGCCAATATTTGTCGGGCTTTTTAATGCATCTATCATGTGAACTCTCATTAGCAAGGTTACTGGGTGCAGGAACCCCCTTTATCTTCAAGGTACACTCACAAAAAGTACTTTCGGGTACACAACAATAAAACTGAGGCTGAGTTTGGAATAACAAAATGTGAGCTCCGATACAGCGGAGCTTCTAGTTTCATCTCGGTGCGTTTTCGGCGCTTGGTCAGCAATCCTCGTCTTGGGGCTGCAAAAATTATAATGTTTAACACCCAAACTACACAAAAGTGGAGGCGTTCTTCTAAACATATCTGACTTTCCGGGTGGTGCCATGACCTGTATGGCCCCCATGCACCACGGAGGCCTGGGGTCTACCGCCAACAGAAGAGCTCCGAGGGGAACATTGCCAAGTAGGATCATCTTGGTCATGACAATGAAGAAACAACATGCTAATTTTTAGCCTCATGCTAAGGACTTCAAAAGTGTCAATTTACTGGCCTCAACCAAACCGTCTTTAGCATGGAGAGATATAACTTAAGGCACATTAAAATCCATGGATACGGAAAACTGTACCTTGTTGCAACAAGAATACCGTAAATCAGGTAGATTTTCATGCTTCTCGCATTCTGTGAGATTGTTTTCTTTTTGGTTTAAGCTTGATGATTTTATGTAAGCATTAATAAATTAAAATCAAAGTGGAAACACCTTGCCTCATTGAACACAAATGAAGAGCAAATAGCCAGCCCAATGTAGGCCAATCAATGCTGAGTCCCTGCTCGGCTGCATCTTTTCCGATTACTTCCTACCGTAGGCGGAAAATAAAATAGGACTTAAGTGACTGAAAGTACGTTCAGGATTTGACAAATACTTGGTATCTGGTCAGGTTGAGTCCTCTAAACCATCTGACACTGCACACATGAGCTGTAGGGAACACTCGTACATATCGCTCGGTGTCCGTACCTGATTAGGGTGGGTGTGTGCCGACAGCCTCTCAACAGTTGGCCCTCGGAGGTGCTGCTTGTTCAGGGGTCACCATGGGTGTTCAGGGTATTCTTTCGTTCTTCTTTTCAATTGAACACACATCAACATTTAGCTGTTCGCTTTATTTATCGATGCTCGGTAGCAAAACAAACTCGTGCTTACATTTCTCTGCTCGCTCCGACGGCTTCACGGCGAGCATGTACTCAAAAATCGTCAATGGAAAAGAAGAACGAAAAGCGTACATGAGCGCAAAGCACGCGTGCGACATCTAGCGAGCAAGCTAGCATCTACCGCCACCAGAAGAGTTACGAAAGGACATCTGTCTAGTGGTGTTAGTATTGCAGAGGACACTGTGTGTCGTCACGCAGTTGGGCTACGGGTGGCCGTCTTCGTCGGACATGGTGTCGCTGGTTAGTTAGAGACAGGGGCGACCGCGCGGTCACACGCGCCCCAACCGGAGCCATCACCGCGAGGCTGAGAGGCCTCTACTTACGGCATGTTTTGTGGCTGTTGGATTACGGAGCCTTGGACTGAAACAGAAGAGAGCGCTGCGTCACAGCTCGATCGACGGGAACGGCGGCGCGATGGAGGCACTTAGTGAGCGAACTACGGAGACCTTCGATAATGATACGACACGCGATATGGGACGGGTAACGCAACCGCAGGTCCTCTATCAAAATAATGCAGTTGGGCATGTCGAACGCATGCGATTTCCCGGGATCACGCAGTTGGCCCAGACGCACATGTCAGAGCTGGGCATCTCTGTACGCCATCAAGCATAACGCACCAGCGAGCACGGCAACGCCAGAAGGCCCAGGGCTAGGCTGTCTGAGCGCCGCACGACCCTCGCCTGAGAACGGACAAACACAGAGCTTCTAACCGGCCACGCACCACGCGTGGCCGCTGTGCGCGGCGCGCGACCCCCTCCCTCCCACTCCCCCGCTGCGTAGTCGCACCTCGCATCGCGTGGGCCACAGGCGGAGAACGCAGGGGGCAGAGAACATAAACAGTGGCACGTGGCGCGCGGCACTGTTACAGGTCCGCTTTGTCACAGGGAAAGACACTGGGCGAGTCTGTAACACCCACGTTAAGTGACGCACCAGCTGCAAGCCTACTGGCAAATCTCGGCGCGTATAGATAAATAAAGAAACAGCCTAAACACAAAGGGTTTTGAAACTAGATCCAGCGCACTAGATCAGCCTGCGCTGCCCAGCGCGCTCGAACATATGTATAATCAGCACCTCAGCAAGTTATGTTCGTCTGGTCCGACCGTGCTCTATGAGGGCCTCTGCAGGTGCCCATCTCAGCAGGAGATTCGGTGCGGCTCCCATCTCATCCACGGCCATCCGGGTCAGGCGGGCGCGTCCGACCGCGACGCCAGACACGGCGCGGCATTCGTCGGACCTCCGTCTGATACACGCCGCGGGGGTCTGCTAACGGGCCACGGCGCGCCGCAGACGCCGCCGTGAAACGCCGCAGGCGTCCGTATCGGCTCGAAACCGGTGTTTCTTCTAAAAGCCGGTGGCGAAGGCGAGGCTGTTTTTCTGAGCCGCAGCCGCAACATTGGAGCCGGCGCCGGCGCGGCCAGCTGGCGCGGCGCTGGAGCGGTCGCTATTTTCGGCCCGATGTGTGGGCAGAGGCTCCAGCGCCGTTAGACCGCTGGCCGGTCACCCTGGAAGGCCTGGCGCCTATTCTTAGCCCGGCGCCCCTGCTGCCCTCCGGGCATGTGAAATAGGCCGGTGCTGATTCATGACATTGTAACGGAACACCGGGCATCCAAACAACTGTGGGTTTGCTTCGGTCGTTGCGTTGCGCCGGTCTGTGGCAGAGGCCTGTTTGCATCACTCCCAGACGTGCCACAGGTGTATGTCTGCTGAATTGGTAACCTACTGATCTGGATCCAGTCTCAGCCTAGACAGCCGCAGCACGGCTGTACGATATTTCCGCAAAGGTTTGTAATACCCTTTTCCCTGTAGCCCCCATGCCCTAGAAACAAGTAACTTTTTGTACCCAAGCGATTTCAGGTGATCTTGAAAACTAGTAATTTCTAGGGGGCAGTATTTTGATCGGAACTTTTTCATTCGTCAGCATTCTTAACTACTTGGAGCGTGCAACAGCAAGGCAGTCTGAACGCGGAAGCTCTTAATACTTATTCGGTGAGAGCACACCGACCCACAAGCCATTTCCACCCAATCATGTCTCCACACGGCGGTCGACGTGAGCAGCGCTCCTTGCTGATCCATTTTCGAAGACGCGCTGAGCTGAATCTGCTTGAGCCCTCGCGCACAGTTTACCTCCGAAGTTTCTCCTGTTTTAGCTTTTTTCGAGAGGGCTGATACAGTGTAAGAAAAAGGCCGTTTTTGAATATGCCATCAGAAATTCATCCGACAGAACTCGGCCTTCTCTTTCTCAGACACTTAACAGTGGAGCGTTCTCTACCAAACTCCCAACCGTATTCGCGCTGCGTCGCGAGCAGCGCCCAGGACGGGCCGCGTACTAACCCACGACCTTGACACTGCGGCGTGCGCGTGCGGCCGGCGTCACCTCGCCCCCCAGCACTCACCGTTCGTAACTCGGTGGTTCGCTGTCGCGGGCGGGCCCGGCCCGGCGCCGCGTCGGCGCCTGTCACTCTCGCGCGCTCACCCACCGGCCTCGCTCGTGGGCCCCCTCTGCGCAGGTACACCAGCGTCACCAGTGCGGCCGCACCACCCGCGCGCCACCGAGTGCCGCTGCGCCAGCTGACGCCTCCCGCCGCCCCCTGGACCGGCCCGCTGGCGCAATGTCTCACTTGCTTTGATCGGTCATTGGCGGTAAATATAGCCCGCGGCGCGGCGCGCCTGAGGCGCCACCTCCGCGCGAGGAGGGGTCGTAAGGGCAAGGCCGCTGATTGGCGAAGGCCCGGTGGAGTGTTGCTTGGATGACCGTTATATTATAATATTATTTGTTTCTTATTGCTTGTTTTCTCCGGTTTGGCTGAACCTGAGTTCTTGCTACGCAAGCCCTGTTGCGGGACACTTGATACCACATGGTCAAAACTATTTGATAATTCCCCTAGTATGCTTAACAGAAGGCGCTGTGCTGGGAACCTTGAAGGAGTATACATATCCCCCTGCTGCAGACATTTGACTTCCTTGACGAGTAAATTTGACGCCTTGGGTGGGTGCGAGCCACTTGATGGTGGGCACATGAACTTACTGTTGAGCCTTCGTCGTGACACGGAGTCGGCGTACTTTCCACCATCCCGCCGAGAGGGCGCGATGCTATGATGGACATTCAAGGCACGGGTGGAGGCATCGTAGTGCAAACTCGTCACCCCGCAACAGGCTGCAAGAGCTTCACTCGATATTAACTTTGCATGTCCTCACCTGCGATGTGAGTATTCGCCGTGTTATATTTGTCGTTAAGGCATACGTTATACGTTGCGCTAAGCATCATTTGAACGGCACGCAAAACGTCCTGAGACATCAGAACACTCTAACAAGGCTATGTTCGTCATGTGTGCGTTACTTTCAAAAATGTAAAAAAGTCCGCTAACAGAAGCCTCATCAGCCAAACCTAAGCACCAAGAAAGCCCTTCCACTGGCTGGTTGTCGTCATTGGTTACTGAGTTGGAGCTTGACAATGAAATTTTTTTGGGACCGGACTCCCCAGCCAACACTTTCAGAGGAGGAAAACAAGAGGATGAACAGGAGGGCGAAGAAGAGGGGGCCAGACTGCACCACCTCTTTGTCTGCACACTCCTTCCACCACCGTGTCAATAGTTGGTTGAAGACAAAACAGCTGCAGAATGCTACTATTTTCAGGCTATAACGAGCGAGGCCGCGTGTCAAATGGGCTGGCATTCAGCAGCGCATTTTAGCTTGAAATACACGGTTCAGCCCAGATCAACCGTCTCGCCCTCTGGAAGCCAATATCCTGGTACCTATGTCACAATTATATGTGGTTTCCAGCAGTAAAAAGTGCAGTTTTTGAACAGTTGAGCTGAATACAAGTTTAGGAAGTTTTGGACAGGCCGTCCAATCAAACGAGATTTTCCTACCACATTGCTTGAGCAAACTGCAAACAAACTGCAAACAAACATCCAACTTGAGCCAAATGTTATCCTCATTCGAGCAACGGCTGAGGCGTAAAATTCTCGGAAGAAACATCGCGAAAGAGAACACGGCACGGAAGAAGCCAGATCTAAGTCTGACCTACGACGTCGAAACGACAGGAGAGCGGCACATTTGGGCAGAAAAGAGAGCGGGTACTGGTGGTAAAGAAGTGTGGGTGCATGCATGCGTCTCTGAGACGCTTTCTTGCGTTCCAACGCAAACCACGGTTCGCACCGTTTCGGGAAATTTTAGCCCTATTTCTGTGCAGCCTTTTTATGCTGATTCTGGGCGGGGAGCCACTTGCCTTCTCCGGCACTGGAGATATTTTTGGTAGACATTTCAGCATAGGTTGAAACGATTTCTCGTTGCATTATTTACACCATAATTAATTAATAATATTTAACGTGTCAGAGCGCAGTCAGGAGAGATAAAAAGGAGGCGATGTAAAACACTTCACAGCGGTAGTGCTTGCAGTATCAACTTCACAGTACAGGTCCGTGTTGATACAAACCATTTTAAGCCTCCTGGATAGACCGTGTTAGAAACATCCGAATCGCACGATCACCTTGTCAGTAACACCATACTGTTGGGTGTTCAAATAAGCCAACACTCAATGAGTTCAACACAGAAATTACCATGAACTTATCTTCATAGCATCATAGCCAGTGGCGCACTTTGACAATGCACCTCTTTATGTTTCGTAGGCGGATCTACCATTCAGGACATAAAGATTGGAGGGCTGACTCCGAAAATGTGTCCCTGCATCCGCTTTTCGCACTTCAATGTTTCCGATTATGCACAAGGATATCTTGAATGTTGCAGCAAAGTATCTTACCTGCATAGTGAGCGTACATGGAGCATGCCAAATATAAGTTCTTACAAGATACCAAAACAATCCCTCCGAAAAATATGGAGGTGCTTGTGGCACATGTATAAATATACAAATTATATCACCAGATGTAATCTCACATCAGGAAAAGTCATCACGTTTCTAGAACCTTGCTCAATGCCTAAAGAAATGCGTCACGAAAAAACTTCAGAGAGGTCAGAATCGTTCCCCACTCAGACAGGAATAGAGTTAAGGATTAAGGTAAGATTTCGACAATCAAAGCAGACCCAAAACCAACTGCATGACGTAAGCGAATGTACCGTCCAACAAGCAGTAAGCGATCGCAACACTGACCGACGCACAGATGCGCCTGCGATTGACTCGGAGACAAGAAATGACACATTTTTCTTAACCGTGCCCATATACAATAAACAGCTCAAATCGACCAATATTCACCCAAATATAATCGTGTTCCGCAGTATTTTGGCCCGTTACCAAAGACATAAATCTCGAGAAATTGATCGAGTTCGCCGACGAAAATTGCCGAGCCTGGCCGGATGCATATCGAGCCAGCTTTCCAACAATCCATCTCTGAAGGTGTATCTAT